AGTATATAGTAATATATTATAATATCTTTATTTACTAGCTATATTACCTTTTTATTATTTATTAATAAGTAATAAATTTAGCTTTAGTTAATATAAAAATAACCTTTTTTTAGGTAGCTAGTATACTAGTATAGTTATTTTTAGTAATAGGATTTATAGTATTATTAGGGTTAAGGTAATTATATAAAGGCACCTTAACCTCTTCTAGCTTAATTATATTATTATCTAATTTAACCTAATAGGTGTTAATATAGCCTTAAATATTAGTGTTAATATAGAATATATAGAGTTACTATTAAACCTTAGGCTAGATCTTATATAGTGCCTTTTTAAGGGTAGCTTTATTATCTATAATTATAGCCTCTAGCTAAGGGATATTAAGGGATTATTAGAATTTATTAAGCTAGCTAAGAAGTTACTTATAGCCCTTAAAAGTCTTTATATTAATAAGGCCTTAGCTAAGATTAATAATAGAATGTTAGTTAGTTATTTTAGTAACCTAGAAGAGATATATTTTAAAGTAGTTTATTTTATATATATTATTAAGCCTAATTATATATAAAAATTACTTCTATATCTTCTTATATTAGGGATAGGTCTAGAATATAGTAATAGGCTTATTTTTATTATATTTAATATAGTACTAAAGGCCTTATTATTAAAGAATTTAAATCTATTATTATATAGAAGTTATATTATTAAGTAACTACTTTCTAACCTATTAATAGTTATTATAAATATCTTTATTTATCTAAAGAGGCACTAGCTCTAGGTAGGTAATTTATAAGATATTATTAAGTTCCTAGGTAGGTAGAGTTTTTAGTTTTAAAAGCTTTACTTTAAGGACTTATTATTTTTTAATTTAATAGTAATAAGTATAATAAGTAGTAAGATTAAGGGATATAAGGTAGTTATAAGAGCTAACTTTAACCTTATATATCTACTAGCTAGCTAGTCCCTTATTTATTTTAGTGTTAATTTAGAAGGAGTAGTTAGTCTTTATAAATCTTATTTTTTAAAGGCTATTACCTTAAGAGGCTTAGTAGTAGCCTTTATTATAGATAATTTAGTAGTAATTAATAATATATTTACTATTAGGCTAGGTAGCTCTTACTGTCTTACCCCTTATAATTATAGTGCTATTTAAATAATAGAAAAGCTATAATATAGAAAAGAGTGTATTAAGAGAAGGATAAAGTAATAACGCTAGTAGTAGAGGAATTTTAGGGCTAACGGACAAGTCTACTATTACTAGCGGCGGTATTATAAAAGAGGGAAAAAGGAGGAATCTATAATAGTTACTTACTACTAGTGTTAAAGTTAATATAAATAGCTAAATTAGGTAAGTCTAAAAAGGTACTTTAGTTATAGTAGGCGCGCACGTAAAAATCAAGGTACTACGCTAGTGTAGCTTAGGTGGGGCGTCATGTGTACCTGTCCACCTAGCAATATGGCACTGTCCACCTAGCATTACTCATGGATTATTGGATTCTGTAGCTGCATTACGTAATACATTGTCAGTGCATGGCCTAACATCTTCGAGCACCTGTTACCGGGGGGTCAAGGGGCCTGTAGGGCGTTCTTGCTGCGGCTCGGGTATCGTCAGTGAGCTCTGCCGCTAATAAGTTGGCCTGGAGTTTTGTCCCTACCGCTCGAGTGGGTTTCCGGGCAGACGACCCTCATATGTCTGAATGAGTTTCATAAAAGGGTAAATGGACTTTAATAAAAAAGTATTAAAAGCCACCCCCCAAAATTTGGTAGGTAGTCTGTAGCCCAATCGACTTGAACGTCGACCAGGCATGGTCCATGGTCCATGGTCCATGGCCCATGCCCCAGCTCAAGGCAGACCCACCATCGCGTTCCCGCACTCCTGAACTCCAGCCGCGACACTCCCGCCACCTCCAAACATAGTATTCCCGACATCACTCGTCTGTGTCGCTGCTGGCTGCACCATTATGCCGCGACATCAAATATCGACCTCTGCTTGATGATAACTCTCGCATTCGGACATGGACCGCGCAAACGGAGCCGGCTCTGGCGCGGTGGCCAGTAGGGCCGAGCGATTCGAGGATGAGAAGCGTCGCATCATCGAGAGCTGCTTCAGCAAAAAAGACCAAGACGGCTCCAGTAAGCTTGCACATTCTTCACGCCCGCATTATTTACACAAGGCATGATGGATTTGGGCATCTCCAGACATGCGCTAATTTGATTATTTTGCAGTAATCGAGACATACATCACCCATATAAGAATCACAGAATACTCGACGCACCCTACGTCACCCCCTCCTCCCCAAGCCCGGACCCCCGATTCCGAGAAGCCTCGTGTCATCATCGTTGCCGTCCGTCAATCAGGACGGGTGCGCATGCATAAATCTAAAGAAAATCCCAACGGGACCTTTTCAATTGGCAAGACCTGGAATCTCGATGATCTCAGCCACATCGAATCCTACACCGGGCCTCAGGTTAACCCTAACCTGCGCGAATGGGGTGGAGAAACTGGTTTTACAGTCACCCTAGGGAAACAATACTATTGGCAAGCACAAACAGATAAGGAAAAGAAATTCTTTGTCGCGAGCTTGATTAAGATCTACAGCAAATACACGGGTGGGAAGGTTCCCGAGCTGACTGGATTCGACCCCAGAGAGCAAGACCAAGTCATTGGGGCGGGTAGACGCCAAGTCAGTGCACCTCCGAGACCAAATGCGACGACACCTGTTTCTCAAGGACCTCCAGGGCAAGACTCGGCTCTTTCGCCCGGTCTATCAATGCCTTCTGGTCTACCCCGCCAAGCGACCCCCGAATCCTCTAGGTTTCAAAAGGCGCCCTTTCGCCCTCCTCTGAATGGCGCCAACTCGCCAGCTGGTAGCTTTGAGTCCTCATTCTCCAAGGAGCGAGCGGACCGACCGCCGCCGCCACGATGGGCTGCACAAGCCAACAAAAGCCAGGACTCCTTTGCTACAAACATCTCGGCCTCAGCGCGCAGTGAAGACACCGCTAGTCAGCCCCCTAGGTCGCGCAACGGACCCAACCTTCCCTCCACGCCAGGTAGGTATGGTGACCCTCGTGATGTCCCAGAGCAGCCACCCATCACGCCTCAGGGCTCTGATGTTCCGCCTCCCGAACGTCGTCGACCCCCTATGGATCCCTCGCGCCCGATGGATAGGGATGTTGTGCCCCCGCCGCTAAATAGTCCGATCAACAAGAAGGAGCCCGTATACCCGCCACTTCGCAGTAGTGATCGAAACTCACCCATGAAGGGCGCGTTCGGGCGGACTTTGGAGGGCGGGCCCTCACTGGAACCCGCGCAGCCGCCTGGCATGACATCTCCGGCAATGGCGAACATGAATAGTGAAGGCGATCCCATGTCTCCGCCTGTCGAAGAAGTCGCACAGCCACCACCAGTGCCCGCTGAACCCACAGAAGAATCGCGACCTGGTCTAGGGCCCATGATCAAATCAAAAAGGTCAAGAGGTGATATTGCTGGCGCGTTCTGGAAAGCTGCAAATGCTGCTTCCGCTGCTTCAGCATTTAAACCACGCCCTGGTGGTGCAGCAGAGAGATTGCGAATGGCGCAGCAGAAGACGACCGATGGTCCCGATGGTATTACTGGCGTTGTGCCAGCGCCACCACGACCAATTTCGAGAGATCAACAACCAGACACTCCCGAAACTGAGCCAGCAGCTATAGCTTCTGCATCAACCGCCGCATTCACTGCTGCTACTTCTGCGACCAGTCCTCAGCTCGGTGTGGTCGCTACCTCTCCTCAACCTACTGCCCCCATGCCACCACCCCAAGAGTCCAACGTACCCCAAGTGACGGTTACTCCCACGCCGCCACCAGTGTTAGAAACTCAGACGCCGAAGCAGGGAGGCGCCAGCGAAAGTGCTCTCAAAAAGGCAGAAGCGGCAGCCAAAGAAAAAGCAGCTCGAGCAGCTGCGGCCAGTCACGACTCGAGGTACCTTCAGGCGCTCGGAGTTGACCCAGCACTTTTAGATGGGCGAAGTCAAGAATTTGGTAAATGGCTCGATTATTTTGGTTGGATCCCTGGCGACAGAATGCGTTCGCACAATGTCGAAGAACTGAAAATCGACATTGAGAGAGAACTGAACAAGGCGCAGGCTGGCGGTTGGCTTGCGCGATTCCGCGAGGACGATGAACGAGTTGACGCCATCAGAGACGGTGTCAATTTAGCCATTGCTGAATGTGAAGAGCTGGATAACCTCCTGACTCTATATTCCGTGGAACTTTCGACATTGTCAGACGATATCACGTACATCGAAGCGCAAGGCCAAGGTTTGCAGGTCCAAACTGCAAACCAGAAGCTACTTAAGAAAGAGCTCGAGTCCCTTCTCGAGACCTGCGCCATCACAAGCAGTGATCTTGAGGCCCTGCAACTCGCACCGCTCGACAATTTGCGTGGCCTGGAAGATGCAGAGGCATCTCTTGTTGTGCTCTTTAGGGCAATGGCCAAGATCGACCCGAAGCGAAAAGTAGGGGGCGAAGGCGGCCGAGTCGAACAAGAAACGAGTCTTGACGCGTGCCTTGATAGCAATTACGGCCAGATGCGCATCGTACAACAGAAGAAGCAAATGTATATGCAGGAGAGTGGACTTTTCATGCGCCGTCTTGTCGAATTTATGGCAAGGCAATTTGAAGAAGCATATGCGGAAACACAGCGGGCTCTGGATGGTGCTCTATCAAAAAAGGCCGATGCCGGTTATCACGATATTGGAAGAGAACTTCTCTGGAAGTATAGTCCGTTGATGCTGTATGCGAGAGATGTTGACTCGGAGAACTGGAACCGCGTTCTTCAAATATATCAGGAAAAGAGCCAGCCGCTTTATAGGTCCGAATTTCAAAACGTCATCGCGCACTGGCGTAAGAATGCAAGGAAGATGACGGGCGACGAAGCCGGTATTCTGTTCTCTTCGCAAGCTGAGAAACAACAGGAAGGCGTTGCGACGGCAGCAAGAAAACTGACAGTTAAGAGAAGTCAAACATTAGCGAGAGCTCTGCGATCGCCGCTTGCAGATGGCAGTTCGTCGCGCGCTGTTGAGAAGAGCGCAGGAGAAGGTCGTACTATGCCATTTGAAGTATTTGGTGCTGTCCTAGACGATCTCCTCCCACTAGTCGAGATGGAACAAAATTTCATCATCGACTTCTTCCACGCCACAACGCTAGAATCGCTTGACTTCCCAGACGCGGTGGCGGCAACACCCCCTCACAATCGCCGGGGTGGTGATTTGAAGCGCCATCGGATTAAGGAACCTATCCGCGATGTGGGCCGACGCGTTACTAGTTCCATGGAATTCATCTTTTCATTCTTGGAAATTGATATTCAACGTCTGGCGGAATGGGTTCTCGGCCAATTTCCACTACAAGGTGTCGGCGTCCTGGCACTTCTCGAGAAGAAGATGTCTGAACTGGGCCCGTCAAACCAGGATTTTCTAAATATGACGCTGCAGAAAGTGCACAGTTCACTCGAAGGCCACTTCAAGAAGTTTGTCGAAGACCAGGTTCAGGCCATTCGTGATACCAAGGTCAAGGTGAACAAGCGCAAGGGCGTCATCTCGATCATTCGTATATTCCCAACTTTCCTCACTGCAGTTGAGAATATGATTGACGGCTTAGATCCAAACCTACCGCTACGGCGCATGATCGACGGCGCATATGACCAAATATTGAAAGAGATGTTCGACTTACTACAGGCCATTGCCCGCGACAATACAGCCGGTGGTGCTTCAGGGGCCACTACGACTGATCCCGAAGGCAAGGAAGCTCTCAACAAGCATGTCCTCTTAGTTGAGAACATGAACCATTTCCTTGAAGAAACGGATTCGCGGGGCTTGGACGTGCTTGAAACCTGGAAAAACCAGGCAAATAACGACTATCATGAGCACATGGAACTATATCTCGATTCTGTCATGCGCCGGCCGCTAGGGAAATTGCTGGATCATCTTGAGAATATCGAGGCACAGATTCAGACGGGCAAGTCGCCTACTGCCATTGCCAGACAGCCATCGAACAGCCAGTCCGTCTTTGTCAAGGTGCTCAGCATGTACGATGCCAAGGATCTCCGCAAGGGCATCGATGCTCTGCGCAAGCGTGTTGAGAAGCACTTTGGCGACGCCGATGAGCCTGCACTCAGCCAAGGCCTCGTTACCAAGGTGCTGACCGAGTGCGAGAATTTTTACGGCAAGGTCGAGACCAGAATTGGCAACGTAACGACGAACGTTTACGGAGGCGATGTGCCGTTTGAATGGCCTAGAGCGGAAGTCAAGGCAGCCTTTCGGGATAAATGATCAGAGGGTATACGTGTGTGATTGAAGCTTACGACGGTGGTTGGAGAAGGGAGCAGGCCAATCTAGATGGGATTTTTTATTGCGTGTACGATTACGAGCATCTGGACTTGGAACTGTTGATAGTGCAAAGCTTGCATGTGTAAGGCCGGAATCTGTGCGCATCAGCAACTCTGCTGGCCAGAAATCATAATTCCAGTGCTCAAACAGAATAGAAAGCATTGAAACTCGAAGTCTCAGAATTGGGGTTTTTTTTCTGTCGTGGATTCTTTGCCAGTTTCATGTAGCGTTGTGCCCAGCATGTACATATGCAACGAGTTACACGGCATTGGCTATGGCGGGACTAATTAAAGTGGACGCGTTGACCGCGTCTTTTGAGCCATCCTGTGCGCGTCCACTTACACCGCAATCCTCCACTTTACACGATAGCAAGCCATTAACGAGGCCATCGCAGCGCGACATCCTGCTCGACTTGTGGCTATTGGGTCCTTGGACAAGTTTTAAAGGGGTTGTTCGCAAGCTCAGTTCTTGCGCTGGACCACAACTCGACACACGACTTCTGTTTTACACATCCCAGACATGACGCCACATACACGATCGGGCGGCGCAGCCCCTCCATCGAGCATCGCCTACAAATCGACACCATCACTCAAACAAGTTCAGTTTCCTGCTCGAAGACGGAGAATTCGCACATATGGCAGACAAAATCGCAGGAGTAGCGGCCGTGGGGACCAAGACGACGACGACAAGGAAATCCAACTAGGCAGCAGCGCGCACCCGACGTCCAATCTAAAACAAAAGACGCTTACGCAGTACGACTTTGCCTCCAGTTTCAAGGAAGAAGAAGACGTGGTGGAGATATCGGATGCGAGCGATGTTGGGGATTTGGACAAGGTTGAAGAGACGGATGAGGCGGAAGCGGAAAAGGAGAATAATGTACCGAAAGGCACCAAGCGGAGGAGATCACCTGGGGTGCAGCCTGCGCCGCTACAACCTCTAGAATATCTAGAGCGAGAAGAAGAGGAAGGGGAAGAGGAAGGGGAAGAGGAGGGTAAAGAGAAGCAGGAGAAGGAGGTGGAGGAGGAGGAGGAGGAGGAGGAGCGAGTGCTGGACACTGAAGCAGAAGACGAAGAGGACGAGGAACCTATTGCGAGGGCACATCGTGGACCGGAATTTATAGACACGTCAAAGACGAAGCGCAGGCGAACTCTGGGAGAAGAGCACCGCAGGAGCACCATGAAGGAGAGCAAGTCATCGCGACGAAGGACGTTGGGCGATTCGCCACTCGCCGGACCATCCAGGTCTCGCTACCATACGCAGACCCTAACCCAGTTCATCGGTCGCACGACATCTTTTATCGCCGACTCGGATGACGAGGAGCTAAACGGCGTCGTCGAAGATGACGACGACGGCGGCTTCCTCGAGTGGCTTGGTACAGAGGAGCCGCAGAGCCCAACCATGGGCACGCAAGCGAGCAAAAGAAGCACAGATGCCGAGTCTATCTCTGCAGCGACTCAAGTATGGGAAGATCACAGCCCGTCGCCACAACGTCGCACCAGGAGGAGGCAAGGGACACAAATCAGTCAGCAGCAGCAGCCTCGCGAAGAGTCCATCGTGCCGCAGACGCCAATCAAGAGCATCCGCTTCGACCTGCCGCCCTCGGCGCAGCACATCTCGCCGTCTCCGACACGAATCGCCGCCATCTATGGCGCGCCCAACTCGTTTCTGTCACCGTCGTTGGGGTCCCAACGACGCAAGCAAAAGAGTCCAATGAAGCCGATACTCGAGCTCACAGGGATGCCGACGAAGCGCGTCAGCCCGGCCAAGAAGCCGGAGCTGGTGATTGAGGACTCGTACGCCACGGAGGGCTGGAGCTCGGTCGGGGGCACGCAGGCGCGGCATAGCATGCCGTCGCAGACGCAGACGGACGTCTTCAGCACACCAGCAGAGGAATCTGCACCACAGGCTGCCGCTGCCGCACCAGCATCAATACAAGTCGACACCTCTGCAGAGAGCGAAGAGGAAGCTGACCCAGCACCACTGCAGACTCAAAGCCAAGCCGGGCAGGTAGAGGAGCGGTTTTACGGCGCAGTCTCCCAGATTGTCCCGGCGGCGAGCCAGCAGCCTTTGCCAACGACACCTGAAGCAGCCAGGCAATCGCCACCACCGAAAGAAGATGTAGCCGCGGCTGTCATCACCGAGGAGCGGGAAATCCCCGACTCGGACGACGACTCGGACGACTTTGGCGCGGAGAGCGACGCCACTGAGGACGAGGCGGAAGAGTCGCGGTTCGCAGCGGGTGCCGAGACGCAGCTCCTCATGGACCAGCTACAGTCGAGCGTGCGCAAATGGAGCGGCATTCCACGTGCCGCCAACGCACCATCGTCCTCGTCAGCGGCGGCATCGCCCCGACGACCTCGCACCTCGAGTCCCCCGCCCTCATCTGGAACCGTCGTCACACCAGAGTCCGCTCCGCCATCGGCCCTGAAGCCCTCGGTCACGGCGAAGCTGCCGCCGAAGCGGAAGCCGCCGCAGCCTACGCTTTCCCACGACATCCCGGAGACGGCTCACGGCACGCCGCTTCGACGACCGCTCCACCACCCGGAGCCCGTAGACACGCAGGGCGTCCCCTTTGAGTCGCAGCGCGTCCCCTTTGAGTCGCAGCGCGTCGCCCTCGCCACGCTGCAGGGCTTCACGCCCGCCTCGGCCCGCACCGACATCCTCCTGCCGCTATCGCACGGCACGCTCGCCAATCTGCTCTCGGGCCACCAAGACGCCGTCGTCCTGCCATTCAAGATCCCCGCGCAGGTCGTCCGCTTCTGGATACTGCACGACGGCGTCCTCCGCTACCTCGCCTGCGTCGCCGCCACCGACGGCAGCAGCGGCGGCGACTTTGATCCCCACCGCGACAATGGCTGCGGCGGCCGCGGCGTCTGGTCCTACCGCGTCGCTCAGGTCTACGAGCTCAACAACCCCGCCCAGGAGGACGACATGCGCGCCGAGGACTGGATCCACGGGCCCGTTCGCCGCTACGTCTACTTTCCGCCGGCCGTCGTCAGCCAGCTCCTTTGGAACCTGCGCCAGGCCCTCTTTGCAGACCCCGCCGACGCCGTTACCTCCACCACGCCAAGGACCGCCGCCGCCTTAGCGTCCTCGTCGCCGCTCCGCCGCTCCTCGAGGCTCTCCACCCCGGCGCGCAGCCGTCAGCAGCAGCAGCGGCAGCAGGCGAGCTCCCCGCTGCGGTACGCCCGCCCGCCGCCCTCGACAATGCCCGCGCCGCCGCCGCCGGCCCGGCCCGCGCGCGCCTGCAAGCAGCACCACACGCAGCCTGCCCACGTGCGCCCGTCGCAGGCCACTACCGCGTCGCAGGCGTCCACCGTCGACATGCCCGCGTCACCGTGCGTGGCAGCGGTAGCTCCTGATGCAGCCGGTGTTATCCCCCGCCGCGCCGCCGACGGGTCCTCAGAGAGCCTCGTGTTCGACGACCACGGCGGCTCCTCCATTATGATGCCGTATAGCGGGGTCTCGGGACTCGACGTGAGCCTCGCCGCCTCGCAGCTTCTGACTGGCAGCCAGATCCTACCCGAGAGCCTCGTGAGGGATGAGGAGGAGCAAGAGCGCGGGGTGCCTGAGGAGATTTTCGACTCGGAAGAGGAGAGGGATGAGTAAATGGAGACAGAATGAGAGCAACGGCCTGACTACAAGTGCGAGATGTGATATTATTGAAGAAGACACGAGTGATGGATTTGATTTTAATACTCCGAGACCGTTTTTAGCCAGTCATTTACAAAGCAAGCGCGTGCAAACTATTCGTCTTATCAGATAATCCCATACTTCATTTTTTGATGCTAATGCCAGGTTTATAGAGATAAAGAAGAGGAGAAACAAATTACAAACAAGCCCGTGACCCATTCATACAATTATCATCACCTCTCCGAGGTGCCTCTGTTTTCGTCTTGCACCCGTCACATGGGCAGTGCAGACGCTGATGCAGACTAGAGAAGCACAATCTTGAGACCTCTTCTTCGTTGGTGCCACATTTGAACACCTAGAATAAAATTGTGGAAATGCTCATGTTTTAACGCCTGATAATTAAGAAAGATGGAAAGCTCCTTGGCCCTCCTTCATGGCGGTTAGTAGCCGCCTTCTCATGGTGTCGTGGTCGGTATAGTCGGGTAGCTTGAGATAATTGACACAAGTCATTACACTCGGCAAATAGTCGTCCGAAGTGTATGGATGCTCGCTTGGTTTGCAAACGACAGTGAACATGGGAGTGAGACTGCGAAAGCCGCCGATAGGGAGCTTCGGGCTTCCAGTGATGAACTGGAGAAATTCACGGCGTTCGCTGAGAGCAAACTCGCTCATGACCTGCAATAAATTCTTCACGCTGCGACTGTCCATGTTGAATCCGTGATCGGCTTTGATGGAGTCCGTGAGAGCTGAACGCGGGTTAGCTTCAGGTTCAAATTCAAGAGATAAGAGTTTTAACTCACTTTCGAGCGACCAGTCCTCATTGACTTTACCAAAGAGTGCAACCAGCTCAGCAGGAGTGAAGGCGCTCAATGCGGAATACGGGAAGACCTGAGAGAAGCCAGCTCCAAAAGCATCAACTTGAGCGCGCACACCCGAGCCGAGAGTCATGTCGATAACCTTGTCCAGGTAGGCATCAACATTGTCGATTGTCACGCGCTTTTGTGACCCATTTGTTTCCAGCTCGATGCCAGGATAACCGGGAAGCGTAAAGTCAAGGCACAAGTCATCCAAGCGTACGCCATCAATGCAGATGTTCTCAGTATCAGCGACCTTTTGCGCGGGCGTTCGGTTTGGGTCTTCATCAATTGCCTTCTTGGCGATAGAGTACTTCTTGATTGCCTTGAGTGACCTTGCCAGACCGGGGTCAACCACCTTGACGGCGCCTAGAGACGGCTTCACACCTGCTGCCGCAGCATCGCTAATACGGAAGAAAATCGGGTTAAAGTGAATGTCAATGATGCGCGAGTCAATCATGGAGCGTGCAATAAACTTTCCAAGCATCTTGAACAAGTGCAAAATGCGCTCTCCGTTAGGTGTGCCCAACTCTTCTGCACTCAGTGGTCGAGGGAACAGTCCAGATGGACCAGACACGAACTCGTCGGAACCAGGGCTATCAATGTCACGCCAAAGACGGAGCTTCTTCTTGGCGAATTCCTTGGAAACGGTCGAGTAGAATTCCAAGGTTGGTCCAAGACCAGTGCCGACTTCTTCGAAGTATTCAACCTCGAGTATGCTCTGTGAAGCACCATATAGCTCCATGACCTTGAGAGCCGACTCGAGAATCTTGAGGCGAGAGATTCGGACCTTTTGCCTTTGTAATCGGCCCAGGAAAGGGCGTTCATTGTGCCGGTCCCGTCGATTATCCTCGGCCTGCGCATTCTGCCATCTTGCCATCGACCGGGCATAACCAAACGAAGTAGACTGGAGGAATAGATGACGCGTCTCGAACGGAAACAAAAAGGGGTAGAGTCGAGCAAGGTCCTCTGACCAGCTAGGCAGGCAGCTGCTTGCAACGATAAGTGGCTCTTCCAGTTGGCGGTTGAGTTTGGCTGTCAGCTTTGTGCTGACAAATTGAGAGGGTGGTTCAACGTTGAGGCTGACAGTCTGGTGGTCGTTTGTGATTAAGACGTCTTCGATATTCTCGTTGAGCTCGTGCAGAATATTGAGTAGACGCAAGATGGAAGCTGTAGTGGGGTTCTTGGCAAGCGACGCCGGAATACCATCTGGGGATTCGGACTCTGCCTCGGTGTTTGTGGTGACCGATGTAGGTTCAACCGCCGGCGGGCCAGGAACCCGTTTAAATTTGATGGGATGAGTGGCAGACCAAATACTGCGGCTTATGAGCTGATCCTCTGTCTTGGTGGCAGACATGAATATCGCGCGGTAAATCGTCGTCTCGTTGGAGATCACCTTGTCATCGAGAGTAAACTCAATGTGCCAGTCCTGGGGTACAGATTGTAGAGCCGACGCATACGACATAGGTCGTGATGAACCAGCCGGCGTAGAAGTTAACGCGGTATGCTTCTGCCGAGCTGGACGCTTATCTTCACTCGAGGGGGTAGCAATCTTGGTACCATCCTCCTTGCGAGCTGTCACACCTCCAGTCGGGGCAACCTCAAAGTCAATAGCGGAAGGATCATTGGTGGTAGGGACAACTGGCTCTTCGTCCATATCCTGAAGCTCGCCAACGATGGCATCCAGAGCGCTGCTGTCGGCAATGTCTTCGTCATCCTCACTGATTTGCTTTTCATCAGCACACTCCAAGTTGCTTTGTTCAGCCTCGTCCTCATCACGGGCGGGTTTAGCAGGAGAGCGAGGGTCTGATGATGTCGCCTGGCGACGGGAGGATCTCCTCAAGCTCTTTCCAGAGCGCGAAGGCCCCGCGGTCTGGTCAGCACTCGTTGGAGTGGTAGGGTGGCGTGGTGGCTTGCTGCTGACCGCGCGTCGCAAGTGAGGTGTGCCGGGCGACATCCCGGCTAGAGGAGGAGGGGGCGGTACTGATCCAGGAGAAAACGGAGAGCTGTCAGCGAGGCGTGAGCCTGGAGTACCACCAAGAGGGAGTCCAGCCATCGCGGCAAGAGCCTGTGTGATCCCGTCACGTCTTGCAATACGAGGGCGCTCAGAAAGACTGATGCGTGGGCGTAGGTAATCATCAAGAGACCTGAATGTGGCAATCGCATGTATAGAAACCATTATGTTTCTATACGGACGAGGAATATTTGAGTCATCGTCGGCCTCAAGACGAAGTCGAATTTGTTTGCCGAGCATTGAAGCTGGACTAGTGCGATTGCCGTCAAAGGTATTGTGATGAACAGTGACAACTTCATAGTGCTCAGACCTACTGAGCAAGTCTTGCAGTTTATGGATCATCATGCTGAAAGGCGTGACTGGAGACTCAGCCGTCGCCGTCTTTGACTTGGACTTGATGCTCTTGCCCATGAATACTTCCAAAAAGGTTGACTGCGCCAGACGAGCCAAGTCTTCGTCAGGATTGCTCAAGACTTCCATTAGCGATCGTACAAGGCCAGAGGAAAGCAGCTCTGCACTCGTCACGCTCTCCAGCGGATCAGTGTCAAACTGGGCTGCTAGTCGGGCAAACAAGGCCCTTCCAACGCCTGGCGACAGATCAGCCGACGTACGCTGCAAGTAGAACTTCTCGAGATCGCCAGCCAGCTTGGTCAGGTTGTCCATAATGAGGCTCGCTTTGGCCTTCATATCACGACTGTGGTCTTCATTCTCATGAGACTCTAAAAACTTTTTTGCGACTTGGCAGATGTGAGCCTTTGTACCTCGAGTATTTGCAAGATATCTGCGTGGAGGTTCAGCTGGCTCCGAGGCGGATGACGAGCTGGAGCTAACGGGAGACTCATCACCAACGTTTTCGTCTTGATCTTGGTTGTTGTGATCTTCGTCCTCCTCATCCTCGGGTTCGGCTGTCTCGGGCTCGTCGCGGACTTGCTCGGCCTGAGCGGTTTCCTCACCGTGATTGCCTTCGCCTTCCTCGTCATCATGGTCCTCGTCCTCGTCCTCGTCTTCTGATGTAGGTGAGTTCTCCCCGCCGTCGTCGTCACCCTTCTTGGCAAGATCATGCGCGGACTCTTCGGGGACTTGGGTCGACAGTTTTTCGATTTCGAGGACGACGCCCTCTCTGTAGAGTTGATAGCGATATATTCTGTCAAGGCGGCTGAGGAGAAGCTCTGTAGCCTGCAAGCCAAGCATGACAAGACTAGGATGATCCTGTTGAGAAAGAATAGAGGCGAGGAATGAAGCATAGGGTACCGGGACAAGGGACTCTTCAAGAATCTTCTCGTCAAGATTGGAGAGCATCTTGATCTGTGCTTGGAGAACCTTTTGGCGAACGCTCAGGTTGACCGTGCTTGAGAAAACGTCTGTAAGGGTTGGAAAGATGATCAAAGCAAACCGTCGAACTTCGTCTTTGCAGCCGTCGAGGAGTGATAGGCGCTTTTCGGCAGGAGATTGGCGAGTATCGCCGACAGCCGAGGTAGGTTCTGGATTCTGACCGTTGAACTCGACAAAGTCACCATACATTGGATCGGCGTCCTTGGGCAGTCCAGGAAGCAACTCGCAAATGACGTTGAGGGTTTCAATAATTTGCTCGCGTGGCCGGTGGATCAGGGCTTGCATTATAACGACGCTGTCGAGCTTGGAGGCAACGTCTTCCGTGCCACTCGGCGGAGAAACACCAGTCAAAATCTGGTAAAGAGTCTCAACAACGTGGAGCTTGAAGAGCTCTGCAGATAGCCGAGGGCTTGCTCGGGCAGTGAAGGCCAAAACACGCAAGAACTGGGTGTGGATGCTAGACCCAATAAGGTTCGTCGTTCCAGGCACCAGCAAGCGCAAGACGGCACGTAGCAAATCGACGCTTACAAGCTCTTCGAGCTTTGTAGCCTGGTGTTTAAAACTCTCGACGATGCCAGAGACACAGAGCGAAGCTTGCTCAACAACTCGCTGGTCGTTGCTGCTTAAAACGTTGAGAAGAATCGGCATGACATCTCGGACGACTGGAAATGAATCGTCAGGGATATTTCTGCAACAGTTGGCCGCAATTGTGACTGCAGTTCTTTGAGTGCTCGTGGCAAAGAAGTCGAGGTATGACAGACAAGCTGTGAGACCGCCTTCACGGACTATGCTGGAAGGATATTCAACAGATATTTTTTCCAAAGTACTGAGCGACTGCTCAGCCAAGTCGATAAAAGATATTTCCAGAAGCTTGGAGCACAGCACTGGCACAGCGTTTCCATAGACGACATTCGCCACACTCGCAGGTAAAGCTTCCATCAGATTTGCCAGACAACGGCAAGCAAGGAGCATCACTTCTGGGCTCTCCTCCTTGTTCATCAGTTGAACTAGCTCTCTTACAAAAGCATCGGGAGAGAAGTGCCCCGCAAGATTGTCTTCGTTGGAAACCAATAAAAGTTCAGAGAGCTCTTGCAAGGCAATGACCTGAAGAGAGAGGTCATCTTCCCGAAGGTTGTTGAGAAGCTCACGCAAACGGGCAGTGAGGCCAGACATCATTCCCGTCAGAGCACGCAGAGTACTGGATAATCCTGCAGCTCCAAACGCGCCGAAAGGGTCGCCGTCATCATGGTCACCAAATGCGTCACCGTGATCGTTTTCGTCGTCGTCGTCGTCATCGTCGTCGTCGTCCTCTTCCTCATCGCCCTCTTCTCCGTCGTGATTCTCGACTGTGTCTTGGCCATTGCCGCCGTCTTCGCTACCATCGGTCTCATCTGCGGGCTTTGTTGAGGCGTGCTGAATCGACTCAGGATCATCTCTGCTGGCATCGGTGCCACCCATTACGATGTCTTCATCTGCGTCGGCGGCGAGACGTTTAGATCGTCGAGAAAGGGAAGAATGCTCATCCTGAATGTCTATCATTGAAATGTCAGTACAGCCATTATGGAGCCACCGTCCAGATTCTGTAGGTAAACGCACCGGGAGGGCTATGGGTCGATTTTTTGCTGCGGCTTGCCCGTCCGTGTAAGCTGTCGGAAGAGCTATCGTGCGTGGGTTCTCTGGGAGCGTCACGATCACTGACAGGTGTTAGCACGAGCACAGCGCAGAAGAAGAAGCACTTTTTGTATCTCACCTAGAGCCGTCCATTATAGCAGAGGTCTTTTCTTTACGAAGACCCTTAGGCGGTGCTTTTGTGTTTGCACTGAGAGGCAGAGCGGTGGCCGTGTCTTCGGGTATCTTTTGCCTCTTAGATCTCCGGTCCGAGGAGCTGGGGCGTGGTATATCGGCCGACAGCTTGGAGCCCGCCGAAGCCTTGCGTTTGCTGCGAGGAGGCTGTAGAGGTGTCTTTGGGGAAGTCGGGCGATCGGCGGATTCTGAAGTAGGTCTCGTGGCGTTTGGCGCTGCCGAAGTCTGGGCCACCTGACTGGCAGCTTGGCGGGCAGACGACCTGGTAATTCTTGGAGACATGAGCAAGTGATTCTTTGGAAGAAGCGGTTTGTAGAAGAAATCGGCGAAGCAGGGATGATGAATGCTGTGCTACAGTGTCGAGGGTTGGAGAAGTAGGCTGCTGCACTGGCAGAAGGCGTTCAAGCGCGAGATGGCAGGGAGTACATGCTGGATATTAAAACGACTCGGAGAAAAAGCAACAAAGTGTCTTGAGAAGAGGCGACGGAATGAGCAGAAGTGGAATTTTCATGTGGTAGTGGGAAAAAGTAGTCGTGGTGCTGGACACATGGGATTGATTGCGAGCGTGTGCGTTTGTAGCGAGGTGAGGAGGGAGGGCCTAGGAAGTCAAACAGCCTTGGGCGAGCCGGCAGCGGATGGAAAATGCTTTGCGGTGAGTCTGCTGGCCTTTGGAAATGACAGGGAACTCAACGCCAGATCGAAGCCGGCACGATGCTGCAAGTGAATCGACTTGGCTGACGAGAAAACAGTAGATGGTGGTGGCTCGAGACACCCAACGTCACAGTCAGGATGGCGAGGATGCACAAGGGGGGAAAGAAGCGGTACGGGAGGGACGACACGGAACGGAATTCACAAAGTGGAAATGAGAAGAGCGTACCTCTGAGGCGCAACTGGCGTCAGACGTGCAGTGTTGGCCGTGGCAGCGTCGTCTGGAGAAAGTGGCACTGGGTAATCGCCTGCCGGTGTTCGTTCTGCCATGCCCGGACTACGCCATTAGTAGATTTGGCGCGGAGCTCGAAGCGGGCAGCAGGAGTGTTTTGTCGGAGGCGGTGCCGTCAAAGATATGCGGGTCGGCGGTGTGCGTCGAGTATGATGATAACGGCGGATGAGGAAGTATTGTGCGGTTGTTGGGGACGTGGAGGGGGTGGGGGAGAAGCGTGGTTGTCGTGATGTCTGGCCTCCGGTGTGCGGGTGGTGGTTGGCATTATTTAGTGGTGCGGGCAGATGGGTGCGCGGGCGGTCAGTCAGGTGTCGAGGTCTCGACAGCACTTTTGTATCATCATTTATCAGCAACAACGGCCCAGGTACCTACAGGCTACCACCGAATAATAAAGATGGGTGCGTGCCTACCTTAGGGCCTGCTCCAGTATTACTGCTGTGGCGAGCCGTTAACGGGGAAAGTGGCCTACACAGGATTGATTTTGGCTCAAGCTATCTGTTCAATTGTCCAATAATTTTTAACGGGTCAGTTGGCGTACCCGACTTTGATAATTCGTCGCCTAATCAAGACACGTTATGGTGTGCGCGCTCGCGACTCGGGCACGTACTAGACTAACTAGTTAGACTGTCACTGTAATCTGTTAATCCCGTCACCACCAGGCCAGCTCCCTTTGACACAACATCTCCGCTGCAGCAACACCTGGAGCGTCTCACCCCGCACCTGGATTTACCTCATCGGACAAAACCTGCTAACCGCAGATATGCCCTTTCCTCTTTACTTTCGTGCCCCGCCAGACTCGCTTTCACCTCAGTGAATCGGGCTTCGACTCCGGCGTAGTGGGCAGGACCCATTAGCGCCTGCGTTCCATCACTCACCGAGCAGGGCCATGATGTCTGTAGTGGGCATGGATGGGTACATTAATAATAACGGTGATGTACCGGACACAGTACGTGACTAGATTTTGTGACGAAGGATCGAGGTTCTTTGCTTTCAATCAGAGAAATAGACTGATGACTAACTCCCTCAAAGACGGATCGAGGCTCTTGATCTGATGGTGACTCCATGTGGGAAGCGGAAGACAGGTATGTAGAGTCAGTGAAGCAGTATTTGCAGTCCGATCGAGCAGTTTCGCGACGAAGTCTCGCTCGAGCGACGCTAGAATCAGCAGCGATTGAATCTTAAACCAAAGACGACCATTTTCCGTTGCGAATGGATGCAAATCAGTGTCCCGGTTACGTAACTAGGTGATGAGCGCTTACCGCTGGAAGAGCGAACCTTTCGACCTTGTTCTGGCTCGGGTGCATCAGTCCCCTTATCACGAAGATACGCCCATATCTGCCGGCCTTGCTCCCGCGCTGGTTTCTACCCAGGTTCCTCGGTTGGGAAGAAGCGTGGCATATCGCGAATGTCGTGGCTCTTCTGCGCCAAGGCCGTGGCAGGCGGCATGTCTGCGCAGCAGTCTTCTCCCGCGTCTTTTTTTTTTGCCGCCTCTGTGTCTTCTGTCGCCCTAGCCTCCATCTTGTGTGGCTCGTTGTAGCCCTCGTTCACTCTGAAGAATTAGCAAAATATGGCGCGACTCGGTTCGATTTTTTTTCCCCTCCTTCTGCTTCTTCTGCTGTTGCTGTCGCGCCTACTGCGGATGCGATGTCGATTCTCCAAACCAGACTGATGATGCTTGAAATGCCCAACATTCCCAAACGTGCCCACCAGGTGCAGACAGGGGCCCAGTAGGCGCGTTTGTTGAAGCCGAAATGGCCTGACACCGAAAACACGGTTAGGGTTCCGAGACCGTCGAGTTGGTGCTGTGCTGGTAGAGGAGGAAGCGAGCCGCTGCTGCTACTGCATCTTTAGACCTGAAGAGAGAGGTCGCGTAGAGATGTGGCACAAGCGGGCGAAGGCTGTAAACTTTTTAATTTCTTCATGTTTCTTTCTTTCGGGCGGCCCTCTTTTAAACTTTCATTGTTCCTTTCTTTTTAGTCGGGGAATAGCTAGACATGCTTCCAAACGGGGCAAAAAAAAAAAAAATAATAGTACATACCATGATATAAGCAGCCTGCTCAGGATCATCTATCTACTTACCATTCCCCCGAGCCTCAGCCTCTCCAGACCCGCAACGCCAGCGGGCCGGCGTGGATATTGTCGCGGCTTCCGGCCCCACACAGGCCACTTGCTGGTTGCGTGGCCGGTAAAAGCGCGTCTAGTCGATGACGGCGGGGGCCCTGATATATAGTTTTGGTACGAATGCAAGTTTTCATGAGGACCTATTCAAAAGGAAAAGAACAGGTACTGGACTTTTGAAATGGTGGCAAGGTGGTGATCTTTGGTGCTAGAGTATCAATTACTTTGGCTATCTACGAATGGCAGGGTGCGGTCCGGAGCCGGACGCGACTCGGCCGAGTCCCAAGACAACGGCTTGCAAAAGGTGGATTGCCAGCGCCGGCCACTCATGATGCTCATTATTAGCCACATGGTTAGTCGGGAATCATGAAGTATAGCTGTACTGACAAGGACGTCTAGGTGTTAGGCCAGCGTCTCTGTATGGTCTAGCCTACTGTCAGGACTTTTGACTACTTGTGGACCGCTGCCGCAAGCTTTAACTCGTGAACAACGGATATGTTCCGTACTCAACAGGCACAAAGACAATCGTTGATAGCCGACACAGTAACGAGGGTGTCGCGTTAGCGTTTCTCGCTTATCAATTTCTTGTCGAGCTAATGACTTTCTCCCACATTAACTAGTAGACAGGCGTACCAGACTTTTCCCATATCACATAGCTGAACCTACCTAAATAGCTTCCTTTCTCTTCTTCTTAAGGCACAATTACCTTCCACTAGCACCACAACATTTGCCCCGTGATATAGCTGCTTCCTCGTACTATTTGGTCTTTATCTTCTTCTTGACAGTCTCTCTTTCCTCTTGCAATGTGCAACTTTGCCGCTTCGGTATCAAGCTCCGCAGGCTAGATCGCAGAGACGGCGGCGATTCTACCCTCGGCGTCGAGGTGGACGGCTCGAAATCAATGCGGCTCGTCACGTCCGTCTCGCTACTGTCCAACGTGTCGGGTGATTCTGCCTGCGGCTTGGAGAGGCGTACGGGTAACATATTGCGCAGCGGCACGAGAAAGTCCTTGGCCGGCACCTCGTCAGTACCCTTCTCCGGCCAACGGTATCCGAAGATCGCATTGTGTCCAAACACCACGGCGCCGTCTGGCTCCAGCTCTCTCTGTCCGCTCGCCGGCGGCAAGCGGCCGCTGGGCAGCAGCACCTGGACGGGGCTAACGTGGTATGCGGCAGCCTTTCCATGCCTGGAAGCCTGCGACAGCTTGCACGGGCACGCCGCGTAAGTGTCAGCGGGTGAGTGCCAAATTATGTTGCGCGCCAACTCGCGCGGCGCGGCGTGCGGGTCGCCGTACTGCTCCATGATGGCCGTCAGGTCCGCGACACTGGCTGATAATAAGTAGTCTTGCTGCGGCAGGCTGCTCCATCGATCGCACAGCCCCGTGCGGCTTGCAGGCTGGAGGAGCTCACCAAAATTGCTGCCAAAGAGCGTGATGGCCTCGATGGAGCGCACAAAGTCAATCCAGCCGTGACCGAGCGTCGGGATCGTGGCGACGCGCGGCTGAGGTCTGATTTCATTGACCAGATCGACAAAATCCCAGCCCTCAAGGTGCTTTCGCAGGCGTATCTTGAGGTTGATGCCATCGCGGCCGGCGAGATGCGAGTGATAGTCGATCATTTGCTCCAACGCAGCAAAGTGCTTCTTAGCAAGGTCGCCAAAGTGAAAATAAGTGGATGTCTGCGTGTTTGTCGAGTTGCCGCTGTCTGCAGAGGTTTTTCGCGTTTGGTAAATGCTGTCTGGATATATGACGAGTCCCTGGTTACCCTGATCGATAAGCACGCGCATCGCCGTGTTGTGCTTATACGACTTATCTGGGAAATTGTTCATCTTGCTCTTGTCAAACAGTAAACAGGCGCTGCTGTCGTCGTGTTCCGATTGTGCCAACGAAGCACGCATTATGTGAAGCAGCGCGCTGGTACCGTTGACGAGCCATCCTCGCTTCACCTTCTCATCCCAAAACACGATATATCTCTTAGATAACCATTTCAGCTGAGGGATTGTGCCATTTCTTGGGAGATGCGGAGGAAGCTCCTTGACGCCGGGAGTCAATACTGCTCCGCCGGTTATCATGCTGCCTGCGGAGATGACCACCTGGTCTAGAAAGAAGCCGGCAGAAGAACGTGGCAGACGCGAACCGCAGATTTCATAGTTCGCATCCGGGGATCCTACGTCAAAGTAAGCAAATCATCCCGACCGGCAGTGGAGGTACTTTACCAGCGCAATACCTGCTGCTTGAGCACCAGCCAATCACGTGTCGAAAGCTCCCAAGCCTCGCCATGTTCACTCTCTCAACTCTTTGCATACAGTCTACGTAAGACACTCGCTTTCCTGGTCGAGCATAGTAGTAGTGCCAAATAAGGATATTTGACAATGACTTGATGGCAACCACCATGGTCGAATACCCCTTGATAAAGATCTTGTCGTTCCATTCAACCACTCTCCGTGATCCACTGAGCTCTGCCATCATGTTGAGCGGCATCTCCAAGCCGAGTCCTTTGGTGGCCCGTTTTGATATTGGGAATCCGCTCGCGAGCACGGCACCTTGAAACATGTGCTGCCAGCATCTTCCGGTTTGTGCCGTCAAGGGTATCGGACGCGCCAAGAAGTGGACAACAAAAACCGGCGTGGCAAGTTGGGTCTCGACAGCTTTAGCTCGCGCGAATATTGGTGTGCATTCCCAGACACCCTTGATCGCGGGACCAGCTCTAGCGGTACAGCTAATCCATGTAAATGCTTGTAGTATTTGAGTAATAATGTTTTCATCTCCCACTCCACTGATGAGAATATGGTCTCTTCCGTAATAGACTCGGACAAAGGTGTCGAAGGTAACTGAAACTACACAGAGTTAGCGTTTCTATCTTTCGTTGCTCTAGCCAAGATCAAAGTTCTTTTAGGGGCGCAATCCCAGTTCGTCTATGCACAGCATTACAAGCTCACCTTGTCGTAGAGGTTTACGGCCGAGGCAAGGATCGAGTAAGGCTGGCAGTAGCTCTAGAATCTCGTCTGCAATTTCCGGCCACGTTTGTGCCAGATATTCACCAACTGTTAAGGCCTGTGCATCGGTCGAAAAGCCTGTAAGCGTAATGAGCGAGCTAAAAGGTTGCTTTCTCGAATCTTCGTCCACAAATTGCGACTGCAAAAAGTGACGAAGCGGCCAGTCGATACCCACCACCACAGAAGATTGGCATGTCGTAGTCTCAGTAGCAGCTCCTGTTCTCAGGGATACTTTGGCTCTCTTCATCTGATCTGGTACCATTTGTATACAGTCTAGCATGTCTTGACCAAGGTCATATTTCCTGTCCAAAAACAACAGGAATAGGTCTTCCCCTGTGAGAGTAGGATACTTCGAGTTGGCTACCAATGCATCATTGGACTTATCCTTTTGGGATTCTGTATCAACAGTGATCGGAAAATGTGTCTTTGGAGGTGAAGACATGTAATGCCGGGCTCGGAGGCGCCAGTAGTCAGATCTCGGGTGTGATCGTATACGAGGTGCCCACCTTTTCACCCTCGCGACATTCGGCAGCGGCACCGGAGGAGCAGCTGGATTCTCGGAAGATTCTTCTTTGATGGAGGAGGGGAGTGGCGTCGGGGGGGACTCAGGCACAAAGTTGTTACCGTCGCCAAAAAATTGCATCATGTCGTTCAAACCGGCATCTTGATGGATGTACTCGTCCATGAAAACATCTGTATACCGGATGCCATAGTACTCTTCCATGCCATCGACGGTTAGCTGGGCTGGCATGATAGCACTGATAGCAGCAGATTCAACGCTATCTTCTTGAAGTTGCTGCAGTTGGGGTCCTTGCAACTGCAGCAGCTGCTGGGGTTGTTGCATCTGCAGCTGCAGCTCCTGCTGCTGCTGTATGGCATGCTGCCGTCTATACCTGGGGCTTTGAGACTGTCCCGAAATGAGCGACTGACGATAGATGCCGTCAATTCGATTGCCAAGGAATTGTACCGCTTGATGGTCCACTTGGATACCCAACTCCGAAAGAAGCAGAGGGAGTTCTCGTAACAAAGAGTCATGACTGTGACCGATGAGAAGCAGCATCTCCCCAAACCCAGGCTCCACGTAGGGGGACGGCGGCCTCTGGTGGTCGATGAATAACAGGTCCCACATGCGATACCATTTTTCGTATTGGCTGAGTGTCGCAACATCGAGTTCTAGAAGCGCAGTAGCCTCTTGAGGACGAAGAGACTCTGGCTCGGGCACGAATTGGCAAGCTGGAATTTGGGCCACGTGGCTCTGCCATAGCAATAATTCGTTATTCTTCCAAGTGCGCCAGCAATTTGAGCAGTAAAGGGTGCCGAGGCTATGGCGGCTGAGTATATGCTGCTTGACGTCCGAGTATCGCATTAACTGGTACTTGCGGTAGCAGTCAAAGTGCCGAGCAGGATCGAACTTGTAGAAGGGACATGCGAGGCAGCGGGACCTTGCGCCGTCCTCTTCAACATCGACGCCAACATGAATAGACCCTTTGCCATCGTGATCTTCGTTGTCGTCGTTGGTATTCTTGTCGGTGAGACTGGCTGAGGATCGATACCTGCGTCCACCACGATATCTTCGACCAACCCCAGCGTTGGTCTGCCGAACGCCTCGACCACTACTCCGACCATGGGGAGCCGGACCTGGCATGGCTAAAGGTTGGGCGCGTATAATGTTGTCTGTACATATGACGGCAGAGAGAAGATGAGATGGAAGAGCAGGCCACCAGGCTACTTTTAAATAACGGCGGACGAGGCGGGCCAGATCAGCCCCCAGACAGCTCCTAGTCGAGCACAATTGTGCTGGAACACTACAAAGTTGGCGCACTGAGGCACCCCTGGGTAGAACTAGTTACAGTTGGACAACGGAAAATAGGGCGGAAACCGATGGACGGCCGTAGGCGGCCTCCAGTTACTTCCAGCTGCAGGGCTTTCAGCTCCGTCTCAGCCTGGGGGCTGTACAGTGTGGAGGGTCGAGGCTAGGTGGCATGCCGCAGAATTCTATTTCATGACTTGCGTCTATTTATTCTGTTTTTCAACTTCTTTCGTCTTTCCTTCATACATGGCCCATTCACGTCTTCAGCGTCTCCTTGCCACCCTCAAACTCACCTACGTCGTACTCGTCAGGGTAATTGTCAATCAGCTCCCTCAGCTCCTGCATCTGCGCCTTGAGACCCGGCGTCAACTCGGCGTAAACATCCTCGAACATGGTTTTGATCGCGGGCTTCTTCTCCTTCTCCGCGGCGCTAAATTCCCGGAGAACCTCCTTGCGTAGCGCATCGCGCGCCTCCTTCTCCTTGGCCTCGTCCCAGTAGCCCTTGGCCTCCATCCACTTGCGCAGGCGGGTCAGCGGGTTGTCGCGGCGCTTCCAGTCCTCCACCTCGACGCGCGCACGGTACGCAAACGAGTCGTCTGACGTGCTGTGATGCGACACGCGGTATGTCATGGCCTCGATCAGAACGGGCTTGCCGCCGTCTTGCAGGGCGAGCTCGCGCGCCTTCTTGGTCGCTTCACGCACGGCCCAAATATCGTTGCCATCGACGCGGATCGTGTCGATACCGTAGCCGATGCCGCGGCTGGCTATACCGTCACCGCGGTACTGCTCTAATGTGGGAGTGGAGATGGCGTACCCGTTGTTACGGCAGATGAAGATGACGGGGCACGATCTGGTGGCGGCAATGTTCATGGCGGCGTGGAAATCTCCCTCGCTGGCAGCACCCTCTCCAAAGAAGACGGCGCAGACACGAGCCTTGGACTCGGGGTTCTGCAGTTTCTGCAGCTTCAGGGCGTATCCCGCGCCCGAGGCCTGCGGCAGTTGTGTGGCTAGAGGTGACGAGATGGTGTGCTGTGTTCACTGTTAGCAAAGTGCATAAATATTCTGTGACTGTACAAGCTACATACCACATTGAGCTTCTTACTGCCGTAGTGAATAGGCATGTTTCTGCCCTTTCCAGGGTCATTTCTGTTGGAGAACAATTGAGACATAAACTCCTTGGTTGTGAAGCCTCTCTCCTTGAACAGACCCTGCTCACGGTATTGGCAAAAGACGACGTCTTCGGGGTCTAATACGCTCGACGTTCCCACGCTAACAGCCTCCTCGCCGGCGCTGACCATGTAAAAGCTGAGACGGCCCTGTCGCTGGGCGTCAAACATGATCAAGTCCATGATGGAAATGAATAGCATATCCTTGTACAACTTGACCACCTGCTCCTCCGAAATGTCCGGAGTAAAAGAGCTGTCCACGACAACGCCATGCTGATCCACCACTCGGTACGTTGGAAGAGCCTTGTAGGATTCTGGGTTCTCGAAGTTGAGGTTGTGCGTAAAGGCACTCTTGAGAGCGCCGGGAAACTGGACAAACTCCGAGTTGGGACGCTGCGAGACGCTGCTGGCGGCGCGCACTGGGCCAAGGGCGGACAATCGCGATCTGGCGGCGGCGGCTGCCCCGCGAATTTGTACTCTTTGCAGCATACAAGCCCTCATTGTGTGTCGGTTGAGGCAGTCTCCTTCTTTGAGAGGGAAAAATGGAGGAGAAAACGAGAAAAGCTTGGTAGTAGAGGTTGCAGCGGCGCAGCGCCTCAAATTCTGGGGAAATAGTGTTGCTCGGCTGTTGGTGGTTGTTTGTCTGGGGTCGATTGGGGTCGAAGCCGAAGCAGAGCGACGTCACTTTGAGCCGACTGAACCCGCTAAGCCGTACGCCAAAAGTGTGGGCTGCTCTGCCACAAACGGCAAACAATTTGGTCAGCATCATTGTGCCGGGTCAACTAATAATGCCATCCAATGGCTTTGGCTGTCAAATCTTTGTACATAATTTGCATCCCTCCGCGTTAGTCGCCCGTTTGTTGTTATTACCGCAACACTGCGTCTATGTACCTAAGTACCTACACAGCAGTGCCAGCTGCCAGCTGGCGGTTCCGTTTGCCAAGCAATGCTCGTACAACCCCCAAAGAAAACTCAGTCCAAAGTGAATAATTATAAAAAAAAAAAAAAAAAATTGTAAAACCCCCATTTTCATAGGATTCAAGAAATTTGGTGTCCATTTGCACCAACTCTGCGCTCGATGATGACTAGTTCAAAAACCGGCCTGTTGGTGACCATCGTAGTGGTCCTTGTCGTTGTTGGCCTCGTAGGCTATGGTCTGCACTTTCTGATCAGTCAACTGGTTCGGAGGGTTCAAAATACGAAGGCGAGGGACGAAGAAGAACAAGCAGAGCAGGCTGAGGCAGAAGAACAACATAATTCAGACGCTGCAATCGCATCCACCGAGCCACCTGCTCAAACCGCAGCAGTCAATAACTAGCCGCAAAGCGAAATCAATTGAAAGCAAAGATTGGCCGCAGCAAATAAACGCTCGAGAAGCCGGCATCAAGCCAAGCAAGCCCTTGATAGGCAAGATCACCAACCTGATGACGAGATCGAGCAGAGCCGCAGCACGAACCAGCAGTGGAGCCAGCGTAACTCCACCGAGAACCGCAGGTCCAAAATTTCCAGGCACGACATCGACGCATAGCCCATTTCTTGACGAGCGGCACTCAATCAGTCAATCGGACGCATATATCACAAATAAACCACAACAATGGCCTCAAGACAGGGCCTGCGGACATGCGCCGCCTCCATGCGCGCCGCGGCCGCGCGACAACAACCAATGCGCCAAATCAGCACCACGGCCGCCCGCCGCCACAAGACCGAGCACCAGCAGAGCCGCACCACACACTTCGGCTTCGAGACAGTTAATGAGGAGGAAAAGGCCGGCCGTGTGGCCGGCGTATTTACCAGCGTTGCTGAATCATACGATAAGATGAACGACCTCATGTCCTTTGGCGTACATCGTCTGTGGAAGTATGGCCAGAATTGCCCCCCTATGAAAATGCCCCCCCCCCCTTTCCAAAAAGCTCGTGACAATGACACCGACCGACATCAATACTGATCAATCCGATTCCCATCAACAGGGACTACTTCGTTTCCTCACTAAACCCCGGCGCGACGACTCCGCTTGGCCGACCGCAAAAAATCCTCGATGTGGCCGGCGGCACTGGCGACATTGCCTTTCGCATGATCTCGCACGCCCACGACCAAAACGCCAACCCCAACATCCACGTCACCATCTCCGACATTAACCCGGCCATGCTTGAAGTCGGCCGCCAGCGCTCCCTTGGCCTGCCCGCCTCGCACCAGGCGGGCCTCTCCTTTCTCGAGGCCAACGCCGAGCGGCTGCCGCCCGCCGTTGCTGACGCCTCGCTCGACCTCTACACCGTCGCCTTTGGCATCCGCAACTTCACCGACGTGCCGGCCGCGCTGCGCGAGGCCTACCGCGTGCTCAAGCCTGGGGGCGTCTTTGCCTGTATGGAATTCAGCAAGGTCGGTAACCCGCTGCTCAATGCCGCCTACAAGCAGTGGTCGTTTAGCGCCATCCCGCTCATCGGCCAGCTCGTCGCTGCCGACCGCGACAGCTACCAGTACCTCGTCGAGAGCATCGAGCGCTTCCCTAGCCAGGACGAGTTCAGAGACATGATCAGAGACGCTGGCTTTGACGTGGCTGGTTGCGGGTACGAGAACTTGACGGGTGGCGTGGCCGCTATTCACAAAGGCATCAAGCCGCTGAAATAAACAGCCTCTTCGAGACTGTCGGCCAAGAAAAAATAAACACACTGTGAAACATGAGAAAGGTGTACAGCGGCGAGGGCTATCGGCCAGTTTCTTCAAGCCATCGCTTGCCCTTGAGCCATAATGAACACCTCTGTATAGAATGTAAACTAGACACAACGATATCGTCTGGGAGAAGTCACCACTGAATTAGTATACAGCAAATGGATATATGTTCCGACTTTTAAACAAAATATTGTCTCTGGCTGAACTCCGTACAACTTGGGACATATTAAGACAAATCCCCAATGCCACCGGCCGAAATTACTGTCCGCAGCATCAAGTACAAGTACCAAAAATCACCCATCCTATTCTTTTCTTCCTTATAGAAACGTACTTGAAACACACTTCTCCCCGGTAATCGCCGTCTTTCTGCCACTAGCAGATCAACTCTTTCTCTTCTTCTTCAAGAAGATCACGCTGCTTATTTACTCAGCGGGTGAAGACGTGCTAGCGTCACCCTTGCCTCCACGGCCTCGAGCTCCTCGACCACGTTCACCGCCTCGGCCACCGCGACCACCGCGACCGCCACGGCCACCACGGATGTTGCTTTCGGAGTCACTTGCTCCTCCCGCGCTGCGATATCCGCTCGCGCTAGCGCCGCCGCGTGCATTGGCGCCCCAGTTCCCAGCACCGCCGCGGGCGCCACCTTTAGTCTCACGAGGTTGGAAAATCTTGACCCAGGGCTTGCTGCGGTCCTCCGAGGTTCTTGTCTTAACAGAGTCTGGCAAATTATCCATAGCAGCATCTCGGTCAGCGGTGCTCTTGAATTGGACAACCTTGTTCGAGCTACCCCACTTCTCAATCTTGACAATCTTGGCCCTGTCTGCATCGCTGAACAGTTCACGGCACTGGTCTTCGGTGCTGACATTCATGATGAACAAGCCAATGATGTCAGAGGGATATGTCTTGGGGGCGGGAGAGGTAACGGGGTCAGGACCGCCGTTGGCGGAGGCAGGAGTCTTCTCCGTATCCTTGTTTGTATTGCTCTGGTTAGGCTGGGGAGTGGCCGGCTTGGCAGGCGTGGAACCCTTGGCCTGTTTCTCATGCTTGTCGTGCTTGTCAGGTGGTGGGCGAGAAGTAAGCGCGGCAGGAGCGGGAGGTGGTGTTGGCGCACTGGCGGAGGTCGAGGTGACGGGTGCGCTAGCAGCAGCGCCAGACTGTTGCTTGGCTCCTCTATGCGAGAAGTTGAAGCCCTGAGCGCGCATCTCCGTACCAATGCGACCGTCTTGGATTTCCAAAACAAGATAGCCAAAAGCGGCATCAGCCAAGTTAAAGTTCCACATATTTTTGAAAGCGCTCTCGTCAACCTGTCCGAGGGCCGCATGTCCGCTGACCGGGCCGCCGAAGGGGTTACCGCCAGCAGCGGTAGTAGGCATTTTCTCCACGATCTGAAGAGCGTTCTTGAGGAGGTTCTGCTGAGCTTCGTTTTGGGAAATGGCAGGCTCAACCTCACCCTTGACTGTCTCCCAAACGTCGTTGAACGAGGCTTTGGAGGCAGCTAGCTTGCCACGGTAGTGATCAAGCGTGGGATTCACGCTGAACTCGTTGTAAGAGCTTCCGTAGCGGAAATGGAGACCGGCCGAGACAGAAAAATCGGCCTTGAGTGCTACGGAAAGCTGGTTGAGAATGCCTTCTCTGGCAGGGGAGGCATGGGTAATGAAGACTCGAGTTTCAGTCGGATCGTAGACTCTGTGCGCAGTGTCCACCAGCTCGCCCATCTGAAGAAGAGTTGTCCACATCGTACCCTGTCCACCAGCAATAGTGGTGCGGCCCTCCCCGTTATCAAAAAGCTTGTGCATAACGACGGCACCACCGAGGCCGAGCAGACGAAGCTTGACACCGCCAATCTCTAGTAGCATTGATCTAGCCTCGTCAATGATGTGGAGGTTGTGAACCTTGTATTCTGAAGATCGAAACTTTTCGAGAACGCGCACGTCTTCGCAAGCACCCCAAACAGTGTGAACGGGGACATCGAGCTTGAGCGTGCCGTTGAGCAGGAGCGGGAGCTCGGAAAGAGGCAGATCGCTGGCGGGGAATCGAGACTTGATGGGGCCGGGACCACCTTGTTGAATGGCCTTCTTGACTGGCTCTGAAATGAGGGGGGAGTACTGAGCAACGTGCTTCAGCGTCTTCTCGACGATTCTATCCAAAGATGTATCATCGTAGAAACCAAAATCGCCGGTGTGGATGATGTAGTTCGCGCGGGCCTGTTTGGCAAGGTCGTTGAGTGATCGCAGGTTACCTGTTGGCGGTTAGCTTCGCATTTCGGGGAGCAAACGGCGACGTGGCGAATACCTCGAACATCTGCGACGCAGAGAACTCGCATAGGACCAGTCTGAATGACACGGCCTTGGTTCGGCAGAAGGGGAGCAGCTCCCGGCTGAGGGGCACCGCCGTTCTGGAGGTAGCCTTGGTTGTTGAATGTCCTGGGCTGGTTCAGGTTAGCCATGGTGCTTTGGGGACGCTGCTGGCACCATTGATTTGGAACTTGGTGCGCGTTTGTTGGTGCCGGTGCCCGGGCCTCGTAGAACTCGGGTAATCGATTCATGACTCTTTTTTCGACGTCGCGAGGGCAGTTGCGGATGCGAATAGGCAGAAAGCAGATGAAGGAAAGGAAAGTGAAGAGAGAGAGAAAGCAGCCGAGTCGCGTGTGAGGGGAGATAAATATGGACGAGTCCGTTTGCTGTATCACTCACTGGGCCGGCAGGTCGTTACAGCTGGCGGCACGCGTTGGAGGCGGCGCCCCGACATGCACAGCAGCTGCAAGGCATCCAAGATAGGGGACAGAAAGCAAACACTTACCGCGGCCATTCTATCACGAGACGACAGGAGCGCTTGAAACGGGTATCTCGAAACGAGAGTCGGGAATCGAGGACGATTGGCGATAGGGAGGATGCGACGCCAGGGAAAAAAGGACGAAGTGGTGGATGTTTGGGGTTGGAAATGAGGCGAAGGAGAATATGTTGCGGCGCGCGCTGCAGCAGAGGCTGTTTTAGTGTAAAAAGAGCGCTGCTGCGTCAAGCTTGGCGGCCAGAATCCAGAGTGCTGGGGCAGCGTGAGCGAAGCTCTTATGGGGCCCTGGATATAATTTTTTGGTGCAAGGGTGCCTGAGATGGCGCCGCACAAGGGGAAAATGGGTTGTGGAGCTTTTCTTTGGTGCCGAGTACCTTAGGTAGCTGCCTACCTAGCTATTTACCTACCGAACAGTCCAATAGTATCAATGCTTCATGAAAAGTCTACAAAGAAGCAGGTAATACTGCAAATGGAGCGTCTTGGTTGAAACGGAATCGCAGTGTAATCTGTTAAAGCAGATTCGGCATGTACAACTGAAAACCTCTCGCTTTGCTTGGATGAACACTGCTTAAGCCAGTCGGGTCGGTCTCTATACAACTAAGAGCGCCTAGGCAATCATGCAATAGCTACTTTTTCAACAGCGGCTGCATATTTACCCAGGTGACACCTGACGGAAGCCAAAGAATCATGTTGCCGTTTCTGCAGGTACCTGTTTTACCTGTGACACCTAGAAATAATTCGCCTATCACTGCCACGCCTCGTCCTCATCTCTATCCTGCATCACCACACCACCAGTGACTTTACCTCTCTACGGCTGCAGTCGATCGTCTCACAATTGATAAATTGTAGTTGTGTAAGTATCATAGTAGTAGCATTATGACATGAGTATGGCTGTAGCGGGCTTGTTAGAGAGCACCACAGGTTCAAGGTGAACATGTACAGACTCCGCTGCGTGTCTGGCGGCTTCGGCGAAACTTTTGCTGCTTCAATGAGCGCCATAATCGCTCACATATCCATGAAAGATGTTAGTTTCCTTCTGAGTTGCCTTCAAAGCTCTGCGCAAGTGGCCCAAGTTATGTCGAATGGTACCATGACTGTCACTTGTTGCCATCCCATCAAGCATGTGGGCGCAACCTACTCACCAAGATGTAGTTCCTCAGTGGCGTCCTACCACTCTCGTCGGAGACTCACATTGGCATCAAGGGTTAGCCCTCATCGGCGTTCTGTCTGAGAGTAGCATCTATCATTAGCGGTACTTGTTGGTGCAGTGTTAGGTTCCAGCCTGGGTCGAATGAGGCGTGGGTGCGGCGGGCAGCCCAATATTACAACGTCTTGAAGAGGGCTTGATGTCGAGTCCGTGGTTAAATAGCAGGTCAAATAGCAGGTCAAACCAGCTCGGCGTGATGTGGACATGAATCGAGTCAAATGCGGAGCGAGTAAGTGACTATTGATAGAATACTGAGTAGCTAAATATCAAATCAATAAATACCTGAAGAAGAACTGCAGAAAGGTACTTTGCCTCGCCGCATGGGCCACGTGATGTGGGCGCCAGGATTGGGGACAAACTCCATCAGCCGTGTGGACGCTGCCAGCCAGGTCACTGATAGGATACATGGAGGTACATAGTGGGGCACGTAAAGCCCGCCGCCAAATGCCCTGGTTCCGGGGCTCGGTCACTGACCCTGTCAGGTACTGGTGACTTCTCCAGGTTGCTGCGCCATGAGACAGCACTCCAAGGTTAGGACCATCGCCGTCATTTACGAGGCCCGCGCAGCAGTGAAATCTAACACGATAGACTACACGAGACCGATCTTCCATCTATTTTGCCAAACAACAACCGCCTTTGGACCATCCTCCTGCTGCATCATATCTCTCGGCGCAGTATGCGACAGTAATACATGACGGTCGCCGTGCTCAGGAGTCGTCGGGTTTCTTGACCCCCCGTTTGGACGACAGCGCCATACGCGCCAGCCACATCGCAGCATTCCTACATGCAGGATAACAGAGGATAGCGATCAAGATTCTTTCTACTGTACGAGACGATATCTTGACAGCGACTTTTAGCGGGTCGGCCTCGTCTTCGGCCAATATGCCACCTTCAACGATGGTGCGTACTGAGTCCTTACGCTACAGCCTGCGCGGTCACCATACATCTTTGTTGCTATTGCCTCAGGGCAGGGCTCGAGACTCTCGTGCATCATCCAGCACACTTAGCCGCCCGTATGATGTGACTTCCTCACTAACCAAACGTATAGGCCCAGGGGCCACATTCCAGGTTGGGCGACAACTTCAACGTCAAACGCGGTCATACGACCCAGCTCTCGATATCCGATCCCAGCCACCACGTCACCGAAGCGATTGGAACCATGTACGGTGATGAAGACGACTCTCCCCAGGAGAGCAACCGGCCTCTCAGCTATATTGATGACGGCTATCAAGAACAGATCGGGCTTCACAGCACTCACTTCGGGTCGCACTCCAGTACCGGCAGGCAGCCACTCAAACGCTCCGTTACCGATCATCAAAATACGTCACAAACTTCATACAACGATCAAGGGCTCAAAACACCACAGACCTTACATCTGCTCAACTCGGCGCACCGATCGAGTTCTTTGGAACAGGGTGCACGTGGACAGCCACCATCTGTGCCAACCTCACCGGTGTCTCTTCGAGATGTCCAAGCAGACGCCTCTGGCTCCCAATTCCCGCTAACAAATATCGATAACCCTAGTGATATCGCTCAGGAACTCAGCAACTTACAGGCGCTGCGCCGGTTGTCCATGGATGTGGGCAACCGAGTTGATCCAGACATGCCTATGACGCTGTCTTCGATCCCTTCAATAGCACCGACAGGCAATGATGACGAGGATGACCCATCGAGGTTACTCTGGGTTCCGGCCAGAGTGCATCCGGAGTTGGCCCCGTCGGAATTCAAATCATTCCTAGAGAATAGAGTCAACTCCATCAGACGACGCTCCGGCGAGAGCCATCTGTCTGTAGAAGGAGATAGGGGAAGCAGCGAATCGAGCTCTTTGCTTCGTAGGAAGTCCATGCTTTCTCGCCAAATAAGTGGTTCAGGGGCAGAGGGCTATATGGATGGAGCCGAGCGATTAGAACGTCAAAGATCACGACGGGGCAATCAGTCCCTTGAGCTCAGTCTGGAAGAGCTTGTCAATGATCCTGCTGGGGTTGTGCAGAGGCTTTCAGAAGAAACACACACTCAGTATGGCGACTCGCAAGACAATCGGGACGATATGCCAATCCTACCCATGGCTCCTGGAATGGGGTTGCGTCGATCAACGCGAACGACTTATCGCAAGGGTGGGAGCCTTCGCAAAGGCGATCGAGGGACCGTGTCACGGCGTATTACAAGCCGTCGGCAGGAAAGCCAGAGCTTGCCAATGGCCAGCCCTCCTCTACAAGGTGCGCCAAGAGACCAGGACTCGGTGCGAGCTCAGTCCGAGACGGTTCATGAAAATTTCTCGAGACCGAACCGCGCTGTTCGCCGCCAGAACAAATTCTCACAAGAATCTCCCGCCGCGCTCGCAGCACTCGAAGGCACATCTCTCAGCCCCAGTATGTCCAATGACGCAAACATTCCTGGCGAAGAAGAAGCGGTCCTGGCTCCCGAGCCATCTTTACCTCCAACGATCTCCATCACGGAACAACCATCGTCTCCTGCCTCATCAACTCATGAGACACGAGCTACGGATGCTTTCCCCCAAAGATCCTCGTCTCAAAGGAACGCTGCCAGTGACGGCGCTCAGCTCAACACTGTCCAGGAAGAGGCTTTACCGCGCAGCAGTCGCGATACGGGAGTCAACCATGGAAGCAAAGTATATGGAGTGCATCATCAACATCAGCAGAGCGTACAAGCACAAACTCAGCAACACCAAACTCAGAAGAAGTCTCTGCAATCCCAAAATCAACAGCATCAACAGTATCAGCACTCCTCAGCTCAGTATACACCAAAGTCACCGCCGCAAACGCCTCAGTCGCAAACTCTCAGCGAAGGTCTGGCTTCGAACCCCAGCTTGCCAGGTGGCGGTAACACCAGGACCGACGCTTTAACATTTATTCCTACACTTGGTCCAGATGAGCGCAAGAACGAGAAGAAGTCCAAGAAGGACAAAGATGACGATGCTTCTAGCTTCAAGTCGAGTGGTGCTTGGAAGTGGCTTAAAGGTGTGACTGACGACAAAAAGAGGGACGACGGTAAAAAGTCAAAGGCCAAGGCGCTCGCAGAAAAGATTCAAGACAACGCCAGATTGGATGTTCTTCAAACTTCAATCGATAAAACTGCCCCCAAGGCGCGGGAAAGTCTTGTACTGGACCGTGAGTCTTTTGATGGCAAGCTGCAAGAGGAAAAGAGAAAGGAGGGTTTGAGAAAAGGCGATTCGAAAAAAGAAAAAGACGGCAATATTTTTACATCCATCTTCGGCGGGGGCAAGAGAAAGGAAGAGAAGGAGAAGGAGAGGAGCACCAGGAAGAACTCACTGCTTCATGTGCCGGATGAGCCCATCTACAAGCCGCTCCAGCCAGATGTTGACTATAACTGGACAAGATTCCCTCTTCTGGAAGAGCGCGCGATTTATCGTATGGCACATATCAAGTTGGCCAATCCTCGCCGACCGTTGCTCAGCCAAGTCCTCCTCAGCAACTTCATGTATAGCTATCTGGCCATTGTGCAAGCTATGCACCCGCAGATGAACATTCCCGTTTCCCCACAACAAAAGCGGTTGGAGGAGGAAGCCAGACGCAAGCAACAAGAACAGGAATATCGTGCGCAGCAAGGCATGAGTGAGGAGGACCAACAGAACATTGATCAGTATGATTTCGACTATCACCGGGTACGTTTGAATGATATAGACATCTCTATGAATCGATCTAACGACAACAATGAACAGTCTACCATTCAGTACGCAGAATCTGGAAACGAAGGCTCAGTTGACTACGTCGATGACGCTCAAATCTATGAAGATGATCATGGAGATAGCCAAGATCACGACTATGATTATGGCGACTCCAAGTCATATGACAAAGGGGATAAGGACTACTATGAATATCGCGAAAAATAGATCACAGTAGGCCGAGCCAAGCGAGTATATGGTGTATGCTTTTCTAATGATTAGTTTTGGCTCGACCAAAACCACCATGGACGGAAGCAATATCCGCAGCTGGATCTTTCCCCAGCCTGAGAGTCAATACCACTATTTCATGCGCGTCGCTACCTGGAGTTTTTAGCATCTTCTGGAGTTTTTTCTTTGTTATGTTTTCTCTACCTGTTGTCTTGGTCAATCCAGAGGGAGGGTACTTGTCAATTTTTGAAACTTGGCTCCTCACCTCTTGAGCATCTTCAGATCAGGCGCAAATCATTGGGAGGGCTCTAAAATTCAAGGTGTATCTTTTTGTTCCTTCCAAACTTTTCTTATCGAAGCTAGCGCTGGGTCTCCATTTTCTATTGTCATTTCTTCCTTGGCGCTAGCAGTAACGAAGGTTGAAAGAAGCGGTAGGCATAGCGAACAGTAGACTATTGAAATACCACCCCATGATACGTGGCGGACACATGCAGCACCGAAATTCAAAAGCGCATATCGGGATCAAATTCGTTGTTACTTAAAACACAGTCAATTCTTTGAATCGAATGAACGCCAAAGTGTGCGCTTTCGATTAGTTGACACACGGGCTTAACTGGGTTGCAGAATCTGAAGCTGCAGGATGATGTACACGACAGAATAGAAAAAGTCTATTTCTTTGGCTCCTCCTTCTTCTCCTCAGGCTTCGGCGTAGGAAGCTTGAAAGATTCGGGTTTGCGGTCCTCTCCCTTGCCAACTTGCTCCCAAACACTTGAACCACCCTCGAAGTTACGGAAGGCCTGGGTAAGCTCTAGGGGCTCCGTGACGATGCGTTTCTTCTCCTCATCGTATCGGATCTCGGTATAACCAGTAAGGGGGAAGTCCTTTCGAAGAGGATGGCCCTCAAAGCCGTAATCGGTCATGATTCGGCGGAGATCGGGGTGACCAGTAAAGTAGACGCCGTACAAGTCGTAGACCTCACGCTCGTACCAGTTGGCGCCGTCAAAGAGACCAGTTATACTAGGGACAGCAGAGGTCTCGTCGGCGTAAGTCTTGACGCGGATGCGGGAGTTGTGGCGGATAGAAAGTAGGTTGTACACGACCTCGAAGCGCTTATCGCGGGTGGGATAATCGGCGGCAGTGACGGTGCTGACCTGGGTGAACTCGGCGGCGGTGTTGTCTAGTACTGAGTTTAGTACTTCTTTGAGAGAATTGACACACAAATATACGGACACTTTAGAAACGTAAAGGTGGGGATGACTCCGGAGGGAGGAATGTAGATCGTGAGCTCATCTTTCCAAACAGAAAACTGCTGGACGTATCTCGGAAGGCAGCCCATCACCCAGGCGCCGTATCGGTGCATGTTATCGGCCTTGCTCTGGTACTTGTCGGCGGGGTTAACAATTGGCGCCTTGAGCTCGCCGATGTGGTCACGGGGTGCCATTCTCATGTTTTGGACATCCTTGGGCATCGCGACCAGCTTCGGCGCAGAGGTCGAGACGCCGCGGGCGACCGGGACATTAAGGCCGTGGAGGGGCTGCCTCCCTGGCCTCAGAGCTGAAGCCAGCGAGCCGCTTCTGGTCATCTTGGTTGCCATAGCCAATTCGGTGCCTCTGTCAGACCAATTGGCGAACGGACGATTGGGCTTGCTGTTTAGCGATGTTCGACGCTTCGATGCTTGGCGTATCCCGGGATCTCACCTTAACGGTTCTGCTGCTGGGGAGTCTCCGGGGATCTGCCGACATTAGTAATGTACTTGCCAGGAGTGGTGATAGCCGAAGAAACACATGTACTTCACTATGGGCGTTTTCAAGTGGGTCTCATCTCAGTATCACGTGAGGCTAAAATGAGCCTAGTCCCAGAGGGGCGTCGGGCGCTAGGAACTTTCTCGCCAGCAAGAACCTGAAGAGCTGAATCATTCACCTCTCCTGTCCATTAGAGTTATACACTTCGACGCGTTTATTCATTGATACCCTCCTCTTCACCCCTCACATCTATATTATGGCGCCGCAAGATACATTCATAGACGAAGAGGAAGATGTTTGGTAAGTTTTCAACCGCCCGCCCTCTCTGGTCGATGAGCAAGCAGCAACCCAAGTGCTTCGCGCCACACGCCACTGTGACTGACTGTGTGCTATAGCCCTCTTTGCATTGAAGAGTTCGACCTGTCGGACAGGAACTTCCGACCGTGTCCCTGTGGTTATCAGGTATGCGCTGGACGAAAGCGCTAAAAGGCTGTAGAAGGTGCTAACAACGGTCACACAGGTCTGTCAGTTCTGCTTCAATAATATCAAGAACAACATGAACGGGCTGTGTCCGGCATGTCGACGGCCCTATGATGAGAAAACAATAGAGTGGAAAGTTGTTACGCAAGAAGAGTACATTTCACAACGCACTTTTGACTTCGGCAGTTGCTGACGGTTCCCATGAACAGAGTCGCCCAGTTCCGCGCCAACATCCAGAAAAACCAAAAGAAGCGCGTACAAGAACAACGGCAAAAAGAAGTCCTAAAGCGCGAAGCCGAGAAGGAAAACCGCAAAAACCTGGTCGGGGTACGAGTCGTACAAAAGAACCTAGTCTACATCACAGGACTGGCACCAACTGTGCGTGAGGACGAGCTCCTAAAGACGTTACGAAAGCCCGAATTTTTCGGTCAATACGGGAATATTCAAAAAATATCGATTAGCAATCGAAAAAGTCCCGACGGCCAGCATCATTCACTAGGCATATATGTTACTTTCGAGACACCTGATGAGGCTATGCGCTGCATTCAAGCAGTTCACGGCTCTCACAACGGCGACCGAGTCCTCAAGGCGCAACACGGTACGACTAAGTACTGTTCAGCTTGGCTGAAGAACGAAAAGTGCAACAATCCTGGCTGCATGTTTTTACATGAGCAAGGTGACGAGGAAGACAGCTATACGAGACAGGACTTATCTTCCATGAATAGTATTCATACTCAGCGCCCTCTACCAAGCGGTGGCAACTCCTCTCGAGCCGCCTCGCGACAAGTTTCTCACCCAACACCGCCACCAGTGCCGGTGCCTGCGCCTGTCCCTTCGACCTCTGCACAGCCCATGGCCAGGTCGCTGAGCAAAGGCGACTCGGAGACTGGTGATTCCTCTGCTCTCCCTTCATCCGCCAATTGGGCTCGGCTGCCAGTGCGAAGCCGCAGGGGATCTCATGCCACTAGCGGTGCTACCTCAAGCCCTGCAGTGTCAGCATCGGTACCTGTAACCACCGAAAGACAAGAGCCTCTGGAAGTTCCCGAGGCTTCTTCCTCGAAAGCGGTCACGTCCAACTCCAAATCCCCATCGGAAGAAGCCGAGCAGAGCAGCGCAACCGCTCGGCCTGTTTCGCAGCTCAGCGTGACAGCTCTTCTCGACATTCTTAGAAAGTCTACACTGCCTACTTTTACAACACAATCCGGGGGAGACATGGGTCCTCCCATGTTCGATATTCGCGGAGGTGAGAAGCGAAAGGCGATGCGGGAAGACAAAGATTCGCGCACCGAACACAACAACCAGCTCGAACTCCACGAGGGTTCGGAAGACGGCGTTGAAGCCGGTGGCAGCCTTGTCCTCGGTGGTGAGCCTGAAGGGAAAGATCGACTTGGAGAGGGGCACGCATACAGCCAGCAACAAATCACTCCTATTCAAAGAAGCTCGAACGATGGCGTTTTTAGCCCGCCCCTCGCTAGCTCCGGTTTCAGCGCAGGGACTTCTACGGGCACGCCCAGATCCATGACCCCTCAGCAGATGGGTCTCCGTTCACAGACTGGGTATACTGATCAGTATCCTCCCGGCATTGGTGGCCCGAACAACTCATTCCAAGGTCAGGGTCAGGGTCACAATCGCCAGACTTCGCGATTTAATTTCGCGAACGACAGCAGTGCATCGACAACGAACGTCAAGCTGGCTGCCAACCCTCGCATCATGGCACAACAGTCTTCAATGATGCCGAGCTCGTTCCAGACCCAGGGCAGCCAGTTTTACGCCAGCTCGATGCCAGGTCCTCCTCCTGGCCTCAAGTCTACCGGAACCCCACCAAGCATGTTTACTCAGGGGTTCGGCTCTTCGGGCTACAACACGCTTAAGGATCACTCGAATGATCTTCTCCAAAGTCTCACGGGACGAAACCGTGGAAATAATCAGAACCACGAATCAGGAAAGCGTGAGTCTATTCTATCTTCTTTGTCGAGCCAGTACCCCTCCATCACCTCTACCCCAGCTCCTGCTTCCGGTCTCCTTGCATCGCTCTATGGCAACCATGCTGGAGCTTTCCAAGACTTCGCGTCGAAGCAGAAGAAGAAGGGGAAGAAGCATAGACATGCTAACACTTCCTCCTCGGGGGGGAGTGGCTTAGTAGATCTTGCGGACCCGAGCATCCTCCAAGCCAGGATGCAGCACCAAACACAGAGCAATGCCGGAGTCGGACAGGGGCTGTTCAACGGCCAGAATCAAGGTGGGTTCAACAATCCCAACATGATGTACAATGCCGGATATGGCCGTTGGTAGTTGGTGCGATGTCATGGCCATGACTGTTGTACTGTTGATTTCATATGGTTCTTTGCTTTCCGCCTTTTATTTTAGAGTCAATCTTGAAGGCGTTTGTGCCCCTTCATTTTCCGGGGAGCTCCAAGATGCTGTCAGCCAAGAGGAATGGGACATGCATTTGGTTAAGCAAGCGTTTGCAAGACCTGAATTGCTCAGGGTGACTGATACCTGAAGGATTCGAACATGGCATGGCGTCGTTTCTAGCGTGTGCGACATGGCATCCATCAATGTTTGGAAGCGGCACACAAGAGTTTGTGTTTCTATATATATTATACGCTGGAAAGTCCGAAGTGAGCGCAAGCGAGATTGGTCTTTTGGTGTCGGGGTCAAGTCAGGCAAGCCATCATCGTCGTCCACAGTTCCCCATGTACGTTAACAGCTCGCCTGAGCCCCTTTGGGCGTCGATGGACGCAATATAGCACCAATACCCCTATATTTTTACCGTCTTTGAACTCATGTATACTGTGGAACGCGATGATGGGAGCTGTAGCAAGACTCTCTACACCTGTACCTAAAAGTTGCATTTCGTAGTATTTGGCATTTGTGGCACATATCTCACATTGAGGAGATATCATAGACTAACATTGTTCTGCTAGATGACAATTTGCTTTCATTGGCAGATGCAACGAGCTCAGTCGACGCTTTAGTCGCGGACGAAGCGGACGATCTAGACACTTCCTTTGACGGATACACCTCAACGACGACTTCGCATGCGCATGCGCATCCTGAGCCTAGTTACGGCTATGCGTCTGCTGGAGGTAGCATCGTCGCTCATGAACATCCTTCTCCCGAGCCAAGCGCGAGGCGACCACCTCCAGGATTTGGGCCAAGACCACCAGCCACACCTCAAGAATATCCTGCACAAACAGAGGTCAACCAAAGGCGGCCAACTCTGGCTGACGAAGAGTTTCCTGCTCTAGGGTCTCCAAAGGTACCAAAAAGCGCTTCTACTTTTTCTGCCGCTCCAAAAATGGCCCTGCCCAACATTGCTCCTCAAGGGAAGCAAGTCGCGTGCAAGAAGACACAGTCCAGCGACAGCCAAAACAATACTCGGCGCGGTTCTCTGAACAATGACAATGAATCAGATGAAAAAGAAAGAGGAGCTACCAAGGTCGCCATGGCGACACCTAGGTTGGGACCAAGGACGCTTCGAGTCATGACGCCCGTCAGGCTGGAGTCGCCCTCCCTCATGTCTCCCATCGCACCACGCTTACTCTCTCTCGGGCAGCGGCCAGAGACACCTGCAAGCGAGACTGTTAGCGACAGTGCATCCATTGTCTCGGCTTCTGTCTCAGCCTCGCGCGCTGGCTCTCCTCCGCCTAACCGAGTCGTCGGCAGTGCACCGGTCCGTCAAACTACTAAAAGTTCGCAGCGCAAGCAGCGCAAGCATGCCACGAAGCAGGACACCAGAGCCATTGCCGAGGCGGTTGCAGCTGACGAAGCTGACCATGCGCCGGTTTTTGGCCGAATGAAAAAACAGAAGAGGGAGAAACCTGCCAAAGAGAAGCCTGCCAAAGAGAAGCCCGCCAAGGAAATAGCCGCCACCACAGCTGCTGCGGAAGAAGCTGGAGCTTGCAAGAAGGAAGAGCCGCAAGACGAAGAAAAGGGCGGAAAGGTGGCCCCAGGGCAGGAAGCGGAGCCCATTGAGAGCAAGTCGCCCGTGAAGAATCAGTCTGGAAAGGTCTTGGAGCAGACCGTGCTTCTCCCCGCGCAACCGCAGCCTCCGGCACCTACAGTGCAGGATTCTATCACAGATGATGATGAACCTATTGCTCCTCCTCAAGGTCCTTCCACTGTGTTTGAGGATATTCGCCAGAGTCTCTCGACTGGTGTTGAGCAGCTTAGTCTTCTGAAACCAGTTGCTGGACTGAATTCTATCGCCACTGGACAACAAATCGCCGGCAACAAGCCCGATGCCTGCAAAGACATCGGATGCAAATGCTGCGAGATTCAACCCGAGGATCTCGCGATTCACAAGTCTGGCAAGCCAGTGCGCAAGCAATGCCGCGTGGATGGTAGCCGCATGCTGATTACTCCCTACGGAGACTGCGTCCGCAGCTTGACAGAGAAGGAGGAAGATAGCTTCTTACAACTTCAGGCCGCTATAGCGGCAACAGCCGAGACTGCGGGTTCCTTTACGGCTCCCCGGCACCAAAAAAGTTCTGGCGCGTTTTCCATTGTTAAAGGCCGCGCCGTGCCCAATGGCCGGCCCGGTATCTTTCCTGTCGGTGGCCCGTCCGAGTCGCATGATCCGTTTCACAAGCTGCAGCGTGATGAGGCCCTAGGCTACATCAATCAGTACGTGCTGCCGCGTCTCAACCTTGGTGCGAGCGGTAAGGCTGCTGCCGCCGTGTCCGGCAGCGTCAACCCCCTGCGTGACGCCGCCGCCGCAAGCCTCAACTCGCTAGCGCCATACTTTTACGGGCCCGAAGCGGCCGCAGGCGTCGGCATCTATAGTGCAGTGGACGGTGGCGGCGGACCCCGCCCCGTCCAAGATTTTGGCGCCCCCCCAGGGCTGACCCTCGGCGGCAACATTGACATGGTCAAAAGCGGCGGCGGCGCCCGCGGTGTAGGCACTATGGCGTTGATGACGGTCGAAGAGGCCGATGCCGCACTGGCCGCAACGCGCAGGGACACTGAGAAGCTGGAAAAAGGCCTGAATGCCGTGATTAAGAGAAACGAGAGGCTACTGATTGGCGGCAACTAGTTGACGTGGATTATATCGTGAGCGAGCCTTCTGTGGCATAAAACTGTGGGCAGACTCTTTGGAACTGGCGTTAAGCGTTGATACTCCGGACTGGCATGATACTAGTATTTTCTTTTTTTCTCTAGGCAAAGGTTGCCGCGAGAGCATCAGCGAATGTCTACTTTACAGCGATATTGTGCATGGCATGGCAAAAGTTGCCGCGAAAGAACGTGCAACGGCTACTTGTCAGCGATATAGTATAGAGATTTACACAACATTGTAAAAATTCAAGCATATCAAACAGTGCGCCATATTTGAGATTCTCCATGGATGTGACTGGAACTGATTATGTATACATTGTAGTTATTGGTTTTGCTTTATTTGTAGCTCTGTGTCGGGCGCCAAGCATCGCTTGGCTGGCGCCGCCGCCGCCGCCGCCGCCGCCGCCTCTTCGCTATCTGCATCCTCCTCGAGCGCCTTTTGCAGGCGAAACGTGAGACGATCCAGCACCCACTCGCTTTCCTCCTGGTCTGCCGTCAGCGGGCTGCGGCTGCCGACCCAGGACCACTGAAACGGCTGCTGAACGCGCGCGGCGGTGTCTCCATGCAGCCTACTCTGCGCCGCCGCGACGTCGTGGGTGCGCTTCTCCCCTGGTTGAGCCTTGCGATGCGTGTGGGCGTCGCGCTCGTCCTCGCCGAGAAGCCACAGAAACCACGCCCACTCCTCAAAGGAATAGCGGCGGGGCTTGTCCTCGCGTAGGTGTTGCGTCACGGAGCGGATTTCGGCGATGAGAAGCAGCTGAAACTCCCTGCCAGTGGGCAGCTCGTCGAGTTGGCGGTGCTGATGACTCTTGGTCTGGGAGGAGACGGTGGCTGCGTGCCGGATCTTGGAGGCGACGCTACGGAGATGGTTATGGCGTGCAGCGCGCCTCTGACGCTTGCGCAGGGTGCCCTCGTCGGCGTCGGGTCGGCTGTGGACGTGCTTGTCTGGTGACAAGGTTTGCTTGGAGCGGCTGCGCCAGCGCATGAAACCGCCGCCTTCGATAGTCGGGTTAGCTTGGTGGCTGCTATATTCCTTTAGGTGTTCCTTTTCCATCTTCGCAATGACTTTGTCGCGCGGGAGAATGGTGACTGCGCCCACCTTGATTGTCATTTCTCGGACAAACTTGACAATGGTGTCTTCGGCATGCGAGATAAGGACGGTCATGGTGGGCAGTGCGAGTAGCGACCAAAAGACGAAGAAGGATTTTCCAGCATTGGTCATGGGCACTCGGTCACCATATCCGATGGTGGTGAGCGAGACAAAGCATAGGTAAAAGGAATCAAAGTAAGACCATTGCTCTTGGTAGTGTCTTTCCGTAGACCAGAACACGAGTGCACCGATAAGCCACAGGACAATCAAGGTACCAAAAGACGCTGATAGATCCATCCACTGCCTCCAGACCAGCGCACGATCTTGAATATTACGCATGAGTTCGAATTCAACCTTGCGACGTTCGTATTCGTTGGTGACATGAGGGCTTAACGCTGTCACCTCGCCAGACATGGGATTTAGTATCGTGTCGTTGCCCGACTTGGTCAAGGTACGCACGAGCTTCCTTCTAGTCTTCTCTTCCATTCGAATACCAACGCGCCTCCGTGCACGATCCAGGATCATGCTGCGAATAGACGCAATGACTAGACCAAGGCTGATGACGCCTATGAGCGCATACGGTAGCACCAGGGCCCTTGCCAGAGTTTTGGTGGTGGCAAAATCACCAAATCCGACGGTGAACAGAGTGATGTCAGCCCAGTACACGCCATCGAGGTAGTTCCAGCCTTCAATGGTGCTAAAAATGAGGGCGCCTAGGAGGAGGTATGTGAGAAAAAGGATGGTCTGGAGCATCAGAGTACGCTGGCTGTTGGTCAGAGCGAAGCTCTTGCTGAAATGGCCGGTCGATGCGCCCCAAAAGGTAGCCGTCATGAACGAGGCAACGGCAAAGTAAAGAATGGCAGCCCAGATGCCATAATAGAAAGCCTGGGACATGACGTATTCTTCAACGGGGTTATCCAGTCCCTGGCGCAACGGTTTAGAGGCGGTAGCGCAGAGCGAAATGAGGCAAAAAGAAGATATGTACCTGGGAAAGTCAGTTTGCATGGCTCGAAGAGATTCGGGAGACGCACCACCCAACAATGGTAATTGGCTGTGCAAGGGTAAATTTCACTCGTCTAGCCATGTTGAGAAGAAGAAAGACGTTGGAGACAAGCGCCACTGCCAACTGAATGGCGTTGACGGCAGTAAGCCTGTCACAAGCGTTAGAAAGCCATATGTATTGGATCAAGCAACATACCATGGCGGATCAAGTACAGATGTCGCAGACTGGAAATCCGTACCTGGCGGCATGTATTGGCGCCATGGTCTACCCAGAGCACAAATACTAAATGCCGACGCTACCGGCCCCAACGTGCCAGCAATCATGGGAAAGGCAGAAGCAATCAACCACCATCGTCTGTAGACACATAAGCATGTATACGTGACTGGCATTGGGGCACAGCTAGTTGGAGGAGCTTACGTATGTTCGAGATTTTCTTCTTCATTTGGTTCGCTGGCCTCCGCTCTTGGGGGATCCCCGGGCTCTGGGGCAGCGACGCCATCACCAGGGCCCCGTTTGTTAGAGCTAGAACTGCCGAGTGGTGTTGAAGACGCGACAGTCATGGTGGGAGTTTGGAGTCGAGAAGACGCTATCTTGGTAGCTTCACCCTGTCATGATTGATACATGTCCATCTCGCAGTCTGTGCCGAATGATTTTGCGAGTCGGAGGCAGCGAGGCCTAATTCACATCAATGAAGGGGTGGATCCGCATTTTTACTACGACAAGTTACTTATGCATGAAAGAAAGTTTTTAACGGGGAGACAGATTCCTGGGGCAAGTTCACGTGTGACGGGACTTGCCCGGTTTAGGCCACACCAAGTTGAAGTACAGTTGATGAGTCCTTTAGCGGATAGGTGTATACCGGAATCTTTTTTATTTATTACACTGACTTTCTCGAAGAGCCTTCAGAACCTCTATACCTAGTGGATAGACTGCTAAGATACAGGGGAAAACCCTCGAAATTTCTAAGTAAAAACCCCCATACCAGACCGGAATCTTTCTACTCTTTTCCGGTACATAGGTGATAGGTACCCATCCGTGCAGGCAAATGATTCAGCGTCGATACTGATGCTATTCAACTCCCCGTCGCAAAGCAAGTCTAGCGATGCGACGTCCCCAAGCAAGCTGATAAATGAGGAATCCATCACATATTAAATCTACCAAATAAATTCCCTAGGTCTAGGTACATCACGAAGAGACTACATGTCAACGTGCAAATCGTTGCCAAGAAATCAGGGCTGTCCGTAATCTGGGCAGGCTTCCCTATTTCAGCGCCTCTAGACGAACTTTAGCGCAACGTCTGGCTTTTTTTAGTGCCCTGCCAACTGCCAAGGCCAGCTTCAGCCCACAGTCCACTGTACGGATATGTACCGTATGTACCTAGGTAATCTCCTAGGTACTAGGTAGCGCCCCACACCAGCCACAGACTGCCACAGCTGCCTCTGCTCAAGCAAGAAAGGTCCCATGATGCCTTCAACTTCAATTCCCCTAAGACGCCAGATGGCACTATGCGTAGATGGCTGCCGCTGCATCGTCGCCATTTGCACTTCAATCCGTCTTTTCGACGCGTATTCAGTACCAATAATGCCATTGACAGCGTAGATATCCCCTGTGGCTCCTCTGGTCACGTCACTGTCGAGTACGTTGCGCGCGCGTCTTCATCTCCGCCTGCTGCTGACATGCCGTCGATAGCTTGCACAATCTTAGCAATCTACACTACGATGAGCCTATTCTGATTCACTTTCCTCCGCTTCCGGCTCATGCCGGTTCGTCGTTCAAGTTGCCAGACTTCCTCAAGGGACTTCCCGTCGCCAGCATCCGGTATCGATGGGACGGCCTCTCAGGTTCGCTCCCGTCAATGCTGGATCGTGACCGGCCGTCTCCGGCGCCGTGGCCAACGCCTGTTCACGATGCCTCCTTTGCCTACTCCTGGCTAAGCGAGAATTTTGCGCCGGAAAATTGTGCCCGTCGCGGCGTCTACGTCTATGGCTCTTTTCTCGGTGCCAGCCTCGCGACATCACTGGCCCTGACCGAAGCGCATCCCCATGCCCGATTTGCCGTCCGCGGCTTCATGGCCTACAACGGCATATATAACTGGACCATGTTTCTCCCTGATCACCGCATCAATCGCCCGACGGCACGTGCCGGCAAAAGCATCATGCCGCCGCAGCCTCGGGAAGGCTCACATATGCACTTTTTGCAGGAGCAGATGCCTGGTCTTTTCGGCAAGCCTGCCCATCTGTTCGACGCATTTGCCAGCCCGAGCCTCATGTTTCACTCGCCGGGTCTCCTTATCCCGCAGTCTTTTACCATGACAGTCGCCGAGGCTGCGGCAATTGACGCCATGGTCGGCAAGGAGGCGGACCCAGCTTTCGAGGTTAAGACGCCACGAAAGTCGCGTCTCGTTTTTCCGCCGCGCAAGTCCACTCTCAAAATTCCCGAGGCATTGCTCATGTATGACTCGGACCCGATTCCGCTGACTGCATCCGGGAAGCCATCGAAGCGCAAGCCCAGAACCAGCGGCAACAGTTTCCAGGCACAAGCAGCTGAGCTTGCGGAGCTCATGCGTCGCAGCGTCGAGCTTGTTGAACTCAAAGAGCGAGGGAAGTGGGATGACGATATTGAGGATATGGCTTATGAGGCGAGCAGACGCGTGCAAATGTTCGACATTGGCCAAGGCTCACCAAGCTATGAGATGAGTGCTGCTGGCCAGGAGGCTGCGTTGACGTGGCTCGGGAAGGAGACTTAGATGAGTAGATGGTAGGTAAATGCGTGTATAGTACAAATGTTGCACGTATAATAGTCGACGATACATCAAATTAACACTCGGTGCAGATCAAAGACAGGCCAAAAGTATGGCGACAAAAGGAAGAGGAGCATTCGGCGAACAACGCAGTACTCTCAATACGCTCATGTCCCAGTAGCAAGAAACTGCCCCTCTATCATACCCATCTATGTTCCATATCACAGCGACAAAGATATGGATGCGCAGCTCATAATTCGCAGAAACTGCCTCCTGCTGAGCAGACCGGGTACGCTACACCGGCTTCTTTCACCTATTTGCTGCCGCATGCCCTAAAGTAAATATTTGTCACTGAATACATCGCCAGCGACTTGGATCCACAACTCGAATGGGCAGGGCGCGGTTTACGTCGAACTTTCCTATGCCAAGACACTGCAGTTCTGATGTATCAGCTTCCCGGAGCACTTCAAGCGGATGGCGGGGTATATATTTGCGGGATCATACTTTCCAAATGCGTGCACCAGCCAATACTTGGCAACGCGTCGCATTATACAGAGCAACTACCGGCAGCCATCTGTCTCAAAGGAGGCGAAATTCGACAACTCACGTTGATCATTTGGCGCAACAAGATGTCCATGTACATTGCATATGCGAGTCTTGGTAAAGGACGTGGAGCTCCATCGGTCGTCTAGTTATAGCTGCATGTGGCGGGGTGAATGCGTTGATGAACTAATGTGAGTACGTACAGACAGCAGCTATTCGGCTTTCAAGAAAGCCAATAACAGCGAGGATGTAACCCCAAAGACCGAAGGATACTACCAGCAAGGCACCAGGTTTCAGGTGTCAGCCAGCCACTGGCGCAGGAATAATACGTGCGCGTTGACGGCGTATACAACTTTGAGCTCCCTTTCCAGAAGCGGTTTTATCTTGTCTTTTGCTACCGACTGCAGGCGCAGAAATTGATAGAATCAGCTCCAGGAGAGGAAAAACACTCTGGTTGTCTCTGTAATAGCCTCGTAAGACGCATTGCAGTGTCTCAGACGGCAATATTTTGTCAGACCAGGTATGCGCTTCGCAGTTTGAAATAAACTGGCAGAGATTGCCATCACCAGCATGTAACAGGCCGCGTGCATCCGCAAGGCCAATCCCACTATGGAGCAAGAATCATTTCTCGGTGACGCCGATGACAGCACATGTACTTCTGCCGATCCTTCTTCGCTGGTTCTGTTACCGCATTTGTGCAAACTTGTGCTCCAATCGAACGGGTTCAGGAAGCGCAGCATCTATGAGGTAGACGTATAAGTAGAGGCCTTGCATCCGTAGCGGCCTGCTCATCAACATCCTTCTACAGCAATGGCTACAACTCAGTACTAAAATTTTATCAGTCTTCAAGACACTACAATGCTCCGAGCTACCATTTTAGTTACGGCCTTGGCACACTTTGCCAGTATCACCTTCGCTGCCGCCGCCGAAGCCTCTGCCGGTGACCGAGCCACTCCTTGCAGCAGCATCGAGGACTGTGACTTTGACCAACAATGCGTACAAGGCACCTGCCATATTGGCACGGTCTCGATGGATATCTCTGCCCGTGTGGCGAATAAAGAATCTGCCCTCATTTGCGACAAAGACGCTTGCCGTCTTGCCACCAACTACATTTACAACTCTGACCTGGCGCTGATGGCAACTACCTATTCTCCCGCATTTGGTCCTGGCCTTGCCGGCTCCTGGGTAGATCAGTGGCTCATCGAAGGCGTCGCCGGTGTTGTCATTTACCCGCTGCTCGGCAGCGGTGGCTACGGCTGGAGGACAAACGAGGTCGCAATACGTGCCTACTGGGCCGACGGTGGCTTCTCGTATACGATGGACGACCTGCCAGTTGGTCAGACGGTGACCCTCACTTGGATGATGCGAGACTCTCAAGGAACGTATGTTTGCACGGCGCCGAGCACGTACGTCCTTTACGTCGAGGTTGATAACTACCCGCGGCAGACTTTCCGCGTTACTCCGCACGCCGGCAAGAAGCGCGGGTCCTTGGAGTTTCGTGCCACTGATGCCACCATGAAGATTCGGTTCTCGACTGAAAAGAATGCCTATGACGGCTGTGGGCCATTCTTTACCCATGTGCAGGCCACTGTGTAGAACAAAAGCTTGGTTTATGGGCCCTGAAGTTTGTAGTCTAGACTCGGCTATTATAAAAGTTGAGTACAAAAGAGGATTGCAAGAGAGAGAATTCTGGTAATGACAATTCAAAATTTGACTGAGAAAAACGATACATGAAGAATGTCCGTTAAATTGAGCCAGGAGAATAATCTGGTCTCCCAGGGGTCAATTGCGCGAAGTTGATGAAGGCTGAGGCGCGTCACTATCCCTCAAAGGGAACGATGCAGCTATTGACGTATCTTCCGGCAACTTTAGAATTTTAGGCTCGAGAAAAAAATCATTAAACTAGAAAATATGCCCAAGAATGTCTCAAAATGCTTCTGTCCGACAAGATCATTAAATCGACTTATTATTGGAAAGCTGCCGAACGCGCGAAGTTGAGCAAGTGAATCAGAGAGAAAGGTCGTAATTACCACTTTTGCACCGAAAGCCGCAGATAAGGTAGTTGATATTCGAGTATGCATCCGGCCGATACTCAGTAAGATTGATCGTTCTGAGAAGAATTGGGTGGTAGTAGCAAGATGCGCACACTTGGTTACTTCTTTTAGTCACGAGAACACCACCGCTGTGTTGGCTGACTGCGCTTGTAAGCGCCGACAGTTGATGATAATAACTCAATTTCATGCACAGAAATTTTGCCAGTCATCTCAGCTTCCACGAAAATGTAGCTTTTTCTTGTTCTGTTCTTCCATTTGTGGCGACCAATCCCGGAAAGTGGTGCTCATTACTATGATAACAATTGACACACAAGAACTGCCCAAGGAGTCGTTCGGCAGAACATTGCGGTTTTTTATTTCCTCATCTGAAACTCAGCGTCTTGTGTGCGCTTTCTGGTCGACTTGTACGTCTGATGAAGTTGCTCCTCATATCCATGTGTGCTACGAGTTAGTGAAAAGGTTCATTGACCATCCCGCATCATGCACCGCTCGCACAAGTGTGTTCATCATCCATCATCCACCAATTTTAGTGAGATAGTCATGGATATCCTGATAGTTCGGCAAATATCCTCCGAATACCATAGGAACCGCACGCTTCTACAGCTATCACGCGTCTCTCCAAGTCTTACCTTCGATACCCTACAAGGTTTAAGACAACAACATAACATCCCAGTAGTCCGCACCTTTTCGAGTCACCTAAGTCTCACCAGTGCTTTAAAAGTTGTCACAAGAACTATTTGCGGGTTCGTTTATGGCCCAAAATCTCTTTTCACCGTCTCAACTCTGGGCCGTCAATAATGGTTGTCTTCATGTCTCGAAATAACGAGCCGACTTAACAAATAGTCTTGACAAACTTGGTCTAGTGGTCTAGTGGTATGATTCTCGCTTTGGGTCCACATTTCCAGTCTGCGAGAGGCCCCGGGTTCGAATCCCGGCTGGACCCCAGCTTTTTGTTAGTTCTATCTTTTTTGCCATGCTTTCGTCTTGACCGATGTGTGTCAGTTTCGAAGGCAATCTCAACTTTGCGGGTGCCCCTGCTCATCGCAGTGACGGGGAAGCAGCGCGATCACATTGTTGGGTGACCCGCTTGTGAGCCTGTTTAGGCAAAGTGATACAGGTCTTCGATTGGCCAGGTGGACCCTGTCTGCAGAACATGATTGGGCCACACTATATTTTGTGGCTGGCAGCTGCGCAGCATCGTTATCAAGCGGCTGGAATTTGCCTTTCAGTCCAGCGCTTATTATCATGTTCAATCACTTGTAACATCTTATTCCGAGGACTCAAAGTGGCTACGAGAATGCCAAATACTGGAAAAGCCCGGCATAGACTACGCAGCAACAGCCTCTTAAACTAGCCATGGCAGCGTTGGCGTGCAAACGGAGCACTGTCATTAATGCCTGTTGATGTGAATGGTGGACGGACGGTGCTCAACTGGATAGACCGCTGCTCGCCAGAACTAACTCGGGCTCTCTAATACCTGACATGTCGAGCTGTTGTATCAGCTGGACACTTTTGGGGCATTCTGTTATCCCTAGTGCGCACCAGTATGCAGCTGGGCATCATGCACGATGTCGCAAAACGCCCTCGTGGGTGCACCAAAGACGCTGGGGTGGGGCTGATCGTTTGAAGCCAGGATGGCTGCCGCTAGTTCATGTAGACCGACAGGGACCCTGATTAGATTACAAAGCTGCCACCGGCCATTTTGATTGCAAACGTTCTCGTTCTTCTTCTGCAATATTCAAATCCGACTTGAAACGCTGGCTGCCGACACATGTGAGTGCATTGTGATATGGTTGGCCATTGAGGCGGCGGTGCATGGTGCCACCTCAGTGCGTGGCTTCCGTTCGGGCGTGAATGGAAAGAGGCACAGAGGCAGGTAACGTGCAGGCTGCCTCTTCCTGGGCGGAGGCCTGACATTTATTCTCCCCTTGCTTCCTAGTTTTTATCTGACACCTCTTGTCTCTGACAACATCAGCAGCTCCAGAGTACTATCTGACATTTTATTCGCTCTAAACGCTATTCCAACGTAAACTCAGACGCCCTGACGCTTTCGACAAACGCAACGTTAAGATGGGTGGCATTCGTGAGTGGCGGTCGCGCGCAGTTTGCCTCCAGAGCTGTTATTGACCCCCGGGATGTATAGCTTTTGGCGCTCTTGAGAACATCAAGAACAAGGTCCAGGAGATTATCAAGAAGAAGTTGAACAAGAACAAGGCCGAGAAGCCCGCCGCGACCGAGACAACTGCCGTTGCTGCGGCCCCTGCTGCAGCTGACGCCACCAAGACGGAGGCCACGGCTCCTGCTGCGCCCACTAATGCTGGCGCTTCGACTGCGCCTGGTGCAGCTCCTGGTACGTTTTGCCTCTCATTGTGCCGTGACCACTGATAAGTTCGCCAGTTGGCGATGGCTTTAGCTAATTAAGTGGACGTTGCAGCTGTCGAAGCCCCGCAAGTCACCGAAGCTCCCAAGGACGCTGCCGCTGAGGCTCCTGCAGGTATGCAAGATTTATGGACGACAAAGGCTGATGGTGAATACTAACAAGTTACAAATGTAGTTTCTGCTGAGCCCGCCGCTGTTCCTAACGCCGCTCCGGTTGTTGACAAACCCGCCGCTACCCCCGCCCCCGCCGCCGCTACGGCCTAAGCCGGCCATCGATCTTGATATCATGGTCCATGCGCCACGGCAGTGTCTGGGCCCATGACGACGAGGTGCAGCTGACTATAGCGCCGTCTTAATTTCATAGTCCTTCTTTTCATGTCGTTGCTCTTCACGTCAGTATTTTTGATTGCGAGCTACTGGATACCCCGCCACGCTGCAGTGCAATGATACTCTGCGCGTTGGTATAATGAGTTGTTTCGACTGCTATATTCCCACTAGTTTTTCTTTTTACTTTTTTTTTTTTTTTCAGAATTCCTTACTACTCTACTTTCAACAGCGCGATCTTTAATTTTGTTTCTCTCATCGTAGCCCTGTCTATTTGGCCCATGGTGCTTTCGTTGGTGGCATCTCGCCCATTCCTTCACTTACTGGGGGTCCGGGCCTTTGTGCCGGCGGCGGTATGCGAGCTGTTGATCCAGCTGTGATTCCAGAAGTTGGCGACACTCTCGATGTCTGGGCCCATGGCGCTGCTGTGCCTCCGACAGGTGCGACTGTCGTTGACAAGACAGGTGGTATGGGTTGTGTTGCAAAGGGTTGCGCGTTGGGATCGTTTTGCCACGAAAAGAGTGAACCAAAAGGAAAGTGTTGTACGACAGGAAATTTGGACAGTACCTCGGCGTTGTACATTTTGATCATGCCTTTGTTGATCTTGCCCCAGCCACCTTTCACGCCCGAAATGTCAAACAACATCGGACTGTGCTCCCAAAAAGGGCCCTTCTTTATGTCGTTGATGAAGCCAATGGCGGAAAAGTACATATTTGATTGGCGGTTATCCTCGACAACTTGTGGTTTGATGATATCGCCCGTCTTGGGCGCGCCTCTGACAGAACCTTCTAGCGGCATGGGTTCATTGTCGTCAATGGGTCGGGTCAGCTGTCCCGAACCAAATATGTATGGTACAAAGGCGTGGTCGTCCAGACCCCACACTCCGTGTGAGCCTGCTGGCTCCAATGTATACGTAGTGATGAGCCTTCGAACAAGCGCCAGATATCTGTCCCGCGTCAGTATATGCGCCCGCGTTGAGCTGGAGGTGCTTACGGTTCAATGACGGAGAAGACAATCTCCCTTTCCACCTCGGCCTCTTCTTGATCAGTCTTGAAATGGCCGAGCTTCCATAGACATCCGAGAAACGCCACAAAGCTGAGCTCATGGCCTGTGCCGTAGTCGAGACGCTGGGAGCTGCCAAAGCCGCCCAGCAGATAGCTTTTGATTTCCTCGCGCGCTGCCTTTCCGCCCGCCGCGGCAATCGTCTTCCCCAGCACGCCCGCTTCTAGCATGGCATCAACCCTGTCCTTCAGCAGCGTGTGCCATGTGCGGAAGCTTAGGTTACCGAACCGGCGTGGCCCTGCTGCGGGTGGTGCTTGGTCGATGAGGCGCTCAATATCGGCGAGCAGTTCCTGCAGCGCCACAACGGGGGCCCCTGGTTGGTTCTTAGAGGAAATTATGAATGTCTCTGGCACGGGTGTGCCTTGGCGGCGGCGCGGACACACGGCGTGGTTGAGCTGCATGATGAAGATGCCAATATCGCGATAGGCCAAGCTGATGAGAAACTCGCACACGTCGACGCTCTCGTGGATGCGCTTGACGGGCTTGATAAATTCTGGTAGGGCGTTGCGGTCTAGAACCTCGAGCCGGGTGAGTGCAGTAGCCATGGTTTATTTGACGGCCTTTTCCGCGATGATTGTTGATGAAGAGTGGGAGGCAGGAGGTTGAACAAGTTGCAAGTGGTAGTGCGCTGTGGATAGCTATCGCGTGGTGGTGGATTCCCTATTAGCTGTAGTTAGTCATCGCAGCAATGAAGCAGGCGACATGCTGTATAATGGCAAGAACGTATGATTATTGATTGCAGACTAGATTCTTTGAAGAAGAAATTTTTCTTTCTGAAGTGGTTTTCTTTAATGTTGCGCATTGTCTAATGACGCACGCACATGCTCTGGCATGGGTGTGCCCGTTTGCACATAATGTGGGTAGTAATTATACACTCACTTCCGGCCTACATCTTTCAACAACTCTGTCCCGGGAATGTATCTGATGTGAATCCGGGATTTCGCGATGCGATAACGATAAACTAAGCAAAAAAATTGGTCCTTTTTTAGAATGCCTGGCCCAAAACCTTTTCCGCAGTACTCCATACCATTTACTGGGGCGGCAAGCAGCAGCGGCTCTTTCCAGTCTCGCATGCCAACACCTCGTTCCCACTACCGAGAACTATATCCTAATAATGGACCAAAAGGCTCGAAACGACAAAAGACTACCCACGATCTTCTAGTGTTTTCGACTCCTGCTAGGCCTTCTGCAGTACAGCCCGAGCCACCATGCAACCGACTGCCACAGCTGCGTCCGGAAAACAAGCGCCGGCCGGCTTATCAGGCGGAGGCTGCGACGTACGAGTATAAATTTGCGCAGAAGCTTGCTACGTGCGATGATATTATTGAGAGCGATGAGACAGTTGGCTGTTCCGATTATGAATCTCCTGAGCAGGCTGACAATGCTGAGCCTGTCCCACGCCTGCCGTGGCAAGTGCCAGGACCACTAAAGAGGCAGCCAGATTTTGAGAAAAATGGCCGAAATCAGGAAAAAAGCAAAAGATTCATGTCAAATGCTCTCAAGAATAGAAGCTATTCGTACGACACTGAGATTCGCAATTTGCTGTCACACGCTCCGACTCGGGACTCTTCCGCGGGACTCTTTAGCATAAGCGACCATGAGAGCACTACGAGCATGGACACGAGCCCACCTCCGGAAGAGTGCGGAGATAGTTATCGGGAGACAGACTCAGCAGCAGAGATGAGAAGTATGAGACGGCGGCAACCATCACCATCAGCGGAGGTTATTGACCGCGATGTTTGGTCCATAGGTACAGAGGAATATGAACCAGACTTGCAATATTCAATTGCAGATGAGATTCTCGATATGCATCAGCTCATGAGCAAACCGTTTTGGGCCAACGACCAAAGGTGGCTTGCCAGCATCTCATGCCCTGTGCCACAAAGTCGACCCACTACCCCCTACTCGAATGAAATTATAAATAACACAGCAGGTCTGATCGAAACCATTGAATGTATCAAGGCAAAAGACGGCGAAGAAGAGCAAGCGCGGTTTGCTGCCGCCATGCGCAGTCGCATAGCCAAATTCATTACAAATATACGAGGCGCCTGCACGGCCATATGGCAGCACCTCTTTGGCAACCAGACACGCCCACTGAAAAAAGTCTCATTACACGAAGCAACAGTGCTCAGGATGCAGAGATTTGTGATTCCCCGATTGGTTTTTGCCCTCGGGCAGGTCTTTACGCTGCTGTGCAACGAGCAGCCCGAAGTTAGGGACCTGGTCCTCTTCGTCTTGGCGGAGATTAGCATTGACGTGAATCGAATCGCAAAGGTTATCAAATGCGGAATAAGTAAGGGCAAGGATGATTCTGATAAGATTGTAGAAGTGGAGGAGTTTACGCGTTTACTGGCTGCGGTACAAGAGTGGGCAAAGACTGAGAAGGATATGCAGAACGAAGAAGTCGTGAGATCTATTGCTCTATAGCTATTTGCATCAATCAATACAAGACATTGCCACCATGCACCAGACTCCGCCCAGGTTTGACTGTTGAAATCATGCCAACCTCGTGCATCTTTCGAACCAGCGAGAATAACATGCCGTCGCATCCCTTGGCCGCCATCAAGTCCACCGTTACGGGCAGATATTCCGTATGATTCGTCACCTTTGACACGTATTCAACTTCGCCAATCGGAATCACAATATCGGGAATTTCAGCCATGACCGAGATTCTGCTCGTCGAAAACGCGCCAGGCGCCTGCGGACCTGTCCAGTACGTGTCCCTGTATTTCGGTGTCGGCGTCCGCGGGACGTACACGAACAAGTCGCTCGAGCAGCTCGCATTGTCAGGCTTGAGCACGCTTCCGTTGAACCACTTCATGAACCGCGTCTTATTCGCCATGGCCTCCTCGAGCGTCACGTTGGCGTCGTCGCCGAGTGCCCAGCGGCGCAGCGGCGCAGGATTCACGTGCGGCAAGCGTCCGTCGTGCCTGGCCGCGTAGTCGGCGTAAAAGGGATCGCGCACCAGCCTAGCCTGCTGCTTTGCCGAGAGCACCTCGTAGGTGCTGTTGATCATGGAGAGCAGCGGCTCGGCGGAGGGGTTGGTGGTACCCGCCGCCCAGCGCTCAGTCAGGTTGAAGTCGGAGACGTTTCGGGCGGACAAGAGGTCTGCGAGGCTGTGCAGAAAGGCGTGCAGCAGCTGATCGAGCGCTGTCTGCGTGGCTCTGGGAAAGCCGGCGGCGAGGATGCGCTTGGGGTAGGTGGAAGAAGACTGGGCCATGATGCTGGGCTGGTACAGAATTGTCGCGGCGTCGGCCCAGAGGACGGGATCGCGAGCCAATAGTCCGACAGTGTCGAATTCTGGAGATAACGGCATGGTATGGTCTAGAGCGGCTAAGCCATGGCCTACATCTGTGTCAGGTCATGTTTAGGAAAATGCAGTTCATGGTACTTACTTGGACGGTTTCCGTATATGCCTTGAAGCTGGCTGGGGCTGCGAACGCTGCCTCCAGTGTCTGAGCCAAGGGCAATATCAAGCCACGAATAGGAAGCTACATGACAAATTAGATGGAATTCATATATTTGCAACTTTTTTTTTAACATACCCTCTCCTGCCGCTGGACCTGCAGAGGAGGACGACGGGTCGAGATAGCCGTCGCCGCGCGGGTTAAACGGGGCGTGGTAGTCGACCCAATCCGCCGTCGCCGTCTCCCCATTCGCAAACTGGCTCGCCTTCATCTTTCCGATAATGACGGCGCCAGCATCGACAAGCTTCTGCACGGCGCTGGCCGTCTGGTTGGCCTCTGGGTACAGCTGGTACCATGCCCGGTTGCCGTTGGACGTCTTGAGGCCAGCAATATCGAAAATGTCCTTGACGCCGAGGCGGACTCCAGCCAACGGCTTATCCGCAGACTTGGTGAACAGTAGACGGGACGGGACGGCGACGGCCAGTGATTGCCCGGGCATGTTGGCTGGCAAGACAGTGTGCGATCCGTCGGGAGCCATGATGCTGGTCTCGCTAAAGGCGCCGGCGAAATCTGAATACAGCCTGTACGCGTTGTACAGTCTTCCAGATGACGATGCGAAATATGGTCCATTTGGCACGGTGACATTTTGTACATCTGTCAGTACCACTGTCGCATTGTCCAGCGAAATCGGCCTCGCAGACTTGGCTGACTTGCCTACCAGGTATATCACTTTGAAACCTGTCAGTACAAGTCGAGATGTAATTCACGTGCAACTTATTACCCTTCAAAAACTCTTCTTGAATGACGTCGTCATCTTCCAGAAAGCTTTTTGTGATTTGATACAGCAATGATGCATCAAAGGCTTCTGACTGTGCGTTCACCACCGTGACTGGAAGAAGCCCGTCTTCTTCCACAAGGGGTGCATCGTCGAGTTTGCCCACGTACCACGGTGGGACAAAGTAGTGAATATCGCCCACGTCGACAGAGCTGCCGGATGATAGCACACGCGCGGCAGCGGCCGTCGCGATATGCAGCAGTCCTGCAACTAACAACAGCTTCATGTCAGTTTCGCAGAATGCGTGGTATTGTGTAGTGACTTTGCTATGCTTGTCACAAACACTTGCGAACGAATAGTTAGACCAACGGGACAGACATGGCGATGGCAATCATGCTTTTTCTTCTCGAGTGGACTCTGTTGAAGCGGCAATGCTACCATGCCTGTAGATTGGACTATTGAGTCCATTTACCGAGATCTCTGAGCTGAGCGGTAATCACACCCTGAGGGCTACATTTTGCAGCTAGTAGACACTATATGGAGACAAAGAACCCTGAGAGAGGTATATTAAAACCCACAAGAACTACTGGCCCTCAAATCATGAGCCAAGACGGCAGATCGCGGATCCCTGCCTGGCCTAGCCTTTGCGGCACCGCTTCGAGTTCCCCTTCCAAGATAGGCAACTGCGTAAGCTAAGCTTGGATAAGATGCTTAACAACAAGGTAAATTTTTTCATCGTGATTTATTGACCGCCCCCAGCACGTTCCTCTCATGATGCGCTCTCCCGTGTGGATATTTGAATGCCCCAGTGACCATCAAGGTAAACGGACAACTGCCGGCCGGCACCAACATTGACGATAACAAGTCGCACGGCAAGAATGAATGCGAAATTTCCGTCTGCGATGTTGAAGCAAAGAAATGAGAGCGTCCGGAATGGGTAGGGCCGATTAAAGTCGTACGAGCTTGTATATCAGGCGGCCGTCCTGCCATACAAGTCAGTGCCCGGCATCAAGCGTAAAACTTTCAGTAAAAGCGCAATGGGCAACTTTCTCACGGCCAGCAGACTGCTTGTGGCTGTTCTCGTCAGCATTAGCAACGCACAGCCTCTCTCTGGCGACGCTACCCAGCCTCTGAACGAGACTTGCGGACGTGTTTTGCTCCAAGACTTTGACTCTCTCGGTGCGTGGTTCGAGGGCGTCAACGCCATCAACTGCACGTCTGTTCCGCGTCGCGACAATGTCACGATTGCCATTATTGGCGGCGGCGTCTCCGGCCTCGCCACGGGCCTGATGCTCGACAGCATCGGCATGCGCAACTGGGAAATCATCGAGGCCAGCGAGCGCGTCGGCGGACGCTTCCGCACCAAGTTTGTCGGCGGCACCGACGAGTACGCCGAAATGGGCCCCATGCGGCTGCCCTGGAGCATCACGTACAAGAGCGACAACACGACGCACGAGTACACGGACCACCGCATGACGTTTCAGCTCGCCGACACGCTCAACCGCCTCAACAACCACGATCCCCGGTACAAGATTGACTTTATCCCCTGGATCCAGCACCATCCCAACGAGCTGCTCGCCCGCGGCACCGGCCGACACCCGGACGGCCGGGTGCCGACCCGCGCCGAGGTCGCGGCGGACCCGCAGCGGCTGGCCAAGCCGGCGCCGATGAGCACGGCCGAGTACAAGGACATCAAAGCGAAAATGAATGCCATTCTCAAAAGCGAGGAGACGCTGCGGTTCATACAGCGCGATGTCTGGCGCGCGCACGCCTGGGCCATGGGCCGGGGCCTCGACGAGCTCAGCGAGCAGGCCTACATGCGCGCGACGCTCCACGCCGGCGAGAACGTGACCGACGCCATCTGGACCGACACCGACTACGACCTCTTCTGGGACGAGCTGCACCACAACTCCAACCTCGCGCAGGACGGCTCCGCGGGCGCGCTCGGCGAGACGGAGTGGCGCTGCGTCGACGGCGGCTTCGACCGCATCACCGACGCCTTTGTCCCGCACCTCGGCGACCGCCTGACGCTCAACCGCAAGATTCGCAAGATTGAGCTGGTATCTGACGTTGGCGCTGACGGCAGAACGGTGTCGCGCACTCGCCTGTCGTGGTACCCGAGCGTGGCCAACCGCACGCTGCTGCACCGCGACTACGACTACGCCATTGTTGCGGTGCCCTTTACCATGACGCGCTTCATGGACCTGCCGCCGTTTTCGTCGGTGCTCGCGCGCGCCATTAGCGAGGCGGGCCTGCGCTTCAAGTCTGCGTGCAAGATGGCCCTGCTCTTCTCTGAGCGCTTCTGGGAGCGCGGCGCGGCGCCCATCTTTGGCGGCTACTCGCAGCCCGCGTCCGCCGCCGTCGGCGCGCTCTACTACCCCGTCTATGGCCTCAACCAGTCCTCTTCCTCCTCCTCCTCCTCCTCCTCGTCGGATGACTCTCCCCGGCCGGGCCTCATCACGCAGTACCGCGGCGGCGACTGGAGCGATCGCTACGTCAGCTTCACCGACGAAGAGTACGCCCAGACGGTGCTCGACGCCGTCGTCAGCCTGCACGGCGAGCAGGCCCGCGACTACTACACGGGGCACTATGAAAAGCTGTGCTGGCTCGAGGACGAGCACACGGCGGCGGCCTGGTGCCGCCCAGACATTGAGCAGCACAGGCTGTACATTCCCGCGTACCACCGCACCGAGTTCAACACAATCTTCATCGGCGAGCACACGGCGCCCACGCACGCCTGGATCAGCTCCTCGCTGCACTCGGCGGTGCGCGGCACGGTGCAGCTGCTGCTCGAGCTTGGCATGGTGGACGAGGCGAAAAAGGTCAACAAGGAATGGATGGGCCGCTGGATTCACGGAGAATAAAATAGGAATGCAAGGATATTCATAAAAGAGTAGCAGGGGCAAAGAAGAAAAAAGGTTTGTGTGGCTTGTGGTAGACTAGGCGTCAATAAAGTCAAGAATCTAGCACCGAACTTGCTTCAACTCTACTCCGCATCAATATTGTCCGGTAGTTGTTCTCTCTCAAAAGTACATATGCCATCGAGCTAGATTAAAAAGACACGCCTACTCTACTCGAGCCTGACCAATGTTTCTCGGGCCATCAGGGCCCTCTTCAAGCCCGTTGCGGCGTGGAGCATCTGGCCGCCAGCGCCAGAATGGGCGCAAGAAGCTCGTAGCCTCGTCACCGTTTTGCAAAATATCCGCGGCATGCTAAATAAAAATCAGCACAAGTGCGCCACAAGTAACAGTCCTTCTTTCCAATACCTTTCCGAGAACGGGCAAAAACTTGGCACCATGGCCACTGCCACCCGTGCAGACAAAGAGTGAATTGTCCGTGTAAGTCGGGACATGGTCAATCTGTGTTTGATTAGCCCTAGAAATGGCATGGCACCTGGGCTGTTGAAACGCACTACGAAAGAATTGTCCAGAGAATCTGTATACCAGCAGAGCTTGGTCGAGTGGAACGGAGTTTGGTCAAAGTCTGGTAGGAATATTTTTACAAATTGTCGAATCGAGTCTACAGCGGCCTCGGGGATGGTGCAGGAATCTTTGGGTGACATTGGAATAGACCACTTGCCGTCCTGCAAGAATGGAACGCCTCTAGGCGCGGGCTGAAAGTTTGTAAACTGTACAAGAATTAGCGAAAGAAAGGGGAATACCTCATTGTAGCTGACCTTGATTCCTCGGAAGCCAATTTTGACCAGACCATCAGGAGTTCTGGGGAGCACATAGACACTGCCAGTATCCTTTCCAGTCTTGTTTCGAGGTGTGCTCTTCCACGTTATGACGGGAAATTTTTCGGGAGAGTACTTGTCCCAAAGCATCTTGTTCTCCTTGTCAATCTTGAAAGTGGCAAGACTGCCGCCAGATGATTCAAGGTGTGTCGACAGCTCGGGGATGAGCTGCGTTGTCAAAGAGCCACCTAAGAGAATTAGAAAAGCAGAAGAAAGGCTAAGCTCAAGAATTTACCTGCAACGGCTACTATATCTGTCTTGTGGATGGCGCAGTCTTTGGTCCTGACTCCAACGGCCTTCTTCTTGCCACCTACCATCTCTTCCAGGATGGACTCAACTGCACCATGTTCGTTACCGAATAAAAATTTGACGCCTTTCAAAACAGCGAGCTTATGGAAATGTAGACATGCATTAGAGCAGCGCATGAATCCACCAAGAGAGTCCAGCACTGCTTCGTAGGTTCGACCATCGTCGCTGTCCGGAATAGGAAACTCTAGAAGCTTGGCGTCCCAGCCTTCCGCCTTGGCACGTTCTCGATCTTCCTCGAGGCTCTTCACAAACTGAGTCTGTCGGATACCATCTCGTTTCATGCTGGCGAGAGTCTCCTTTTCCAAGGCGCCAAGCTTATCTCCTGGCTGCACACGTAGCATGCCGCTAGGGACGAACAGGTCCGCGCCTGAAGACTTGTTGATGGCAACCCATTCTTCACGGCTCTCCAATGCCAGACGCTGGTAGTGCAGCTTTGTGCCGTACGAAGCGCGAAACTATAAGGGTTAGCATTTTAGTCCAAGAGCTTGGTACTCGAAACTTGCAATCTTGTTGTGATCAACAGAGGCTGCCTGCACACTTTCGTCGGCATCAGGATCATACTCTGTCTCATCAAATGGGTGGCGATCAAAGACAGTGACAACGTAACCTATTCAGCCCAAACAGAGATTCGGAGTGTTAGCAAAGGGGGGAACACGGATCGGAGTTGCCAAAAGTTCAAGTCGGCTTACCCTTTTCGCGTAGCGCAACGGCCAACGAGAGACCAAAAATTCCAGCTGAAATCGATATTAGTTGGCCATATTATCAAGACGCCAGCATATTGTCATTGCCACAAAATAACTGTGTCAAAGGGGACATACCACCAACAACGGCGACAGACTTGGTTTCGCTCATCTTGGCAAAGAGAAGCGGTGCCCGGGACCAATCAGAGACGAGAGAAGGCAGGGCTGCGGGATAAGCTTACTAGGTTTAAGAACAAAGGTAAGGGTAAATGTAGCAAACCTTGTTGCTGATAATAATAAGAGCGGCGACGGCCGCTGGGATACGCCCGACTTTTGATTCGGGAGCAATGCGGGCATCCATGAGGCTGCAGGGCTCGGTCTGGTGCATGCCCAGCCGGGAGAGGGATCGCCAAGGTTGCGGGCCAGAAACGCCACCCGCGAACCTATATGGTTAAATTTTAGCTTTGCTTTATTGTGGCGCCTTTTCAAGCCCATCCAGGCCCCAGACACATTCGCCGCGCATTGGCCCGGCTGATGGCCATTGACTGGATCAACTTACTGAGCAGACAGAAGTGCGTATAGTTTGGTGCTAATCGTTTACAGCTGACGAAGGGGAAATGAGATATGTAGCATCGAAGAAGGGGCGAACAAGACGGAAAAACTAGCACCACCTTGATGTCTGCTTGCGTTCACGCATACAACGTCGGTTATAGTCCAAGGTAAGCATCCGACGGTCCGCTGTTGAGTTTGCCTGACCCGCAGGTTGGACTCATGACAATTAGCTGAGCGTTTCCCGAGCCTGTAAGGGATGCAAGTTTAATGATACGTCGACAGGGCTGTAGTCGTCGCCGGCGGAGGAACATCCATTTCGTATAAAGCCTCGCTTGTCTCAGCGCCTTGCAGCGGTCGGATGCAACCCTACCAATACCCGACAACGCCCCGCGCGAGAGATTCTGGCAGTTTCCAATCTTTCCTCAACACGTCTCGCTGCGTAGATTCGAACTTGTCTGTAGCCGAGCTTTGAATTCACGGCCGTCATCACAAAATGGCCAAGGACAACAAGAACATGGCCCAGAGTCCGCGGGGGGTCGTCGAACCCATCGAGAACTATGGTTCTGACGCTGAGCATCCCAAGGACACACCAGACAAAGATACACATGCTGTGACCGAAAAGGATGGCAAAGCTGAAGGCGCCCTGCACTTTGTCACAAAGCGCGACATTGACGATACGACGCTGTGGTACAACCAGCACAAGCCATCTGCCCGTACCCTCGATCCTCACCAAGTCAAAAAGATGAAGCGCAAGAACTTTTGGTTCCTGTTGATGCAGACGTGGTGGGTCGCCTTTTTGATTCATCTCGACAAGTCGACGCTCTCTCAGGCCAGTACCATGGGCATATTCGAAGATGTCCACATCAAAAAGGACGAGTTCAACCACCTATTTGTCATCTTCTTTGCCGGGTATCTGATTGCGCTCTGGCCCGGCGCTGCTCTTGCACAGCGTATTGGTCAGAAGCATTTCATTGTTGGCTCGCTGGCTATCTGGGCTCTGCTTCTGGGGATGCATCCGCTTGCCAAGAATTACTCGCATTTGATCGCGCTTCGATTTCTTCTTGGCATGGTAAATCACTCCGCAATGTATCGAGTGCCAAGGCTTGAAAAACTAACCCTGTGATGTTATAGGCCGAGTCCCAGATTGTCCCGTCGACGACAGTCTTACATCAAGCCTTCTTCGCACCCAAGCAGAGCCCTTGGGTACAGCTGCTGTGGTGGGCATCGGGCAGTTTTGCCAATGTCCTCCTCACCATGGTCTCGTACAGGCTCATCGTCGACGACAACCATCATGCTCTTGCTGGAAATCTGAGTTCGTGGAAGTGGATGCACATCATATGTGTCATCCTGACCTCTATTGTCGTCATTCCCCTGGCCATCTTCCTGCCCAACTCTCCCGTCGATGCTAAATGGTTGACGGTGGATGAAAAGATACATACAATTGATACAATTCGTGCCACTCATGCTGGTATCAGCAACAAGACGTTCAAGTGGTCGCAGGTTCGCGAGTGCTTTACCGATCCCAAGAGCTGGCTCTTTATGTAAGTCGTGGAAAATCCGGTGCAGGATGCACTCCAAGCTGACCGCGTGTATAGTTTGCACATGTTCTTCAATGAGCTGCCCAACAATACTTCACAGCAGCTTCCACTTATTCTTGTTGGATTCGGCTTCACGCCCGCGCAGAGCGCCCTGTTCAACATTGCCAAGCCTCTGTGGGGTTCATTTCTGATTCTCGTGTCGGCGGCGATGCTATACTTGACGGATCTGGGCGTGGGCTATACCTGTGCCATTTCATACATTCCCTGTTTCGTTGGAGGCTTGATCATGCTGACTGCGCCATGGTCCAACAAGATTGCACTGGTGGTGGGTACGCAGATTTCGACCTTTAAGCCGTCGTACCTGTTGGGTCTCTCGTGGGCCGGCACGACTACCATTGGCTACACAAAGAAGCTCTATGTTATGTCGACCTGTATTGTCGCCGCTTCGGTGGCCAACATGATCTCACCCGAGTAAGTCTGGACGTGATGGTTGCGAAGAAGAGGCTTGGGTACTGACGCACAAGCGTATAGATTTTGGCAGTCCAAGTACAAGCCGCGCTACATTCTGCCTTGGGGGTTTATGACGGCTTTCTGGTTCATTTCTCCCATCATGTGTCTCATTATTCGCTTCTACCTGCAGCGTGAGAACAAGAAGCGTGCTGATATTCTTGCCAAGCGGGGCAGCGACAGCGACAACGACGTTCTTGAAATTGGCAGTGAGATTATGCATCTGAAAGACGAGGATCTCGACTTGACGGACCGTCAGAATCTGCGTTTCGTATACCCGCTGTAGAAAGCGGCGTGGAAAGGTCGAGGGCGACGCATTGTACGGAGTAGCGGGCATTGTCTTGGCTGGATCAACAGCATAGCGGGTTTGGAGAAAGGGCGATGCGCAATTGCCATGTATGCCGTTGATAGTCTACACATAGGCGGCTGACGGTGGTATGAATTGACTTCGTGCGCATGGCTGTATGATGGTCTTTGCTATCCAGTATACGTAGATTTTCGTACATTGCTTGCTGACGACTAGTTAGCAACATTCGCCGAAATCCAATTGAACTGGTTAAGCTGCGTTTGAGATGGTATGGCGGGTGGGTGTGGCGAAAGGTGCTGTGGCTGGAGATCACCAGCCTCTGCCTGAACAGTGGAGGCTGGAAGTAGTTAGGTAGGTACCTTGCCAGCTGGTTAGCTCAGGCCCTCAGGGGAAGCTTCATTTAAATATTACTGCCGACCAAGTAATAATACATGCGAGTATTGATACAAGACGCCAAATCTCCACCGAACCCCCGCGCACAGACAAGACCCCTAGCGGGAGCAAGTTGGGTCGACACGATAATTGGAATTGCAATTGATGAATTCAGAATAAACAGACTACAGGCTCTGTGGACTACAGCAAGTTCGTGGCCGTTTGTGCCAAATCTCATTGTAAGCCGCGGGGGAATAGGGAGGCAACATGTGATGCAATGGCCTCAATGCCGCAACATGACTGTGACCGCTAGTTACCCATGCTGTCACCGCTGCATTGTCACGTCAATGCAAATCATGTGCCAGAAAAAAAATCGCCAGACTGTGAGCTGGCAGGCTGGCTGGCTACAAGTCACAACGTTGTGGCCACCGTACCCCTGGTTCATTGGTTGTCTGAGCTACGATTGATTTCCTCCATATTCCCTTTTGGATAACCAGTATCCGTACGGATCAATAGTTTCAAGATGAAGTGCCTTCCCATCAAGACAGCAGCTTGTCTTTGGCTGCAACAATAACATATCAAGCTAGCCGTTGGAGTGCTGCGCCGCCGATGCGTCAACTTTGACCTGGAAATAAAACAAAAAAAAAGGTAGATTGAAATAAGCCGGGACGAGAATTACCAGTGATGAAAAGAAAAGCGACAATTCTAATTGACAATCAAAGTCCTCCACCTCCGCTAGGTATTGCCTAGCACTGTGCCAATGTGCCACCGCAGCCACCACCGCCTTCCAAACGCTCCCTTCCCCTGCTCATATCAGCCAGCCCTGGTCAACCAAAGAGGGTCTCATATGTTTCCATTTCTTGACTTGTATTGTCAAGCCTCGCTCTCCCCCTCTTTGCATCTTCATCAAGCAGCTCTTCGTGTGTTTTTTTTTTCTTTTGATACCCTGCATTTCTTTCTGTGCCTTTGGCAAAAAAGAGCTATCGTGTAGCATCTAGCCACACACCCACCATGTCGAGCAGTGCCACGGCTCCCAAGACCGCGTCGCCGCGCGCTCCTGGCACGACCGCCACGTCGAGAGCAACGGGGGCTACCGCCACATCTGCCTCTCGCCGACCAACTACGAGCACCTCGACAACTTCGACTGCCAGAACCACCACCGCCGCCGGCCTCAGCAAGCCGCCTACTCGTCCGCCTTCATCGGTCACGCCTGCTGCGAGTGCTACCCGTCGCCCAACGTCCTCGTCCACCACCGCTACGCACCGCAGCCGTGCCAGTGTCAGTGCCAGCGAGGATGAGAAAAAGCCTGCCATCTCGGCCACTACTGCTAGGCGCGCCAGCACCCTCGTAACAAGCCCGGGCAAATCCACGACTGAGAGAAAACCAGCTGTTCCGACCGCGGGCTCTGCAAGGAAACCTGTTACTGCAGCCAGTTCTACTGCCAGCCGATCTTCCCTCTCCGGAACCCCAGCTCGCACGACCGCTGCCCGTTCTGCTCCCACAGCCGGAGCAGCTGCTGCCACAAGACGTCTTTCCAGTGTTGGTGGCATTTCGTCTCCAGCTGGACCCCGCCTCGCTGCCCGGCCCGCATCGAGAGCTAGCACTCCCGGCGACGCATCGAGAGAGCTTGAACAGCTCAAGACTGAGCTCGCTTCTAAAGATGGAGAGATCGCTGCTCTCAACGATCAGATCAAGGCTTCTGAGGTGACCATCGCCGAGCTGCGCGATCAGACCGAGAAGCCTGCTGAATCCACCGAGATCGCAACCCCGGTGCGAGATGACCATGCCATTACTGCACTCAAGTCGGAACACGAAGCTAGCATCTCTGCCCTCGAGAACCAACTCGCCGAGGCCTTGGACGCCCGCCAAGCTCTCGAGGCCAGCCTAGAAGATAAGACCAAAGCTCTTGAGGAAGCTACGACTAAATTTGTCCAGAATGATGCTGATTCTCCTGCCCACGAGAGCGCTCTGGCTGAACTCAAATCGGGTCACGATGCATCTGTTGCTGAGCTGGAGAAGAAGATTCGAGAGCTGACTGCTGCCAATGCTACTCTGACCGCTGCCAGCGGTGACAAGACCGAGTCTGACAAGCAGCTGGCTGCTCTCCAAGCTGAGCTCGCCAATACCAAGAAGGAATTGAAGGACGCTCAGAGCAATTCCGAGCAAGAATCCGCAACCACTGAGCTGCAGCAGCAGCTGGAGGCCAAGACTGCGGAGCTTGCCTCGGTTCAAGACACACTGCAGCAGCTGCAGCAGAAGAATAGTGACATCCAGACCTCACTTGCTGACAAGGATGCTGATATTGCGACTCTCAAAACTATGCATGATGCGCGCATGAAGCAGATTTCCCAGGACTATGAGAACGAAATAGAGAGCCTTCGAGGTGACGCCTTCTTCAAGCGCAAGCACGAGGAACTCGAGGGGCAACATGAGACGCTCAAGTCTTCTTTTGCTGAACTCGAGGAGCAGCTTGCTGCCTTGCAATCCTCGTCTGCCGAAGTTGCTGAGATACGCGCCAAGGAGCTTGCTGACGCCAAGGCTCTGCACGCCGATGCCATTGCTTCTTTTGAAGCCAAAAGCCTCGACCACCAAAAGGCGCTGGACGCCCTTAATGAAAGCCACACTCGGGAGCTTGCTGTTGCCAAGGCCGATGTCTCCACTGCCAGCGAAGCACATATGGCGAGCCTGGACGCTCTCAAGGCTGAGCACCAGGCTGCTCTGAGCGAGTTGCGCGACAGCCACGCTAAGGAGCTTGAGACCGCCAAGGCTGGTGCTTCATCGGCTAGCAAATCCCACATTGAAGATCTTGAGGCCCTCAGGGCCGAGCACGAAAAAGCCTTAGCCCAGCTGCGCAACAACCACGCCAGTGAGCTCGAGGCTGCCAACAGCAAGGCCACTTCTATCAGCGAGACTCTTCTGGGAGATATCAAGACCCTGAAGACTGAACACCAGCGGGCCATTGATGAAATTCGTGAGACCCATGCTAAGTTACTCGAGACTGTTGATGACCTGAATAATACCCATGAAGCAACCCTGCATGCCGTCAGGACTGAGCATCAAAGGGTCATTTCTGTGATTCGTGAAGATCACGCGCAAGAGCTATTGTTGACTAGAAACAACCTCAAGGCTGAGGCTCAAGAGGGGCTTCAGCAAGAGTTGACAGACCTTCAGCAAGAGTTGGCGAATCTCAGAGATGAGCACCAGCAGCGACTTCTGGAATTGAGGCAGGCTCATGCCAAGGAGCTCGAAGTTGCCAGGGCTGATGCTGCCGCTGCAACCGAGTCCGAATTTGACCTGAAGGCGCTCAAAGCTCAGCATGAACAAGCTCTGTCTGAGCTACGTGACAGCCATGCTATGGAGATGGCGTCTGCCAAGGCTGACGTAACGAACGCTCAAAAGACTCAATCCGCGAACTTCGAAACTCTGAAGGCCCATCATATCGTAGAGCTCAAAGAAGGCGAAACTCGACACGAAAAGGCGCTTGCAGAGGCTGAGGCAAACTACCAGATTCTTTTGCAGACCGTCAAGAATGAGCACCAAGAAAAATTCAATCTGGCATCCGCTGAACATGAAAAGCAGCTCGAGAGGCTCAGGACCCAGCATATGGAACAGCTGGAGCTCGCCAAGCGCGATACCGATACCGCACATACTGCGAAGTTGGAGCAGCTCACGGCTGCCCATGCCGAGGAATTGGAATTGCTTAAAAAGGAGAAAGCTGAAGTCAGCGAGAGACTTTTGGCTTTGGAATCTGACGCTGCCACTCACAAGGACCAAGCCGGTAAGAAGCACGCTGAGGAACTGATTGCGCTCAAGGCCGAGCTTGAAGCTTCTCGAGCTGCTCTTGAAGAGGTAGAGGCCAGCGGGTCCCATGCTCTTGAGTCTGCCCGCCTCGAACTTGAGGAGAGCCACGCCAACGAAGTCGAGAAGCTCATTGGAATGCACCAGGATGCGATGGATGCTATGAAGGCGCACGGTGTCAGTGCTCGTAAGGACCTGGAGGAACTGTCAGCCCTGCACTCGAAGACGATAGAAGACGTCATGGCTGAGCACCGACAGACCACCGCCAGCCTGGAGGACAAGATTGCCGCTCACAGTGCTTCCAACACGGATCTGCAGGAGGCCCTTGAATCGGCGAAGGAAGCGTTGAGCAAGGCTCAGGAAGAAATCGAGGGCATTAGCCAGGAGCTTGCCAACGAAAAAATGGAGCGCATGACTGCTCTTGCTGAATTGGACGCTGTCAAGAGCGCCAAGCCCAACACTTCTGTTGCAGACGCATTGAAGGAGGAGCTGCAAACCTCGAAGCAGCAATTCGAAGAGAAGCTTGCTTCTGCCACGGCAGAGGCTCAGAAGATGCAGGCTGAGCTCGACGCGACGCTTGAGAAGCTCAAAAAGTCCGACGAGAGCAGCCAGCAAGTTCGGCAAGAGCTCGAGGCTCTGCGCGAAGAGGTGGCCACCAAGGAGCAGACTGCGAAGTCTGACTACCGCGACCTGAATGATAGCATGACTGCTCTCGTGGAGGAGGCATCAACTAAGGGCAAGAAGCTCGAGTCGGAGCTCGAGGAGACTATTGCTAAGCTCCAGTCCTCGGAGAAGAGGCTCGATGAGCTGCAGGCGCATGTGAATGTCAAGGATGCCGAGTTGGCAGAAGCAAGGGTTAGAGTGACGAACGATTGACTATTCTTCATGGCAAGCTAACGGGAAATTACAGGCAAAGGGTACAAGTAGCAAGCCCAAGGGCCTGGCTGGTAGCATGTACGCTGGCGCTGCTGATGAAGAAAAGGAGAGCGTGGCGACGGAGGACGAATCTCGCAAAGGTGAGGCGGATGAAGATCACTCCTCGGTAGCACTAGCATCTGTACGGCCATCCCCTTTTTAAACGTAGCACTCCCTCTACGTAGTGGTACGGTGATGAATGCATGCTAATGTGGAGGTGTACAGCTGTCTAAAGCCCGCTTGACGGCCAAGCAGATAGACTCTCTTGATCGCGAGATGAGGGATCGCAACCTACAGTATGTTTTTGGATTGTTTGCAAACATGTTGGATGCTAATGAAAAGTAGGCTGCTGCAATCCATCACCAACCCGCAGTCTCAGACTTGATGAGGTGGCGTGCTGGAGGTTGGAGACTTGAAGAGGGGGCTTTTGTTAGGGGACTGGCTTGACGCATCCAATTTGGATACAGCGAAGTAGCCTGATTCCCTTTGTCAGGCATGCGTGGATGCCGTTTTTTATCTGTACACGATCCTTGGTCCCCGCTTAGGTCCCATCCTTGGCTGTGCTGTATAATGCTGTTGTTATTGGGCACGACTTGAGGAAGACGGAGTGACGATACCCCATGATAGTTAGTATTAATTCTTTCAACTTATTCAAGCGGAGGCGGTGTATGTTTTAATGAACGAGTTTAAAAAATTACGGCCCTGGTGCATTAAAACTAGACGATCCCATCTACGCAGAACAGTAGTCATGTTATGTTGTTGCGTTTTAGCCTGCCTACAGGAGTAGCGTCAGGTACACGACGTCAAGATCCCAGCTTAGCCCACGCATCGACAGCAACAGAGCGTTGAAATTCCTCGATGCCACCAAGGATGATACAGGCCGCAAGATTGCAAATGATCTACTCAAAGATGGAGAAGGAAATGGGAGTTGATAGTTGGCTACCAATGTTGGTTGAGAAAGGTCCTCGCACAGCAAAGAAGCTCCGATGCATCCGTGGCACAACTAACTGGCACTACGACGTCTTCGGATGGAGCCGGTCCTGGGGCATCATAAAAACGAGTCAACTAGCAGTTGTTAAAATTAAATAGCTGTTGAATCCGTTGATTTAAAGTAAGCCCCGCATTCAAGAAATACAATGTCGGCGCATCACATAATCAGCGACGTCGACACCAGCCCAGGTTTTGACGCCAGATATTGACGCCAGATTTTTGACGCGCAGGTTGTTGTTGTCGGGGCCGGCGTTTTGGCCAAGGGCCGATAAAGCAATCAAAGCAATATGGCAATAAAAATATGGGTGGCCGATCTTGGCCAGGACGGCAAGTGGATGGGTCGTGCCAGGAATTGGGGGGAAAAAAAAGAAAGGCCTTGTTTGGCGGATTGTGGCGTCTGCAAGAGGCTATTTGGGGGGGGCCAGAGGAACCGGGCCGGCTTGGTCATGGTGCCATAATACCTGCCAAGATATGGAGTACTTGGCGCAACTATTTTACCTGGATAGTAAAGTCATAGCATGGGAGTTTCGTCGAGAGCTTTTCAGAAATAAATCGAACCAGGTTGCTCCTGCATGCTAAAAGCGTTTGAAAGATTCCTCGTGTCCACGCAGACATCTATTCAAATACTTTGCACAATTCTAGGTAGGTACCTAGGTATGCACAAAATCCCCCAGCCTGTAGGTCTCAGTGGGCGCCGAGCCACTAGCAGGGGCCCCGTTGCCTCTTTTGCCATCGCTGACGCCGACACTTGCAAGAGGCAAAATCTCCCCATTTGTGCCACTTACATTTAACGTTGCAAACAGGGAACCAGAGAAGAGAATGCATCTTCCATTCCCTTCCTAAATTATAAGCCTGCAAATGACTTTGCGCTACTTTGCCCAATCGTCTGTGTGCGCAATCTGCCAAATCTGCTTTGACACCCTTCTCCACTCTCTTTACCTGAGTCGTCTCGGAATAGGTATCGAACCATTGGTTTTCGACTTTCCGGCTCTCCGGCCGCTTGTCCAGACAAAAGTCTGTTTACTACTCGTTACTCTCCGTGGCCCTGTTGCCCTCCTTTTCTCTTCCTTCTTCTTTTATCCCACACCAAACTAGTTCAGCCTAAAAAAGACAAGCAATCGACGAGCATTCGCATATCGTTTACACGCTCCGCCATGCCCGAGATTCGTCGCGGCAGCTCCGTCCACGCGAGCTCGAACCCGACGTCTCCCCTTGCCGCCTCGACATCCTCCCAGCTGCCGCCCATACCGCCCGTCTCGATATCTCAATCGCAGAGCAACGACGATGCCGTCCTCCGCCAAGCGGCCGAGACTACCTCTGCCACCGACCTGCGATCGGCCTCAATCGACCACGCCGGCGACCGGCCGCCGCGCCGCTCCATCACACTCGCCGCCGTGGTGAAGCCCAGGCGTCACTCCTCCGATCTCCATCGCGCATCATCCCTCCTCGCCGAGCACGCCACAAGGACAACATCTCCCTCTGCGGCTACCGACGCTCCTCCGCGCCGCAGCCTCTCGTACGCTCACCGGCCCGAGGCCACCGCCTACTACGATTCGCGCGCCGCCACCCGCGCCGAGTACCAGCGCCGTGCCAAGACGCTCGAGGAGTACTACGACGATAACCCCAGCCTGCTACCCCAGCTGCCCTTTACCTGGCACCACGGCTGGCGCCGCTGGCGACTCTTCTTCTTTGCCTTTCTCGTATTTGTCGACGCCTGCGCCATTCCCATTGCCCTCTACTATGGCATGTGGTACGCCGGCAATGTCGAAGGCTACATCATCTTTGCCGTCGTCACCACCATCTGGGGTGGCCCGACCTATCTCGAGTTCGCCATCCGCACTCTGCGTCTTATCAAGAAAGAGCGCTTCTACCGTCCGCTTGGCACCAACAGCCGGTGGTGCTTTGATGTCACCACATGGACGTCCGTCATCACCATCACGGCAGTCACGGCTCTCTTTGTCGTCGGCAGTGTGCCGCATATTGTCTGGCTGCGCGTCCTATGCATGCCTGCACCGGCCATTTTGTATTCCATTGGTGGTGTCATGGCCCTGATTCTGCTTTACCAACAGATGGGCTGGAAAGCACCTTTTCGACTCAGCTCTACCCCCAAGGGTGGCAAGGTATGTTGATTGTTGCAAAGCGCATGCATACTTATATTATTCATGCTGACAGCAATTCAGGTTCTCCCTCCGGTCTATTACTTTATCGAAGACGTCATCGCTGTCAATGCTGGCGCCGGCCGCCCCTTTCGCGAGGCTCTCGCCGCCCGCTACAAGGCCAGCCCTCGTTTTCGGCGCATGCTTTACATCCAGTCCGTCTTCTGGTGCATCCCGGCCCTCGTCATCGCTATTCCCCTCACCGTCATTGCCGTCATCCATGCCGTCCCCGCTACGGCGGCCTACGGCATTTGCTGGGCCGTTCCCTTTCTCTGGATGGTCATCTGGGGTGTCATCTCTGTCTACTGGTGCAAGGCCGACATGGTCCGCGAGCGTCTTGAGTGGCAGGCCGGCAAGGTCGAGGGCGCCATCACACCGATGCCTCACTCGTCGCCATCATCGACCCCGTCGCCGGACAAGCAGCAGCGAAGTGATACAACAACAACCACCGCTGAGGAAGCATAGTTATCAATTGTGCGTTTAGCATAGGAAAAGTGAAAGGGGCGTATCTATCAGGGCTTGAAGAGCTGTAATCATGTATGCATGTATACCCTGTCCGGAGCGATTGTCGATCTGTCTTAAATCATGAGCCACGGAGTTTTGAAATTGGGCACCATCTATCGAATAGATGTCATAGAGGCAAGGGGGCGTTGCTTAACTAAGTAAACGAATACGCTACCAATAATATATATCTGTTTCATTCATATCAAATCGCACCTATTACGTTGAGAAGCAACAGTTGGTAGATTCTGAACAGATGTGAATGGGGCTGTCCAAAGAAATGCCAGTGCCCTCCACTCACGGTGCCATGTGGTAATAAGACGTTCAATACAGCTGTATTACCTAGCGATAGTACATTTTGGGTAAATCCCTTTACATTTATAAGAAGTCGCATACTTGCATCAGTGACTTTACAAGCATGCTGACGTAGAAATGCTGGTTTTCGTTGGATCTAGCATAAATAGGGTAGGTAATTTGGGTGTATGACGGACGGCCAGGCAGTCGCTGGCCCCGTTAAATGCAAGTCGTGCATCGCAGCGCAAATGGCTAGCGTTGCCAAAAGCTGCTTTGAACAAGACCGCAAAACCATCAACCGTGGTCTCATCCAAACCACCAGAAATAAATAGCGGAAAACGATCCAGGCAATACCGACCAGACGGGGCGTTTGCCGAGGACATTAAAAGAAATCTCCGCGCAACCATGGCGGAACAGGCGCCCATCTCCACGTGCGTGTCATTGCACCCCGACACGCAAGTGTGAAGAAATGTCTGGAGCGAAAGAAAGGCTAATACTCCAAACACAGTGTCTATGTGCAGAACCTCGAGGAGCGCGTCAAGCCCGAGCCGCTGACCGACGCGCTGCGCACCGTCTTCTCCGAGTTTGGCCGCGTCGTCGACGTCGTCGCCAAGACGAACCTGAAAGCCAAGGGCCAGGCGTTTGTCGTGTTTGACGCGCCGGCGAGCGCGCGCGAGGCCGTGGAGGAGATTGATGGCTTTCCGCTGTTTGACAAGCCGATGCGTCTGGCCGTGGCGCGGACGCGCAGCGACAAGACGGTCGAGATGAATGGCTCGGCGGAGGAGCTGGAGGCGCACAAGCAGCACCGGCTGGCGGAAAAGGGTACATATTTCCCCCCTCCCACCCTCATCCCCCCCCTCCCACATTATTGAAAGAAGGAGACAGTATCAAAAGTGCTAACATTTCGCAGAAAAGAAAAAGGCCATCGAGGCCGCCGAGGGCACGAAACATGGCGGAAAGCGCGGCGCCGGCGCCGGTGCGGACGGGCGGCCGAGCAAGATTGCCAAGCCCTCGGGCCTCAAGTCGACGTCGGTTGCGCAGGCGGCCGTCATCCCGGACGAGTACCTGCCGCCCAACAAGATTTTGTTCTTGCAAAACGTGCCCGACGAGTACCACGACGTCGAGGCGCTGGCAGGCATCTTTGGCCGCTTCGACGGCTTCCGCGAGGTGCGCCTGGTACCGGGCCGCCGCGGCATCGCGTTTGTCGAGTACGACGCCGAGCAGGGCGCCGTCGCGGCCAAGGAGAGCACGGCGGGCATGACGCTGGGCGACAAGAACATCAAGGTCACGTACCAGAGGCAATAGAGAGAGGGGTTCATGGGTGCGCGTGTAATTTTAGTTGTACGAAAATGGAGCGAAAAATGTGTGTAATGTACCGAGACAGGCAAAAATGGCAAAAAAAAAAAAATATTTGGTAAATCTTTTTTTCGTGGAACGAGGATGATGGGAATTCAACCATCAGCATCTACTATACGCTGTGAGGATCGACTCACCGCAGGAAAAACCACGATAGGAAAAGCCAATATGGTTTATTTATATTTGATAAGATAATGCAATTCAACCGTCATCGGAACCTACTAGAACAACTGCTCGCGACAACGACCTAGGCTTGGCGCTTTAGGTAGTGGGTGGTTTAATAAACATGGAGGGCAGCGCTGCCCTCAAAAGATGACATCTTCGTCCTCTCCGGCTGCCAGAATATCTGTAGGCTGATCCGCGGCAGCCTTGTTCGCCGAGTTATCCCCTTCAGCCTTGGCTTGCGCTAGGCGCTTCACCTTCATCTCTGCATCGGCCGCGGCAGTATCTCGTTGTTTCTTGTTGGCAACCTATGATCGATTAGACTCTGCGGGGGCAGTCATGCACAGGTTCAAGCTCAACATACCTTCTTCAGTCTGTAAAACTCCTCACGGTCAACCTCATCCAACTCCGAATTGATGTATTTGATGGTATTCTCTGTGCGGGGTATAATGACATGCTCGATAGCATTGACTGAGAATATTTAGTGACTCATTGCGTACTGCTTTTCGGCCAGTACCTCTCACCTCGTCTGTTGACGACTTTGATGACCTCGTCGAGAATGACAAAGGCCGTCTGCAAGCTGGCGAGCTCGACGAGAGCTTCCACTGCCCGAGCATATGTTTCGCGGCTCCGCTGCACTTGCTGACCTCCCTTGCCAAGACCAGTCAGGCCAAAGTCGTTATTTCCCTCCGTTAGGTAGCTCTCGAAGGCGGGCAGCAAGACACCAGACACATTGTCCTGGCGCGTTCGAAGGCGGAACCGGGCCGACTTGGCCGACTCCTGCACCTGGTACCCAATGTCGCCTCCGACGGCGTATGTCACTTCGGCCAGGGAAAAGGCGGCAATCTGCATGACGCGCCCCATCTTGCGCTTGGCTTCATCTATTCTTCTCGTAATTTCTATCGCGCATCGCACCATTAGTTACGGGGTCGGGCGGTGGGTAGTTTCGGTATGGCGACAAACCTCGGAAACGTCTAAGAGTTGTCTAGTTAGTACGGCCCTGTGCCCTCGCCTGCTCATCCAAAATCGCAATCACTTACTTCGTAAGAGCCTCACTCTTCCTCTTCAGCAGACTGTGACCAGTCTCAGCTCCCTTGAGCTTCGCCTTCATGATACCCAGCGACTGCCGAGTCGGGAAGACTGGCTCGCGATCCTGTGACCATTGTTAGCAACTCGGCCATCCTCTCAGCGACGCTCAGCTACCGCTTACAGCTGCACCAGACATGTTGGATAATGAATGCCGAGTCGCTTAGGTATAGATTGACAAAGAGCAAGCGACAGCGTCCGCGCAATAGTTGGAACAGCAAGCCAGAAGCAGATGGCTATTGCAGGCCCCCCACTCCAACCAACGTCACAGCGGTCCAGGTTCGGCCAGGCGCCCATTGCAGCGTGCCTCACTATTGCAATACTTTCACAGTCCAGAATTGGGCCCCGCATTAAATGCAACTAACAATACCGGCGTTTTTGCTGGGCGCCTGTGAATTGTCCCATGTTGCAGCCTGCGCCAGCCTCATTTTCAAGACGACGCGAGTTGTGCTCAGCAAAAGCTTCTGTGCCGACAATCTCCAGAGACCAATGCCAGATCCGTGTCGCGCGCCACGGTCCTGAGCATCACGAACGCCACAATACACGTCGATTTCCCAATTGGCCATATCAACATGCGCTGCAACGTCGCCTAAACTCTCGACAGTTCTCTGCACCGTAGCTGCAACAATATTCGCCCCTCTGTGCTCCCCTGAGGCACCGACCGCATTATTTTCAACAATGGCAGCCATGGTAGCAAATGGACAGGTGCACCAGCGCCAGAACCTGCATCTTGTCGTAAGTTTGGCAGTCGTTTCGTGGGCATGTGACCGGAAGCTAACACCGTTTAGACAAACGAGGACTCCGTCTACGAACAAGACATCATCCGTGACCCATCGACTGTCAAGCCATGGCTTGTGTATATCGAGTTCAAATCCCGCTATGGAAATGCCCAGGAACAAGCTTTCGTCATGGCTCGGGCTTGTGCCCAGCTGCCACGGTCGTACAAGCTCTGGAAAATGGTAAGTCTGGGGACGCCTCCATTTTAACGAACTATTCTGTTCGGGACTAATCAATCGCAGTATCTGGAATTCCGGGTCAAGCATGTTTCGAAATTGAACCCTGGCATGTTTAATAACGAATACAACAAGGTCAATGCGCTCTTCGAGCAGGCTCTTATTCTGCTCAACAAGATGCCCCGAATCTGGGAAATGTACCTCTCTTTCTTGATGAAGCAGCCAATCGTGACCTTTGCCCGCCGAGTCTTTGACCGAGCCCTGCGCGCGCTCCCGATTTCGCAACACAACCGCATCTGGGCCCTGTATATTCCCTTTGCCAACGCGGCGTCGGGCGAGACTGCCGTCAAGATCTGGCGCCGCTATATGCAGGTTCATCCTGAGCATGCCGAAGACTTCATCGAACTTCTCATCAAGAACGAGCTGTACACCGAGGCTGCAACGACGTACATCAAGATTCTCAACAACACACGGTTCGTCAGCAAGCATGGCAAGGGTCACTTTGAGCTGTGGAATGAGCTGGTGGAATTGCTCGTGTCCCATGCGAACAATGTCAAAACTGGCCACGAAACTGGCATTGATGTTGATGCCATCATTCGCAGTGGAATCGCCCGGTTTTCAGACCAGCGCGGCAAGCTCTGGGCCGGCCTGGCAACCTACTGGATTCGAAGTGGTAGTTTTGAGCGTGCGCGTGATGTTTTCGAAGAGGGCATCACTACTGTCATGACCGTCCGCGACTTTACATTAATCTTTGACTCCTATGTGGAGTTTGAAGAGTCTGTGATAGGCGCTCTGATGGAGATGGCGACTGCTCGCACGCAGAAGGGTGTTGACGATGAAGAAGCAGATTTTGAGCTCGATATTCGCATGATGCGATTCGAGCATCTAATGGACCGACGCCCATTTCTCCTCAACGATGTGCTACTCCGACAGAATCCTAACCAAGTGCTGGAATGGGAGAAGCGGGTGGCACTCTGGGGCGACAACAAAAGCGAGGTCGTACAGACCTACACCGATGCTATCGCCAAGATTCAACCTAAGCATGCTATTGGTCCTTTTCATCAACTATGGACCAACTATGCAAAGTTCTACGAGGCAGGAGGCGATATACGCAATGCTCGCATCATTATGGACAAGGCTGTCAAGGTGCCCTTCAAGTCGGTGGCAGAGCTTGCGGACATGTGGATTGAATGGGCTGAGATGGAACTTCGAAATGAAGACTTTGACGAGGCTGTCCGAATCATGGCCAAGGCTGTCCAGGCACCAAAGCGATCAAACGTCGACTATTTTGACGAGTCTCTGTCGCCGCAGCAGCGTGTACACAAGAGCTGGAAGCTGTGGAGCTTCTATGTGGATCTTGTTGAGAGTGTCTCGACACTGGAGGATGTGAAAAAGGTCTATGAACGCATTTTTGAGCTTCGCATCGCGACACCGCAGACTGTGGTCAACTATGCGAACCTGCTGGAAGAAAATGAGTACTTTGAGGAGTCGTTCAAAGTTTACGAGAGGGGCTTGGATCTGTTTAGCTATCCGGTGGCCTTTGAGCTGTGGAACATGTACCTGACCAAGGCCGTGGACCGCAAGATTGGCATCGAGCGACTGCGTGACTTGTTTGAGCAGGCTGTGGAGGACTGCCCGCCCAAGTTTGCCAAGACCATCTACCTAATGTACGGCAATTTGGAAGAAGAGCGAGGACTGGCACGTCACGCGATGCGCATCTACGAGCGTGCGACCAGAGCTGTATCGGACGAGGACCGAGCCGACATGTTCAACTTTTACATCACCAAGTCGGCCTCCAACTTTGGGCTACCGTCTACGCGGCCGATTTACGAGCGTGCCATTACTGCTTTGCCAGACGAGGAGGCTAAGGACATGTGCCTCAAGTTTGCAGACATGGAGAAGCGCCTGGGCGAAATCGATCGAGCCCGCGCCATCTACGGCCACGCGTCGCAATTTTGCGACCCGCGCACCAATGCTGACTTTTGGAGCAAGTGGGAGTCGTTTGAGGTGCAGCACGGCAACGAAGACACGTTCAAGGAGATGCTGCGTATCAAGCGCAGCGTGCAGGCCCAATACAACACGGACGTCAACTTTATCGCGTCGCAAGCTCTCGCCAAGAGCCAAGCGGCGGCGGCGGCGGCAGGTCACGAGATGGACGCCGACACGAAGGACGCCATGGCAGAGCTGGAGCGACAGGCTCGGGCGCCGCAAGGGTTCGTGGCGGCCAGCGGGGGGCCGGTGGGTGGTGGTGTGCAGGACAGCAAGCCAGCGGTGGCGGCCAATCCTGATGCGATTGACATTGACAGTGGCGATGATGAGTGACGCCTCCCATTCGGTGAGAAGGACTATTTTCTATTTAGGTCGAGAGGACCGATCTAGATTTCGTCTTATCTCTTCAAGTTGACATTTTTCTTTTTATTTTTATTTTTGTTTTTTCAATTGTTTGGATTCGCACAAGACGGATTTGCATCCTTTTGCTTGCTGCGTGGTGACTATTCCCGGGGGCAAATCTCTTCTCCCAGTTTTCTTTTGTCTTTTGTATCTTATCTTGTTTTCTACAATACTCGCAGTTTTCTTTGTTTCTTTCTCGCTTGGTGTTTTTTCTTTTTGATTCTATATTTGTAGCATCTTATTCATCTGGGTCTTTTTTATACTGGTTATTGGGCTAGGGGAGCAAAACGGGAGAGGCGATTTGGGAACATCAAGGTAGAACAATACCATAGGAGAAAACATGCCAAATTTTTCGTTTATTTTTTGCATGGAATAGTGGTTGATTGATGGAATGGTAAGTGATGGATGACAAAAGTAAAAATAAAGTAAATTACAAGGTAGAAGAAAGTAATTCGGCCGTTGAAGGATGCGAGCAGAGTGTGCCATGAACTCGGCTCATTTTTTTTTGTTGTTTATCCGTTTTTCGTTTCCTCCCCGCCCCCGTCTCCCCCGTATTTGATTGTTATTGGCTCTTCAGGGATAGAATATGGCCGATTCACTTGCTCTTGGTCATTTCGGCAATCTTGGCGTGATACTTTTCTTGGTAGTTGCGGTCGACGTGGCCGTCACGAGAGCTGGGGGTAGCATAGATGGAGCCCTTTCGTTTTTGGAAGCGGCTAGGAGGGACCTTGGCGGCATCTATTATGAGAATTCGTCAGCAATAGTTCTTCTTCTTTTTTTTTCTTTTTTTTTCTTTTGATCTTCTTCATTTTATTCCTGGCTAGTTGACCAGAAAAAAAGTTATAAAACGCTTCGAGGCTGATGGCTTGTTGTGGCGTGAAGCTTTGCGGCGGATCGAAAAAGGTTTAGCGAGCGATGCGTCGGCAGTTATTTTAGCGGTCCACAGCGGACGATGGGGGCCGCCTGGAAGTTCCAAGGTGTCTTGGTACTTTCGGTACAGCGTCTTTCAGCGGGGCGACGGATCGTACCACGAGAGTATGGGATGGATTGCACCAATTCAAATGTGGCGAAAATGTTGAATAGAACTTTGCAATAAAGAATAACATTGCAATAAAAGTATCGTTCAAAGCGAGAGAGCAAGAAAGTAACAAGCAGGCAGTCAAGACATTTGTACTCACCCCATTCGTCGCTCAGGCGACGGTCTTGCTTGGGCGCGGTGGCGTCGACTGGAGGCTCTAGAAGCACAATAGGAGCTTGGCCGGTGGCTGTGGTCATGTCTTCGCTGGCCATGATGCAGGATTACTGGAATACGTCCTTTTTGTAGATCTGTAATGGTTTGCGTGGGTGTTGTTAAAAGTGATGACGACTCGCTTCTGTTTATCGCCACCATGTAAGTCAAGTCAAGTCAATGACAAACATCATCACTCTGTCGTGTAACTAACCTGTCTTTGCTTGATAGAAATAGTCGAGTCTGAGAAAATGAAAGGGTGTAGAGAACAATCAGAGTCCGGAGTCAAATGTGCCAAAATCAAACATGATTGCCATGAGATGGGCGGCCGCTTTATATATTGGACAATTACATGCATTTCCCCTCACCACACACCATCCATTTACACAACCCACACACGCCACTCGCTAGTGACCCCCTCCTTATCGAACAGCACCAACTTGCTTGTGCCTTTGCTCGCTGCGACACAGCCCTCTAGCTGCACGAATCTGGCATGGCCTCGTCCCCCTCATTAACGGTGAGTGTGAGTGTGCGTGTGTGTGGAGAAGGGGGCTGCTGCTGCGGCCCAGTTCATTCACCAACTCACAAACTCACTCACATTCACTGCCTCTCCAGCACAGCCATACAGCCCAAAAGCCCTATGGCATTCAGGACTGCTGCCCATTGAGACGATGCCCAGTAGACAACCCACCCCTTCGTCAAAATAACAAAAAACAGGATTCGGCACTAACTAATAGCACTACCCTGCCTGCATGCGCCTTATGACGGGGGGTCGTCTTGACCCGATCCCCCATCCCCCCGTCTAGTCAACGAGTCGATCATCTCCCCAGGTTTATTTTGACGTCACGAGCCCAAACAGCTGGTAGCGAACCAGCGAACCGCCTGTTCGTTGAGCCATCTGTCCACTTTACAAAGATCAAAAAGATATTGCTTTTCAGGTCTTGACTTGAAATGTCTCCCATTCCTAAACTTGAAGAGGCACATCGAGATGGAAACCTCGGCTGCCGCCGCCCGTCTTGGCCATGTACAAATACGTCCCATCCTACCCCCCCAGCCACAACTTACACGACTTCTGTCTGAGACCCTCGCAAGCCCTTTGATAGATTCGCCGAAACGGCCTGTCGGGCTGCTCGGGTGCCGTGACCGACAAGTTCGTTGCGGCAGGCGGCCTCTTTTGCGTTCATCTCATACGCCCCCTTTGCAACAATATGCGCGAAATTTCACCCTCTTACACGTCCGAGAACAAACAAAAACAACTAGCTTTAAGCAGGTAAAAAAAATAACCAAAAAGCCTCCGCCACTGAGAATGACTTTTTATTGCTTAGTGCCGTTGCACCCTGTGACGCAGTTTTGCCTTGCTTTTGCCTCTTTTGGATAGTCTCGCGCCGCGCCTCCTTCTCCTCTCTCCCCATCATGTTACGCTGCTCAGTGTCTGAGAGCGTCGTCATTACGACTCTGCTAGGCAACCAGGCAGGCCTATTTCGTCAAAGGGCGCTTTGAGCTCCTATTTGCGTGGTTTGTTTTATTCCCTCAATTTTCAATGGCCAATTCTCAACGCCTTTTTTTTTTCTGGTTGCTGGTTCTCGCGTCGCCGAGTGTCACGCAAGTCCGGCTTTCGCTGCACTTGTGACGGTGGCAAAGGCCAAAGATGAATATAATCATGGCAAGCTTGGGCAGAGATTCATGGTCTCGTGACGAGTTGACACCAGGCACGCGCACCTAGGTTACCCCCCCTTCAAGACTTGAAACTTTATTGCGGTGGCATCGCATGGCGTTGTAGGTCTGAGACGACGGAGTACAAGTGACACTGAAGGATTGTGTAAACAATTCCTCGGCATATCGGGCTCCTGCCTGCGTCTGGCTCCAATGAATAGGAGTCGCAGCAGATATGACTGTGCCACGTACATGTGTTTGACGCTCTGAATTACATGGGCATAACTTTATTGATAACATTGCGCACTTGCCCGCAGAAGCACTGCCTTCCTTGTCTCTCGCCGCCCCAGGTACGGGCCTGCGACATGCGTAGATGCGACTTCTGATTGGCTTTGTTCAACACCCCCGCGATGCAAGCCACCAAGTGTGAGCGAGATCGGGCCATGAGGGGACGAGTGCCAGCTCATCGATGCGCTTGCTCGTGTGCGCCGGCTTGGCTGCCTCTCTCGGCAGATCACTCGTCTGTGCAATGCTGCAACAGGCAAGGACAAGGTAGCGAGATGTATCTTGAAGAATCATGACGGGGGTTATAGGTTGAGTAGCTCAGCGCGCTTGTTGTCTCGCTTCTACAAGACCTGCGATTGCGTAATCCCATCCCTTTTCCCTTTGCAGGCAAGACGGCAGGTATACATCACCAGGTTGAGCTGTCGGACAGGGTTAGAAAACTACAAGCGGAACATCCACGAGACGATCGAGCAATCTGGCTGAGTGGAGTGTGGCTCAATGATACGTTCTAGGCCTCTGCCGCTTCACTTACGTCGAAAAGCGAAAGTGATGCGTAGCAAAAAGAGCAATATTCGCCTTTTGTTATGTGACTAGTTTTCAGATATTCTCACCTATCACAAGGTGGCGCATCATTTATTACCAGTTGCCTTTGCGCGACAATTACATCACTGGTACATGAATGCCATGCCTCGACACAGAGTCAGTTTCAACCTCTTGTCTTTGTCTATTATGACACTTGAATTGCTAAAATCCGTGTTGCAGAAATTTGCACAAGCACATACAGAGATGCATGATTCGGCTCAACCGTCCGAGACTTTTTATGCCTTTTACACTTTAACGAGGCTATTGACTGCCAATACTGCTAGGCATGATTGGGTGAACCGTCAATCAAGTACAATCAAAAAAGATTCGCCCTTTAATGGTTTCTCACTTATTCGAATTCTACCCGTTTTTTTATGTCATTATGCAAGTCCTTCTGGCGGTGGTGTCACCTTCACCATTGTCTCTTGGACGGAGGAGCTCCACCAATCCGAGAAGCGCATATTTTCGCAACGGCGCCACAAGTTACTCACCACCAACCAGACGACTCATCAAACACGCGGCAAAGTGTCACATTTCGCATCATAACCTCTCAAAATATGAACCAGCAGCTGTAATACTATAACCCTTGCAACTCAGAAAGACACGTCGCAGTCCCTTGGGACCTGCGATTCACTCCAATTATCCAGCACAGCACATCCGTCGAGTGATTCATGCTCCTGTGCTGCCGCCTCCCCCTCCGTGTCATGAAAAGGAAGCTGGACGCCTTGCTTCACGGATATTCGCAAGCCAAGATGTCCATCTCTACCAGAATCCAGCTTGACCCGCGCGAGCGCCGCCTGCGCAACCTTCTCGTCGACGTGGCGCGCTCCGTCGACGGGCCCTCGCCCGTCATCCTGCGCTGGGCCGGCGGCTGGGTGCGCGACAAGCTGCTGGGCTCCGCGAGCCACGACATTGACGTGGCCATAAACTCCATGACCGGCGGTCAGTTTACTGCCCACCTGCGCGAGCACTGCCAGAGGCCCGACGTCATCGCGGCCCACGGCCTGGTCGACGGCGACATTGGCAGCCCGCACACGGTCGCGCGCCAGCCCGAAAAGTCCAAGCATCTTGAGACGGCCATCCTGCGACTCTTTGGTCTGGACCTCGACTTTGTCAACCTCCGCAAGGAGACGTACGCGGATGACAGCCGCAACCCGCAGATGGAGTTTGGCACTGCAGAGGAGGACGCGCTGCGGCGCGACGCCACCATCAACGCCCTGTTTTACAACCTCAACACCGAAGAGGTGGAAGACTTTACGGGAGGGCTGGCTGATATGGAGAAAAGAATCATTCGCACACCGCTGGAGCCTCTGCAGACCTTCAAGGATGATCCGTTGCGTGTTCTACGTCTAGTGCGTTTCTCGAGTAGACTTGACTTTTCTATTGATGAGGGCACGAGAAAATTCATGGCCGATACGTCTGTACTGGATGCATTAAAAGCTAAAATCAGTCGCGAACGTGTCGGGCAAGAATTAGAAAAGATGCTACAAGGTAGGATGAACTCCAGAGGCTCAAGTTCCGCCTACAAGGTGCTAACGTGGCCATCATAGATAAGCATCCTCGCCTGGCACTGCAGCTCATTGATGACATTGGCCTATACCATGCCATATTCACAGACCCTGCGCGTCCAGACATGAAGAAGCCGGACATCACTAGGTGGCCCGTTGCGTACAACGGTCTCGACGACATCCTGCAGACACAGACGCCAGGATCCATCGCCGCCACCCTCATGCACACCGACGAATACCGCTGGATCGCGTGGAACCTCGCCGCCGTCAGCCCCTGGATGCGCGTGCAAGACCCGCCCGGCACCAAGAAAAAGGCAAACGCCCTGCCCCCCGTCGGCGTCGTCGCGCGCGAGGGCTACAAGGCCGCCAACAAGCTCACCGACATCATGGCCGCCTCGCATCGCCACCTGGACGAGATCCTCGCCCTCAAGCAGGCCGTACTCGACGGCGCCGCGCACATTCGCGAGCGCGATCGCTTCGGCATGGCCATCCGCCGCTGGGACGCTCACGGCGGCTCCTGGCGCCTGCAGGTCCTCGCGGCGTTGCTCGCCGAGGCGCTCGAACGTCTGGCCGTCTGGCCCAGCGCCGCCGTCGAAGGCAGCAGCTCCGGCGAGCACTCGACGAAGCGCGACGCTTTCATCGCCGAGTGGCAAAAGTTCCTCGACCACCTCGTCGACATTGACGTCATGGACGCGCCGCAGCTCAAGCGCCTGCTGGACGGCCGCGAGCTTGCCAAGGCTCTCGGCGTCAAGCCGGGCAAGTGGACGGGCCAGGCGCTTGATGTGTGCGTCGCGTGGCAGCTGCGGAACCCGACCGAGACGGATCCTGCGCCGGCTATTGAGGAGGTGCAGAAGCGACGGAAGGACTTGGGTATCCCAGATGCGCAATGAGTGAATGAAGGAGGGCGGCTGTTTTACGCAACTCTACTCAACGATGGGGCTTGGATGATAGGAAAATTAGACACTATACCACAGTAGACTGCACGTCTATTGATCATGAACAAGAATGAACTGAAAAGTCCCGACTCTCGCAAGATAGAATTATTTCATGTTGGCGGTATGTTAGTGACCTTGGATCTACACTGTGCGAATAGTCAAATCGCACATTTCCTCTCGCACTATGCAAACAGTTTCCGTAACCCACTTCGTCAAACTCCAGAAGCTCATCAAGACTTTATGCATTGCCATCTTCTTGCCCAAAAAATCTTCAGAAATTGGCAGTGCTCAATACTCACGCGCTAATACCTAATACTGAGAAGAATCTGCGTCTGTGCTGCACAGACGCAGCGCGGAAGATGATGAGCGCGGAGGAGCTGCTTGGCGGCGACAACCAGAGTCGACTGAAGGAGCTTGCCAACAGTATGCCGCCGAATTCTCCCCAGCCTGCGAGTTGAACATCTGATTTATGCATCGAGAATCAACTGACTTGTAATTTCTACAGATTCGACTTCAGTTGCTAATATCCTTAAGGACCTTGCGTCCGAGGACACTGTACGTCTTCGATCGTCTACTGCCTACAGCCCACGCTAACCTGGGAATAGTCACTCTGGCGAGATGCAGCATTGAAAATATTGAACCGCAATTTCGCAGCACCGTCCCCTTTGGAGGAAAACGCTCTCATAGATGGACTCACAGATACACTGAAGGAGCCTCGAGCTTCAGAGGGCGGTGATGCCCTCCCCTGGGCAACCATCTCCGAGGCAGCCCTCGCAGCGCTCTACTCCCTTGATGCAGAAGCCGAACACGTCGACAATGTTCTCTTGCACATTGTCCCGTATACCGATGCTGATCAACCATGGACTACAGAGTCGGCAGCCTTCACTGCGGATCGACTCCTCGACAGGTACTTGTCAGGCCAGAGGAAGCAAGAATTTATCGTCGGCAGCGTCCTGCAGAGCCATCTGCGGCCCCTGTTCTCCAAGAGCTCGTCTTCCGTCACTGCCGAAGGCCGTCCTGCGCTATACCGCGCGCCGCCGCCCCCAGCAGGCTTCCATGCGCAAAAGGCTACTTGGAAAGAAGCCGGCCCGCTCATTGTCACTCTCTTTGACTGGGCCGTTCAGGCCTCCGAGGTACCCATCCTACTCTCAGCATCACAACATCTCCCCAAGCTTCCCTCCCTCAGCAACTGACAACTTTTATCAGCCTACTACGATCAAGAAGCACTGGCCGCTCTACGTTCCTGTGCTCGTCACCCTCGCCGAGGACGACGACGTCGCCGTCCGCCAGCGCGGCCTCCAAATCCTCGATGTCTTCCTGGCGAAATGCCCCGCCGAGGTCCTGCGCACATCCGGCATCGACGCCGTGTTTCGGGAGTCTGTGCTTCCGTCGCTGCTGTTTCTGCCGACGCTGACGCCCGAGGCCGAGTCGGTCGTGCTGCTGCGCGCCGCGTATCGCGCGGTGCGCACGCTGGCCCTCGCAGCCGACGACCCCGCGGACGGGAAGCGCCGCTCGCTGCTCGATAGGATGCTGCGCGAGGGCGTGCTAGCGGGCTACTTTCACGCGTCGCAGCACATTCGCGTTGTCGAGGTGCTGATGCAGGCGGCGGCGCAGATTGTCGAGGCGCTGCAGATTTACGCAGTGAAGCACTTGCAGGTATGCATCATGGTCGACATTCCTTCATTATAAGAGTTATTTTAAAAAAGACAATCGCTAATGCTTGTGATAGAGTTTGATAGATCTCTTTGCCCCTGTCCTGACTGATGCTTTTGCACTGGCATATCCCGCCGCCGTCGTTGCAGCGGCACAGGCGCTCAATACTACAATTCTCAACTGCTGGCCACGCATAGTCGGCACGCCACACGCCGAACAAATTCTGAACGTCGTTTCTCGGTGCTGGATCAACATTCACGACTCTGATAATGACCGCAATAGTTCAGAGCTGGAGATGCTCGTCAAAGAGCTGACAAAGACAATGACGCTGATGGCGTCGTTGTGGAAAGAGAGCGACGAGCCAATGCCGACGGAGAAGCTTTCACAAGTCGTGCGAAAAGCGCCAAATCTCAAGCCGCTGTTTGCCGCATTCCGGCTGGACACGTCCACGGCATGACGACAGAAGCACAGCCTCAGTCAAGGGGCTGCTGCTTGAAGAAGGACTTGCCCCTCAGCCACTTCCTGTAGGCCTTGTATCTCTTCTTTGGCGCATCCTCTTCCGTCACCGTCAGCGGATTCTCACCGATTTTGAGCAGCTCCGCGTAGAGGTCCATCTCCTCCTCGCTGCCGCTGAAGAAGAGGCCGCGGTCCTGCCACCCGCCGTGGATGTAGTCTTGGTACTCGGACGAGTCCATGTCCACGGGCGTATCGCTCGAGACCACCAACGGCAGATTTTGGGGGTGGTGAATGTAGCGCGCATAGTCGTCGGCCTCGTGCTGGTCGACGGACGGGTTCAGCGAGTCCTTTAGAGCTTTGGTAAACGTCCATTGCTCTGCCGTCGACTTTTCCAGGGCCGTCGGCTTCGTCTTGGCGGCGCCGGCGACGTCCAGCTCGTTGACCGTGTCCATGGCGCTGACCAGGCCGAGCGTCCTCTCCTGCGTTGGGTGCAGCCAGCGACCGAGCGACATGCCCCGGGGTGGCGCTCTGTCCGAAGCCATGGAGGACCTCCCGTCGTCTGACACTGCGACTTGTGAGAGGGGTGAGATTGATGCTTTGTTTGGTGCTGCAGCATTCTTCTTGGCCGCTTTCCTCTTGTCGGCGTCGACGTCGTGCTGCTCGTTGCGTACGCGGAACGGACTGAGGTCGTATTTCCCATCTTGAGTGGATTTAATGGGGATATACTTGATGGTCGAGTTCATTTTAAAGGCAAACATTTTGGGAAACGATGACAACGTCGACGGACGGTAGTATTCGAGCCAGTAATCATCAAAGAATTCGACTGGCTTCGTCACAGGTGTGCTTCGTAGCGGAACCAGCGCATTGCCTGCGTTCTTGGCCTGTAGATTCGCCGGGTTGAACCAGTTTATGTAGCTTCTAATATTGTTTGGCGACCAGTCTCGCGGATTCGAATGATGCAGGTAGTAGTCTGTCGTGAGATCCCACAGCATCGGCCGCCCCGCCTTGTAGACGTAGTTGCCCAGAAACAAATTGTACGCCTCCTGCCGCTGGTTGTCGAGAAACGAGTTGTTGTAGTAGCGCTTGAAGCTCTCAATCATGTCGCGCGAGTGGCTCGTCCATTGATTAATCTTGCGGTACGTCTCCATGGTGTTGACGAGCTGCGATCCCCCGTACTGCACCGCAATGGTGTCGCCGTGGTCGTGCCACATGTGCGTGAACAAGTTGACCGCGTCCGTGTCGTACTCAATGGTCGTGTCCTGCAGGATGCCCAGCGCGTGAAGCTGATGGCCCAAGGCGCGCTTGCCAATGACAAACTGCGCGGCGTTGGTGCGGTCCAGGCAGTCGATGCAGTTTGTGCGCGCGACGCCGTTTTGCGCCGTCAGGGGCGCGGAGAAGACGCCGTCGCCGTTTTGGAAGAAGCCCGTCGCCTCGAGAACGCTGTCGGCAATCTTTTCCAGGTTGCCAATGACGTCGCCGCCGCGCACCTTGGAAGCACGGCTCATGTCCCAGGCCTTGTGGATAATCTTCTTGCCGTCGGGCAGGAACTGGTTGAGGTAGTTGATGCAGTGGGTGTACTCGTCGAGGAGCTTCGACTCTCGCGGCTGGCGTTCTTTGGCCTTGACGAGGTTGAGCACGTAAACGGGGGCCCCATACCGCTGAAAAAGGTCGTCAAAGTGCAGGGCCGCAGCACTGTAAAAGGGATCGACGAGGTTGAGTTCAATGGGCGGCTTCGGTGTAACGCCAGTACTGTCCTGCGTCCAGTGGAGTGGTATACTGCCGCGATGCTGCACATAGGATGTGTAATGCGGACTGCAGTATGGCCGTGGTCCGGGCGCATGGAACGATGTCGTCTGGCATTCTGCCACGATTTGCTCGGTTTCGACGTCGTTGGCGACGTAGCCTAAATCATTTGCGCCACGCTTCAAGAAGCGCGCGCCGGCAAAGTGGCGTGACCGCCTAGCAATGACGGTAATGTATGCCGTGCGGCCATATATGGACAAGGCAGCCTGATCGACATATCCATGAATGATTGGATGACACCAGTCAAACGGATCCTTGATGACGGCTGCAATCGGTTTCAGCAGGTAGTTGTTCCACACAAACATGGAATTCAGCTCCTCGTGTGTTTTAGAATCAACACCCTGTGCCATGCTTGCTCTCTCCCGCATAATGTTTCGCTGTAGCGTATGCGTGACATCATACGAGTAGCTATAGTAAAAAGACCTCGTCAGATCTAGGCTGTTAAAAATGGACAGGAAACGCGTTTCTTCGGCGCTGTTGTTCCTCGCCTCCGGCTTCGACGACCTGCCCGTCCCAAGCGGGATCAGCTCCGTGCCCTCGACTTGGTAGATGTAGTGACCGCCTACCATGGCGACGGTGCTCTTCTTAGTGATGAGCAGCATGTAGTAGCAGCCCGTGAAGCGGATGAAGCCCAGCAGGCCCCACGTCGTGCAGCGCAGCTTAATGCCTCCGGTGCCCTTGTTGCCGTCGTCGATGGTGTCGAGAAGCTGGTTCATTTCCTTGAGCGTGTACACAATCTTGTCGTCGGTCATGCTGGGCTCCTCGCCGCCCTCGGTCGTGCGGTCGATTTTGAGGATGCGGTACCGCCGCTCGCTGACGTCGACACCGACCACGTAGTAGCGGCTCGCCGTCTCGTATAGACTAAACTTGTGCATCTTGTATAAGAGCCTGTCGGACGTGGGCTCGTCCTCGTTGTTGCTGGCGGTGGCGGCGGCGGGCCCCTCGCCGACAGCCTTTTCTTCACAGCGACCATTTTCGGAGCGTAGATCCCCGCTCTCCTGCGTTATCACGCCGCCAGATGTCTCTGCTGTCCGTATGCTCGGTTCGGGGCTCGCCGTGCGCATAATAGGTTCTGCAACGGCCGGGTCGCCATCGTAATCATCCACAGACGCAGCCTCTCCACCACCACCTAGCGTAGATGCGCCGGTGCCGCCTTTGGCCGTCGACTTGGCAGACTTGAGATCGCCATTGGTCTCTTCTGTATTTTGCAACTGTGGAAATAAAGGTGATGATGGCTCGGTCGAGGCTTGAGGGGTCGGTGTTTGCGAGTCGACGTGGGAATCTGGCGGCGTCGCACTCCTTGGCGAGCCAAGTGGGAGCTCCGCCATGGTGGGCTATGCAAATTCTTCTAGAACATGACTTGCATGCAGAGTTTCTGTTGATTGAGCCACTCGACTCTCAATTCGAAAGAGCAATGCGCTGAGGATGGCGCCGTGCTCATTGTGATGATGTCACTTAAAAAGCCCGGACCCTGTGACCATTCGAAGCGAACTTGGTCGCGCAACCGCCCCACCTTGTCCAGCGATGTAAGTGAGATGAGACGAGCCTTTGCCATCTCTGAGGAAAGAGACCATGGAGACTATCATATTTTAGTAGACGTATTAGTTGTGATTCTAAATATAACAAAAAAGAGCAGACATTATATATACAATGTGACGCCAAAGTACAGGCCCCCAAACGAGTAAATACGCATCAATCCAGTAAATGTAGGAATCTAGGCCTTGGCCGCAGTAGCCAGCATGAGAATTGCGGGTGCCGGGTGTAATAGCGCCTTTATGATAGTCATTTTAGCCCAAGGATCCCTTTGAATGCTGAAAGAATATTCATCTTGCATCCCTGATTTCAGACTGCAGCGTCACCCGTTGACGAGAGACAATGAGATCTAAGACTGAACTAGCTGGAATGTCTTGGCAGAAGGTTTCGTTCCATCATCACCTCAAGCAATCGTCCGCTAATCCTAGACACCCTTCTTCTATTTATGCTCATGCTCTCTTTCATCATCTCAAGCTTACATAGGACCTTTACACCATCCCCGCTGTCAATATATACAGTATATCAGCGCCAGACCCCCGCCGCAAAGAAAGATGATAGATTTTGGAGCCGCGCATGTATTATGCATGCCCTTCTGGCTCGCAAATATCAAATCTCCTCATTTCAGTCCACATCTTGCTCCTCTTTATCCGCCTGTTCGACTTGCTGTGTTTCTTCAGTAGCCCGCCCCTCATCTGGGCCTGCCTTGGTGGCATCTTGGCCAACCTTTGTCTCCTCTTGGCCCCCTGCCTCCTGCGGAGCATCGACTTCTGCGCTTGCCACGGCATCATTTGCGCCACCCGTCGGCTTGGGTTCCGGCTCGTCTGGCGCGGGTGCTATTTCGGCTCGCAGATCCGGCAAGAATCGGTCCACACGCTTCCAGGTCTCCTTCCACATCTCTTTTTTAGTGGAGTCTTCCGTCTGGGGCACCAAGACTCCGTTGCTCTCCATGAAGAGGATCACATTTTTAAGATTCTCTCGAACGGCTTCCTCCTATAGTAACGATTAGCATATTGCCTGGTTGAGGGCATAATCATGTGGCACTTACCAGAGTGTCACCTTGTCCGCTATTCTTGAGACGGTCCATGATTTCAATAATCTTAATCCACAAAGGCAGCAGCCCGTCCCATTCAGCGAGCAGCGTTAGATAGTGTAGGAAAACTTTGCAAAGTAAGGACGTAGCCTGCACGCGTAGCTTGCTCATGCCATCACGATCGGCCGAAAACACCTCAGGCTTCAGCAGGCGAAGAATGAGGGGGAACAGGACCTTGCTGAAAATAGCTGTCCATTCCTGCGGGTCGTTGGTGGTAAGTTTCGCTGAGAGGAGCGAGCGATGTAGCGAAGAGAATGCCAGCTGGCGAACCTCTCGGCACGGATTTCCACACTGATGCATCATGGATTGAAAGATGGGCAGCCAGTATGCGGACCAGGCTTCACCGCTTTCCAGCTGCGACTGCTGTATTAGCTGCGGCACAATGGCAGTCATACTGTAGAGGCTGTCAATAGCTTTGCAGCCACGTTCAACTGCTGCTTTGTCAACCTTGGCTTCTCTTCGTGACGCGTCGTGACGCCGCCTTTCTTGCTCTGCTTGCTTCTCTGGTGAGGCCAGTGGATTCGCGCTCGAGGCAAATTGGTCGAGCAGAGCAACAGCCGCCATGTAATTGTCTGCCATGATGGCCGGAGGAGAACCAGACGTTCCTTTCTCGAGTATCTCAAAGACTTGCGCCGCAGATTCGCGGCTGGTGGCGAGAACGCGAAGTGTTGCCCAAAAGTCAGGCGATGTCATCATTTCGCTTCGCAAAGGACCTGGTTCCTCGGTACAAGCAGCCAAACCATTAAGAATAGTGCTTGAAGTCCTGGCAAGCACATCCTGAGGTAGGCCCGAAATGGTGTGGAGTAGTCTGGGAACATTGACAATCTCGTGATCGTATCCGTCCTTCAGTATACGTAGTCCGTAAAAGACAGCCCGAGAAACAGTGATGGCATGCCACTGAGATGAGTGGCGCAATATTCCTTGCACCGTTTGGAAGACAAGCTCCGCCATTTCTTCGACTGACTCAGAGTCCCTGGTAGCCAAAATCGTAGCGAATTCGAGAATATATGCAACCGAAGGATCATACTTGAGAGGCCCCGACGCTGCTATGTGCCCACTGGGAGGTGGATTCGGTATATTGTCTTGCTTGACGCTCATGATCGTTGCGCTGTCATCATCTGGGAGCTGGCCAAGAAGACCAGAGACAATCAGCTTCGTAGTAGCAACAGGTAGTTTTGCAACGTTTTGGAAGACATTTCCGAGTTTGCAGGAGTTGATGCAGTCGACCGTGCACAAAGTGCTCTCTAGCTCCTCATCTGATGGCTCGGGAGGATCATCTGCCGCGTAGCTGGAGATGTATGAGGTGAATGCAGAGAAGAAACCAGTCTCGGGCGACCGCGCTCCGCGGTCAATAACCTGCGACGGCGACTGAAGAGGAATGTTGGGCAGGCCAAGAGCAGGAAGGTCAGGTGAGCCAAACTGGGACGCCAGCGAGTTTGCAAAAAGGTTGACCCATATACGAATGATCTGTGACTTGGGTTAGTCTGCGCGGCAGGTGTGAAATTTCGAGAAGATTGACTCACATGTTTCCAGCTATTCTTGATGATGTGCTCACTGCCAGTAACGACACGGAAGAGAACGAGCGTGGCAAGCTGAGCGCGGAAGTCACGGCCAAGCTTGACAGCCAACTCACTTACCATGACACTGGTCTCGCCTACCTGGACCTCCGTGTTCAGTGCTGTGTTGAACGTTGTGTCTGTTGCTAGTTTCGTCATATAGCTGAGGCAGTAGACGATCTGGTCGAGGGCCTCCACATTATTGTATTTGGCGGCAATACGAGCACATTCGTCAAAACCAGTTACTATTCTGGCGAAGACGGCGTCGTCACTGGCAGACATGAAGACGTATGAAAGGGTAGAAACGATCGGTTTCCATGTTGCTGCGAACATATCGGCATCGTAGATATTCGTGTCACAGAGAACGAGATTGCCGGCTGGCTCGGTCTTCAACAAAAGCTCCCTCCAAGCGTAGTCGAACGCGTGCTGATTATCGTGCTCATCTGGCAGGATGATTTCATTCGAATTGATCGAGTCATAAATGTCAGAAAGGTATTCGGGCGAAAAGTTCTTGCCATCGTTGACGCCGCGAAGATTTCGTGAAAATTCTTCAACAGTCATGCGCCTATTGGCCTTGATGGTGGGGTTATGCTGGTCGGTATTCAGCAAAATAATTGCATAGCTCAGGACGTAAGCGGCATCCTTGTTCGCAACCTGCTCAGGAGTATCGCAGGTACAGTACTTCTCAGAGAAGCTTTCGACAATGTTGGCAATGAGCTGTGCTTCACCAGGGAGACGAAAAGACTCCAAGAGTAGTCGAAGTCCTTCGTCGAGGCGCTTTCCGGAAAAGTCAAAGAGATCCAAAAATTCTTTAAGGACTTGTTCGTTTCCAGTCTTTGAGAGATATTCGCCAAGAACAGATTTGGACACTCGTGACGTTTCTTTCAAGAATGCAGCCACTTCTTTAGGATCCCGCGCGCTGTTCAAAATGCCTTGCGCCTCCAGATATCCAAGGCCATTCTTTGGTTTCTCATTGAACATGCTCGTACCTTTGATAATGATCTTCTTTCTCCGGCGCTGCTCTCGCAGAACATCAGACTGAACATAGCCATCTGTGACAGGATTCTTGTCCAGTCGCTCAGCGATGAACTGAATATATCTCAAAAGAGCATCGAGACAGAGGGGAGGAACACTTGTGGTGCTCCAAGTGGCGGAGTCGGGCAGAGCATTACGAGAAAGCAGCCCAATCATGTCCTCGCACAAGTCAGCTCTGTCAACGTCGCAGTCATAGTTGACGAAAAGTTCGACCATAAACGTAGGCATCCGTGAAAGCACACCAATGCTTTCAACCATGGCCTGTCTAGCATCTGGCTTGCGTGAGCCACCTTCTAAACCAAGCTTTTGTCTGTCTTTAACAGGGACCGGTGTGGCACGGCCGCTACCAGCTTGAGAAGATGGGGGCTTGACAAGCTTTGGCGTTTCCGGAATACCTGCGAAAAGAGAAGCCTCGATGCCCATATCACGAGGGATGGGAACGGTAGGATGCAAGCAGGCCACCAGGTAAGAAAGGAACAACTCCTGCTGCAGCTTCAAAACGCCGCGGCACGTGGCAAGCATCGTTCCTGCGACGATGAGAGACTCCTGGAGGATGGCCATGTTGTCCGATCGAACTAGCTGGAATAAATAAGAACACAGCTTGTCCTCTGCGATAGTTGCTAGAGCAGGATGTCGCGCAATAAAAGGCCCAGCTACTTCAAAAGCCACGTGAATGATTCTAAGCGCCATGACTCTCATGGTGTCGGTGTGATGTCTGTCATTCGGGTCCAGGAAATTGACCAAAACACGGAAAAGCTCGCGGACGGACGGTAATGAGTACGGTTTCAAGTCCACTGACTCCGAATCATCGCTCGCTTCACTCCCACCGTCATTTTTGGGCTCAGCAGCCGCGGTAGCTTGTTTGTCTTGTTCGGAGTCGATCGCGACTGGCTGTTTCTGGGACTCTTCGGGCGTCGGTGTTGACGTCGAGTCGCGCTGTTCAGGAGTGGTGGCAGATGCATGTGTCTCCATGTGCAAGGTATCATCCTTTTGGTCAAAGGCATCGGACTCGTCGCGGATTTCAACGTCGAGGTGCTTCACATCCTCAAAAATGATCTGGCACATTCTGACCATGGCAGCCTCGGCAGTTCTGCGCAGGACAGGGGAGAAGCGCGGCTGAGAGCAGATGGCGAGACCACGGCCCATCATGTCGCAGACGCTCTCATCGCTCAGTATGTCACCACCTGGGCCGGACATCATGTCCTCCATGAGGTTGAGAATCATGAGAAGAACAACTTCTCCCTGCGCCGAATCGCTGACGTCAAATTGGCAATGTGTTACAGCAGAGGATAGAGACTGCATAGCAAGCGCAAAACGTGGCGAGCTGGCGCAGACGAAGCCGTATGCCAGAAACTTTCGGAGCGCTCCGAGGGCGAGGATCGTAATGGGCGCGGCGGTGCCCTTTGCTTGAATGACTAGTAGAAAAGGAGCGAGAAGTGCCGGCGCATCAAAGGTGCGAATATCTACGCACGAAATGGTCAGTATCCGTTGATTTAAGCTTTTTTTAAAAAGAAAAAAGGCGAGAGGTTCGTCATCATACCTTTGACGCCAGCAATATCGTGACGCAAGGCACCAAACCCCGATATCATGGGATCGTCCTGCATGCTCTTGCCCTTTTGCCCGCGAAGACCCCATCTTGTGTTTATTGTAAGATCCTGATTGTCGGAGCCAGGGCCCCCTGCGTGTGACTTGCGCCTGGGCTTGGAGCTGGAGCTCGGCGCCCCAAGGCTAATGGGATTGGGGTTGCCGCCTAGAATGGCCGAGACGGACGAGTGCGGTGAGCGGGCATGCTTCTGGATTGCCGAAGTGATCGATATACATTCGGAGATGACGAGAGAGACGGGGTCGACGGCGACAGAGACAGGACGGCTGCGATACTGCATTCGAGGAGCGTCAATGTGCAGAATCTCAGCCTCTAGAGGCGGCCCGACGGGGAGATTGGGCTCCATGGCTGCGGGAGGAAGCTTGGCATCGCGGCTCATGATCTGTGCTGAACAAAAGGAAAGAATCGAAAACCGTATTAGCAAGACGGCGGGAGGTGCTGAAGAAGAACTGAAAAATGGCCGCGGCGAGGGGGGCGATCGTCGGCGGCGAGCTAAGACGAATAGAGCTCGCTCAGGGGCGGAAACAAGTAGAGGGAACCGATGAATCGGCTAGCAGCGTGAACAGAGAGTTTGTGTCTCTCGAAAAGCATAGGAGAAGTGCCACGAATCGTAGTTGGGGCACCAATGGCGGGCTGCTAACTGGTGATGCCTCAGGGAAGCTGTCTGGAGCAGTTGTGCATATACTGTGGCAGTTGGCTAGCTGCAGGCTGGCAATGGTGTAAAGCCGCTGGCAGCAATTGGCCCGCCCCGGGTCCCGCTGCATCGGCGGAGCCTCATCCACAATACGTGTTAATAATTTTTAGGCGGCCGCAGCTTACTAACGTAAACCGCATTAGTAGCGAATCTACTGTGCTGAGGACACATTGAAAATGTTGGAGAATCGCGTCTTAAGTGACGGAGACTTTGGCAATTATTTGCATCGACTGCAATGCAGGCAGAGACTCCCGCGACAATACACGTTCACCTTACGTTATCAGAAACCACAAATGACAACTAAATCTTCTATGAATTGCCAGCCTAGACTCTAAATTTCCAAATCTTTCTCGCCGTCATCCTATCTTTTTGTCCTAAAAACGCCGCTGAAAATAGTGAGCTGTAGGCATAGTCTCCTACCGTCTACGTCCCTTTGCTGGGCGGGGCCAGTAATGGTGCAGAGACCCATCGCTCCAATGCGAGAATATAGTACTGTACAAATAAAAATGAAAGAAAAGAGAAAACCAAAACAAAAGTGCCGCTGGCACGTGGCTGGGCGCCCAACGATCCAATCCTATTCCATCTGTCAATAATGAATCGCTTCATCGCTGCGTCAAACCGTCAAGCCACTTATTTGCCGCCAGCGGCGTCCGCAGCCTTGGCAGCGGCACCCTTTGGCTCTTGCGCTGCCAGTCCGGCCTTGGGCTCTTGTACTGCCTGGCCAGCCTTGGGCTCTTCCGCTGCCTGGCCAGCCTTAGGCACTTGCGCTGCCTGGTCAGCCTTGCGCTGAGACTCAAGGCTTTGCATCTGAACCTTGTCTTGTTCCCACTCCCTCTGGCTGTCACCAAAGGTCTCTTTGAGCGTCTGCTCCTTGAGCCTCCTCTCTTCCTCTTCCTTCTCCTTGAGTTTTCGCTCAGCCTCCATTTCCTGCCGACGTTTGTTAGTCACTCTATTGATAGTATCAAGGAATGAATCTTCGTACCTCCATGTGCTTAACATCGTCCACACTAGGCTCGTAAAGATGCCAAATGGTGTAGTGAGGCAGTCCAACCACGGAAAACTTCATCTTTCTCGCCATCTACATTCTCGGTTAATACTTTAGGATCCAGGAACCGCATTTGAAGTCTTTTTACCTTGCCAAACCCTTCAGTCTCAGCGTGCTTCTCAAAGCTAAAGGCTGGGAAATGGACACCACTGCGGAATACCTTTGCCTTAGCTAGAATACTGACACCACCGACGCCGTCGATTTCCATTTCCATGTCGGGGTCGCCGTAGGGATCGCGGAGATAGGCAAGGTGCGGTCTCCAGGTAGCGTACTCGGCATATCCTTCGACAATTACAGCATCTTCATCCAAGGTGTCGGCAAGCGCGAGAGCCGTCTCAGACTCTTGCCAAGAGTTCAAGTCGTACGGCTGCTCGCCGCCAAGCCAGTCGGGTAGGGGTCGCCAGACGTCTAAGTCATAGTTAGCACGGAATTCCATAGTAGCAATAGTCCATAGATGAACTCACTAGGTACGATAACATCCTTGTTGTGCCGCATCAGATCCTCAAGAATGGTGAAGGGGGCTGTCTCGACATCAACATCTCGCCAATAGACCCACGAATGGTATGGGCGAAGAGCGGCACTGAGAAGCCAGTTTCTGGCCTGGGCCATGAGTTTTCTACGGCTGGCCTGGGCGGCGAAACCATGACGACTTTCAACGTCCTGGTTGACCTTTTGACCAAAGTCCTTTTCGATGATGGAAATCTCTCCATAAGGTTGTCTGGGGTCATCATCATTTTGGATCAAATTCATGTTGTCGACCAATAGTTGAAGTGTGTTGTCCTTGGAGTCGGAAACCAGGAAAGCCAGATCAATCAGGTTGTGCGGGTAGGTAAAATTGCGCAGATGCGAGAAGAACATGGGCAGATGCGCGGACGCATCACGGAGCGGGACGCAGAGAAGAATGCGCTCTTCTCTCTCCCATCCTCGGGCAGTTCCGCCAACGCTGTTCAGATCGTAGTACCGCACAGTTTCGAGGTCGAAGTCGGGGTCGCCACCGAGGAAACCCAGTGAAAAGACAGACGCGATCGAGATCGAGGGTCTGAAAAATAGGCATAGCGCTGTGACTAAAACAGCCGCAATGCCGATGCGCACAAGAAGCTTTCTGCGACGGCGAGACGCGGGACCGCCTGCGCGAGGTTGGAATCTACACATAGCAAAAAGTTGTTGTTAGCGTGTGTATCGTGAGAAGACAGCGGAAACATTCGAAGCGCCTGACGGGCTTGCATAGTGGTAAAGCTTACCTGTGCGGCGAGATATCAAAGGTATCACCTCTTGGGTAGCCATTGGCAAACCCTCCGGAGTGATGTCTGGGCATCATCGTGATGGTCGGCTTGGGCAAGTAACGAGTGTCTCGTTTTCAAACTATTACCCCTTGCTGACGCGCAAGTTGAGCGGCGTCTGCGGGCTCCGGCAGAGTCGGGGATCTAGAGACCAATGCAGCAGTTGCACACCAGCTGAGAGATTCAACTTGATACGGAAAATGCGCACGCAGCGATGCGTGATTATCCTGGGTGCGCTGGCGCTGGGCGTCGAGATTATAAAGATGCAAAAGGCCAGTGTCCGAAATCAATCGTGGCAGCTTCTGCCAGGTGTTGCGCTACGCTGCTAATTTTTGGTCGCCCCTGCGTAACTAGGTAGCCTCTACCTGGGTACCTTAGGTACTCGGTAGGTAAGGGGCGAAGTACCAGATTGTACCTAGAGATTCGCTGAAGATACCTGGGAGGGGTCTTTGTGTTAACCAGAGATACTAGCGTAATGCGACAAGCAGAAGTATCCCAAAATGCCCCGCAAGTATCTTCGACCACGAGCAGTCATCCATTGATCCATCAGATACCCCTGAAGCAACACGAAATTGGCGCCAGCCACTGAGAGTCGCTCCCCGCGCTAACAGCATTTGGTACCTTCTTATCAAGTTGTGAGTACAGTTTGCTCATTGCTGTGGGCTTTGTGTTATGAGAACTTTTGATACAACATGGCGATCACTTGTTCGAGTCAATCCAACATGACGATACCTTCTTCGAGTAGTGTTAATAAAATCATATCATTACGAGAGATAAAATTTGGTATGCGTAGCCGCCAGCCGAGTTGCAAATGTGCAAAGGCACGCGATCAAATCCAATCGCACCGTCACTCCAATGAACCGAAGCTGCACAGTAACTGCATGGATATAATAATGTGGTATTCTTTGATTGTATCTTCTTCATGTTTCCTGTGTTCGATACAGTGGTCTACGATTGCAGTTCTCTGCTAAAAGATGTCTACAGGTCTATATGTCATGGTTAGCGATTTGACTACCACAGAGCTGTACAATGATTTATGTGCAAACGATTTGATCAGACAAGCCGCTTTACTCAGCCATCCCAGCCGGCCCGGCGCAGCCATGGCACCAAAACGGTGCCAAAGCCGAACCAAGCACGAAAGTAGAATGACGCCAATTAAGCAACTCCACAACTTTCGTCGCGAACCCAAGAGTCTGCTCTAGTGCGGGAGGGCTACTCGGCCAGGATGATTAGTAGAATGGATAGAACTTGTTGTCATCAGGTCGTGTGGTAATTGGTAATTGAATTGGTGCAGAACATGGCGGGAATGCCTACCTATTGCGACAATGACACACACGATGTTCGCTCGGGGTCACCTACATCTTCGATATGGTTAGCTAGGTGCCGCAATAGAAGTGTGCATGTTAAAGACGAGGGGGAAGATGTTATCAGAGATCTTGGTTTGGTAAATTAGGAGTCATCAGGGGGTTCAGAAGCAGAACTGATGTAAAGGTTTCTCATCACGGACATTTTGACCGGAAAGCGGAGGGCAAAATAGAAGAGACAGGCAATACTCGACTTACCAATACAAGGAAGAAAAGTTGTACACTGATGGTCAGATACAAGCTACACCTAGTCACGTAGTACTATTTCGACGATTAGCTGGGCTCAGTGTGCACCATGGTCCGAGGCCATCCAGCGCTTGCGTCGAGAGGAGCGTGGTCAGATGGTAGTGCATGTTTGTTCAAACGCTCAGGTGTTCGCGGGAACAGTGGTGAGAATATCATCATTTGACCTCGCGACGCTGCGATACCAGAGGCCATCGGATGCGAGAAGCTTACCCTTTCACGATGAGCACTGCAGCATGCTCCTCACAGCAGCAGCGGCTCTTGAAGCCACCGGTTGCATGTCGAGCTTCGATATCGAAGTATTCACAGCCAACGGCAATTGCAGAGCGCCGCTGTATCGAATTGCGGCCGAGGATATGCAAAGTGAAGCGTTGTGGAAAATGGGAGAGAAAGAAAAAATCAGGTAATATTTAAAGATCCGCTAGCCCAAGTTCAAATATGGGGCGACTCGTTATAAGCATTGGCAGAGATTTTGGCAAATCGCTGGCCCCGCTAATTAAATGTATGCAACTGCTGCTTGGTCGGAGCTTCAATTTCTTGCAATCCAGCTCTGATTCAAATCATCGCAGGGCTTAGTTGAAGCGGTACCACACCTTTAATATATAAGTTATATAATGGCTGATAGAAGGAGAGTGAATGGCCCGTCGGGCGCAACGGTGCCTCCTGTCTACGACGACGAAGATGTTGTTTCCACCCAAAGAACGCGGCCTGCGAATGGCATCCGAGCTATCTGTAAGTTTTTTGTAGTTAATGATGCTGGAAATAACTTGCTGACTGGCCTTAGACCTGAAAACTGGTGTCACACCTTCTGCATCTGGCTCTGCTTACTTGGAGTTTGAACCCAGAGAGGGCTACTCAGGGTCTGGCATGAAGCTCACATGTACAGTACATGGTCCAAGATCACTTCCTCGATCAGCTCCATTCTCGCCTCACATGGTTCTATCAACACATGTCAAATATGCTCCATTCGCAACCAAACAACGGCGAGGCTACTTGCGCGACTCCAGTGAACGAGATCTCAGCACACATCTCGAGACAGCACTTCGCGGCACCTTAATTGCTGATCGGTGGCCCAAGAGCGGTGTTGATGTTGTCGTCACGATCATTGAAGGCGAGCTTACACGTCAAGCTGCGCAGGACCAAGGGATCGAGAGCTGGGAGATGATGAACGTTTTGAGCGGCTGCATCACCGTGGCTTCGGCAGCCATTGCTGATGCCGGCATCGATTGCGTTGACACGGTAGCGGGAGGTGTTGCTGCCATGGTCACCAAGGACAGTGACGATCAACCTGCCATTGTACTCGATCCGGTGCCTTCTGAGCATGGCCAGGTATTGGCAGCTTGCTGTGTGGCATATCTCCCTTCAAGAGACGAAATCACAAACCTCTGGTTCAAGGGGCGCCTACAGCCGTCAAATACAGAGTCACAACGGCTTCTTATATCAAGAGCGGTGCATGCAAGCAAAGGCACCTGCCAGGCCATTTCGGCATCGCTAGGTGAAGCCATAACTGTCCAATGACCAGTTAGCGAGCGAGCTTCGTCCAAGGTCGAGTCGCAGCTCCAAATCTAGATTCGCAGCTGTTGCTGGTCAAATCTGTAAATATACCCAAAAATTTGATGGACTTGGTAGAATCTCATGTGCAAGGTGAAGCAAAAGAAACATCGATGTCTACCCGAATGATTCCCGCCCTTGTGAAACCCAGGCTGCTTGGTGACGGGCGACAGTGTTTTGTAAATAATGCAGCTGCCTACGGTAATAATCGAGTATGTTTAGCTGGCCTTTGCTTGTGGCCCATTGACGACATGCGTTGACTTAGACCACTAGCTGTTTGAATCATGTAGCATAATAAAGCAGCCACAGTCTACTGCAGATATTCGAACACAGACAATGCCTGGTTTGGCTCCGACCGCGTTTTTCCACCTAAGAATGCTGGGCAGCAAAAAGGGACAGAACATCTCGAGAGCAAAGGGGAAAATGGCCCAGCTTTCAAGAGAGCTAATATTTCCTCTATCAAACGATTTATGTCGCCTTCTTTAATATAAAAGAATCGACATACCTTGTTATGAACCAGTCTAAATAGTTAGCTAGGTACCTGGTTTATCGGTTGAGTGTCAGTGCCCACCTATGTACCTACACTGGCCGTGGGTACGTCACAAATTTACAGCGCCGAACGAGTGGGCAGAATCACGCCTTCAACTGCAACACGCGAGTCTCGGCTTCCGACACATCTCACCACTCGCATCAGCGCATCGTCGCTGAGGTTTTTGGCTCGCCATCTATTATCAGTACCCGACCAGTTGTCCTTTCCGTCCATCGCCGGCCAATTTACCCGCTTCCGAACCTATAGAGTGGCTGGGCCACGCCCCGGGGTCGGAACATTCGTGATCGCCCAACGGGAAATGGAGGGGCCACCTCTTACGCCGCTGGCCCCCATCACCAGCGTCGCTAACCTCGGGGGCTGGTCCAACCTCTCGAGCTGGGCTACCAATATGACTCGCTATGCGCCGTCGTTTGATGACCTGGTCTGGGCAGGCCCCCGGATCCTCGAAAAGCTCGGCTCCTACCTTAACTTGGCCGACCAGCCTAATCCTGCGCCCAATACCGACGCTGGCCTGCTCGGGACCACATCTGCCGCATACAACCTCATGGACAGCAACACGTCCCCTGCAGCGGCTGCGGCGGTACGGGAGTCGACGGCGTTCATATCTCTGGAAAACGCACGCAACTTGGGCAGCGTCTTCTCCTACGCTACCAGCCGATGGGCCATGTCGTGCATCGCCATGGCCCTGATACTCAACCGAACACATATTTTCGCTGCCACTCGTCGCAGACTACGTCTTCAGTGGAAATCAAGACTGCTGCTTCGCTTTCTCCCCATCGTGTTCCTCGTTATACAAGTGCGCCGCCTTCTCATGTCGATGCAGTGCCAGACCTCGGCCGACTTTGCCGAGCTCCGATGGGGAGATCCGACCAAGCACTCGCGCTTCTTGCATGCACATCCGAACAACTTTTTGAATAGCCTGAGCCGCGCTCTTCTCTTCGGAGCGACGGACGAACAGTCCTGTGCAGCTATTCATATGATCCCGGTCGGAGACCAAGTTCAGACATCGAACTTGGTAGGGTCATTGTCTACTATGTGGCCGCTCTTTGGTACATTTTGCTTGAGTCACTTCATCGAGACTGTTTCATGTGCAGTCCAGGGCAGGACTCTCTCAGCAGAAACCGGCATGACGCTGTTTGAGCAATCCCTCGCCTTCGCCGAGGCGGATGCCACGATTAACAATCAGCTTGCACAGCTTAGTTGGGACACCAAACCACAGACTCAAACGACAGCTTCTTCATCCGCTTCAAATGCGGTGGTTAACATATTGACCAAGTCGATGCTGATAAAGCGAGTCAATACATCGCCTGAGGTGCTTCTCGTCGCGTTCTTATCGTCAATGACACACCTCACAAGCCATATTCTCGGGTTGTTCGATTTGCAAGCCAAATATCGACTCGTGAACACCGGTTTCTGGGGTCTTTGGTTTATGGGAAGCATTGTTTGGAGCGCTTTTTCTTTCGATCTTGATGACCCCTCATCTCAAGGCCTCCTGCGATTCCCCACCGTCTGCATTATTGGTTTCGTGCCTCACGTCTTGGTTTTAGGTGGCATCGTGCTTTGCTGCGTCATATACGGCCTTGCCTTACTGCTTTCCGCACTTTCCCCACCGCCTAATCAGGAGCGTTCTTCCATGTCCTTCTCACAGAGGCTCCTCTATGCCCACGAAAATATGCAGGCAAATGTGTCCTTTGCAGAAGTGAGAATTACGCGAGACATGGATTTCTACACAGCTCTTCTGCGTACTGGGTTTGCCGCCATAACAATGGCGAGCGAAGCTGTCTACTTGAATGAGGATAACGGTGTGAATTTAAAGCGCCACACATGGCTTGAAGAAGCTCGCTACAGAGAAGCCGAGGAGATGCAAAAGCAGTGGGTTGGACTTGGCCATGCTAGTTCGCAGTACGACCGCATTGGAGCTATTGGTCTGATACCTGTCAAGGACGGCCCGGTCATGGCCCCGAATGGCTATGCTCGCGAAAGGGCTGCGCAAAAAGTGCCCAAGGGACGCGCGGAGCGAACTTTCCGAGCCGGCGTTGGTGCAACAGATAGAAGCTCCAGATGGGTGATGGCATTCGACTTTTTCCTTAGTATCATCAAGCTCGTTGGTCGTGTCAATGCCCTCATGTTGCTATGGCTCCTGAAGCTGGTCCGCATCAAGAGACAGCCTGGCTGGCTACAGTGGCTCGCAGAGAGGCCAAAATCCGCCAAAGAAGCACCAAAGCCAGCCCAACCAAGCCAGCGCGCAAGCCGAACCATTTTCATCAGCCGCAATGACCGCGTTTCAAGAAGCGAAGGAATCGACGTCGAAGCTGAATTTAGACGCATCGGGCACAATGGAAATGAAGAGAACCTAGACACTGATTTGTACAACTACTTTGTGGAGGGTGGATGGTGGGGATCCGGAGACTCCAGCGGTGACTACGCTCCTAGCCATGCCAACGATGAGGACTGGGACGCCACCAGCGTGATTTCCCAGTCCACGTCGGCTGACGAGACTGATGACGAAATCGAGAGAAACCCGTGGGAGCCCGAGGACGATGAAGACGGCGAGGACGGCGAGGGCCAGAGGACGCCCACTCAGCGCTCATCTCGCACCACTCGCGAAAACACACCTGTGGCCGACAGCCCCATGGGCATGTCGGATCTGGCTCGCCTTCTTCGTCCCGCTAACCGCGAGGAGCGCGAGGAAGCCACCACGCTGGCAGCGCACCTCGTCAGCGACGGCGTCATGACGCGCGGCCGATTCCGTCGCCTCGAGCAGCTCCGAAGAGCTAGCATCTTGACGAGTCCACGCCGGGCGGGCGCTACGCCCACCGCCTCGCACATTGCCACGCCCGTGCCGCCTATCCGCGCGCCGGCGTCCACTCTGGCCAGCCGCGACATCCATACCAAGCTCGATCCCGACGAGGAGGAAACGCTGCTCGAGCAGCTCTTGCTGTCGCGCCGTGAGGAAGCTGCCAAGCCGCCGCCACAGACGCCGACCCGGAGCACCGGCGCCGCTTCGGACGTGGTTGCGGCTGGCAGCGGCAGCGCGCTCGTCGCCGACGATCAGGGCCCGCAGTGTGTTGTCTGCCAGAGCGCGGCACGCACCATCATTGTGTGGCCATGCCGCTGCCTGAGCCTCTGCGACGACTGCCGCGTGTCACTGGCCATGAACAACTTTGACAAGTGCGTCTGCTGCAGGCGCGATGTGCTGAGCTTTAGCAGAATATACGTTCCTTAGATGGGGAGGATGCGTCGGGTTTGTTGATCGTTGCGGTATGTTGCGACAGTATTTGGCATTTGCGTACATTTAGTCAGATGCCATCTTGTATTCTTGAGCATGGGGCCGTGTCTCTCCAGTCGTCTTTGGTGGCGACTACTCTTAACAGCTGTACTTGTTTATTCATTGTCAGGGAGCGTTTCAAGTTGTATAAACCTTTTCATTGAGGGGGTATAATTATCTTTCTATCCTTGTTTCCATTCCCTATTCTATAACACATTGCGCGTGGAAAAAAAAAATGATGGCTCTTGTCAATACTGTTACATAGCGGCCCACTCTAAGCAAAAGGTTCTCACTCGAGGCTTGGAATCTCCCTCATCGCTCGTAGCCGGCTGCTCACCGCCCAGTAGAAATGCCTTCTTGACGGCGGTGGCGAGGCGGCCGCCGGCGACAATGTCCAGGATAGGAATCGGCTCGTCCCAGACGTACTGGCTGGCCATGAAGTGCGCGTGGAAGCGCAGCGGGTCGCCGGGGTACACGCTGTAGTGGGCGCCGAAGCGCAGGCCGGGCGTCATGTGGTAGCCGTTGTCAAGCAGGTGCCTGCACAGCGGCGCGGCCTCGTCCAGCGTCAGCTCGTCGGCGCGGCGGTGCGTGTCGAGGGCACGCGCCGGCAGGAGGTTGGTGCTGGAGGTGGGCGTGATACCAATCGTCTTTACTTGCGACGGCGTGTCTACTTGCTCTGGCGGGTTTGTGACGGCGGCTGCTGCTGCTGCTGCGGCGGCGCCTTTTTTGTTGATGCCGCGCTTCAGTTTATCAGCCACGTCGGCGGCACGTTGGGCGCTGCGCTCGGCAAGGGCGGCCTGCGCGGCTCCCTTTTGCCTGCGGAGGGAATCTATATACGCGCGCCGCCGTGCCGGATCACGATACGAGGAGAGGGCGTCGCTGTGCGCGGCGGCGGCATCTACGACATACGCGGCGCCTCGGCGCACCAGGGCTTCAACCTCTTCGGGCCGCAACTCGATAGGCAAGCCGAGAAAGATGTTTTGCGTCGGCTGCTGCGGCGCCGTGCCGACCAGCACGCCATTTGTGTTGACATGTCGGCGCAGCGCCGCCGCGGCCTCGTGGTCAAAGATGAGGTAGCGGCCGGCGATGCGGGCGACGCGCACAGGAAACGGTGCCTCCAAGGCAGTCATTCGTCTCTATATCCGGAACCAATGCCATGTTAGCTAGGGTCTCTTTGAGAAACTGGCGTAAGATGGGGAAGAAAGGCAGTTCAATGGGAAGCATCATAAGTCGTCTTCGTAATGTTTGAATGTGTCGTCACAGAGGTTCAGTGGATTGACAGATATTCAGGGTAATAATCATGTAAGTCCCGAGAGTACAGGTCGGAGATGTATTGTGCAAGAACAGGAGATATAGCAAAAGACTTACCCTGTGCTCACCCACGTCCTGCGCGAGTGTTTTCGTGGGATTGGCTTGGAAGGAAGGAGTTGTTGAAGCTCAAGGTGAAGAGCCGAAATTTTATTCGGCGCCACCTGTGGATGTGGAGGCGGGTCTACCCTTGTAGGCTCCATATGCACATATCGGGGCGACAACTTATATGCTGGAAGTAATTGGGATAGCTGGCAGGCAATATCTTAAAATTCAAGGGACTTTTTCTTTTTCTCGGCTTCTGCAGCATCTTTGGCCTGCTGTTCATCTTCTCCTACAGGCGGAAGGCTATACGGCGTGATGACGAGGCCGGTAGAAGCACTAAGCTTGAATGACAAGTCCTCGCGCCGCCAGCCCTCGTCAAGGCCGCCACCCCGTTCGTGGAAGACGGGCAGGCTGTGCACTCGCAAGAGGCCTTGCGCCTTGTCTTCGCTGGTGGGATCGCGGCTGACTTGTATCTGGTGGCCGAGAGGAACCAGCTCCAGCACGCCGTCGCAGAGAAGCTCGGCCCATCTGGTGAGGCCGTTGACTCTGGGGTACAGCGAGATGGGCAGGGTGACGACAGCAGTCAGCCTAGTATGGTATTGGCGCAAAAGACCGCGAAGACCGTGAAGGAAGTGCAGTACCTCTTGCGGGTTGCTTGCGTAGGATGGGTACAATGTGGGCGACAAGAGGCTGGGGACGACGACTCTGTGGATTGTAGACAGCGGCGTGTTGGACAGTTTTGCGGCGAGCGACGCAATGAAATCCCGGAAGAATGGGGTAGGCCGAGGTGAAGCACTCGCGATTGGGGTTGCAGAAAGTTGGCCCTTGATGTCGCTGCTTTCTAGCTTCTTTGTAAGGTTAAACGCATGGCAAAAGGTGGCGACGGCGCTTTGCTGCGGCAAGGTAGTTTGTGCGGGTTCTACAGCAGATTAGTATCATGGAGTTCTCGAAAACTATGACATAGGATTACCTCTAGATGGCGAGACTCTGTTTCCTAGCGTCTCGTACCGCCACGCAATCTTCATCTTGCTGTCAGAGGACGACTCCGGCTTGGCTGCCTTTTCCTTTGTATCGCTGCCCAAGCCGGGAAGCTCTCGACGCCACGAGTCGTCAAAGCCCAGAACGTGCACGTGGTGGCCTTGGACCAAGCCCTCGGCGGCGTAGTACCGCAGCAGCATGCCGCCAAAGTCAGTCGTACCGGCTTCCTCAACGAGCAGCGAGGTGCCCATCGGCAGGCCAGCATGGCCCGCCAGCAGCTGGTCCAGCGACGGCGTACCGGACGAGGTGGTGAGGCGCCCGTCGTGCGGCGACGGGCGAGTGCCAGCGGGGAGAGACTTTTCGACCTTGGCCGTGGCCGGAGTTTGGGGTTTGCCCAGGACGACTCCTCGCTTGCGAAAGGACATGGTGGGCGGCGCAAAATTTGAACGGTGGAATACCGAACGCAGCTCCGAGAGACAGCCGTGTCACAAAGCGAATAAGATGGAGGGCCCTATCCGTAATGGTGAAAAATTGCTGACACGAAATGAAAAGAAGTCGATGAAGGGGTGCAGGTTAAAATTATCAAAATTGTTGTTGCGTCTGACGTGCTTGAAGGTGCGCAGATTCAGTGAGTGCCCACTCAGGCTTGTCCCGTCAAGGAGCGGGTAGATGGACGGCCAGAACAAGGCAAAATCTCGACAGCTAGCAGCTCTTGATCGGGTTAACAGTTGATTTTGAACAGAGATTTAGATCGTAGAGTTGGTCTAAAACTTGTAGACTTGGTCGGTTTGCCTTGGCTAGCTGCTGGGAGGCTCTCCGAATAGCTGCCATAAATGCAACGCGCCCAACTTTTTCTCATCCATTCACAAGCACACACGAGTTCGGTCTAGAACATGACATTCGACGGTATTCCTTTAATAAAGATTTTTTATTATTGTATTTTTTAGGCTTCCTTGAATTAAACAACCTGCCTTGAATTATACACACTCTGTAGCTTTTGATATGCATGTATCGCAGCGCTGCCCCGCGACCGCCTTGCCGTGCCCCTCTGATTAATTTTCTGCCACCTCCAACAGCAGCAACCTCTTGACGACGTTTGGCCCAAGAGGAACCGATAATCCCAGACCTCACCAACGCCTCAATTGCCAGCGCGCATACTTTTTGAAACCCCTCCATCCAAACCGATAAACCACAACTCACACGAAACCATGTCTGGCGCCGGCGCCGGCGGTGACGCCACCCTCTTCGAGGAGAGCTTCACCATTACCGACTTTGACCAGTCCAAGTACGACCGCGTGGCGCGCATCTCGTGCACTTCGAGTGACTCGCAGACCGTCATGGTCCTCGACATCAACACGGAGCTTTTCCCCTGCGCCGAGTCCGACTCGCTGCACGTGGTCCTTAGTACCACGCTCTCGCCCGACGGCGTCCGCGACGACGACAAGGGCTGGCGCGACGTGGGTAAAGGCGGCGATGCGCCGGCCACGCTCGCGGATCTGTACGACTACGTTTGCTACGGCAAGATTTACAAGTTTGAGGAGACGTTTGACGGCGCGACAATGTAAGTTGGGCCCCTCCTGTCCCTCCCCGGCCCAAGCTAGGTGTACGCATAGGAATGCAGGGGCTAACTGTTGATTTTTCAAGCAATGCATATGTTTCTTTTGGGGGTCTGCTCATGTCGCTACAGGGCCCTGTCAAGAAGCTCACTCCTCTGCGAGTCGACAATGTGTATCTGTTGATCAAGAAATAAGAAAAGCTTGTCAGAGTCAAGGCGAGGAACAGATGGAAAATATCGGCGTTATTATTTGGCATTCCTGGGGTCTACTTCCAGCATATCGGTTTCCCGTCCCTTTTATTTTTCGACGGGCATTTTTTTCTATAGCATCATGAAAAAAAAAAAAAATCTCAACCCAACCCCATCATCTGCCGTGACCCTGCTCATGCACTGCTGCGCCAATGGCTCCAATGCGGCCCCGGAAACGGCAGCTCCCTGTGCATCCTCCTCTGAATCTCCGCTAGCTGCGGCTCCTCCTCCTCCGTCAGGATCCCACGCCGGATGAAGAAGTCCAGCATCACCAGGGCGCAGTTTGGCTTGTACTCGCCCCGCGCCATGTCCCGCTTGATGGTGTCCACGTCGCAGAGATAAAACTCATCGACTTCGCCGTCCTTGGGCCGCGGCACCACGTCCTTGTCCAGCCGCAGGTCGTACGCCCACTCTACCTCGGGGTAGACGTAGCCCGCCTCGCCGTTGCCGGGCCCGTCCGTCACGTACATGTACGTCAGCGCGCCGACGGGCCGCGTGTCCGCGCGTACCACCGCCTCGGGCAGGCTCGCCTCCTCGTCGGCCTCGCGCACCACGCACTCAAACGGCTCCTCGCCCGTTGTCAGCCCGCCCGCGACCGTATTGTCCAGCATGCCGGGAAACGTCGACTTGGTCGCGGCGCGGCGCGGCACCCATATGCGGATGCCGTGCGGCACCGCCGACGGGTCCTCGACGTACGCCGTCAGGTGCACACCATAGCGCACCGCGCCAAACAGGCCTACGGCCGCGCGCTCCACGCTGAAGAGCAGCTCGCCACGCCGCCCATGAACCGGCCAGAGCTCGTCGCGCCAGCCCCGGAGCAGCGGGAACGTGTCGTGCTCGCGCAGGTGCTGCGTCAGCGCCGCGACGGCGGCGGTGCGCGAGGGCTCCGTGGCGAGGTCCTGGAACATGCGGAGGGTGCGCGCCGCGCGGTCCGCCTGCATGTTGCCCGTGAGAGACGCGGGGAGCCGGGCAAGCTCATCGACAACGCGGTCCAGGACGTAGCCGATGGCGTAGTCGCCGTCGGCGTCGTGCCAGAGAAGGGTGAAGAGGCCCTGGCCGTTGACGGTGATGGGGCCGTCTTCGTATGGAAAGCTGTGCGGATCAGTATGAGTGCTGATACGAAAATTTCGAGTTGCGACGGTAAGTTGAGAAGGACGTGAGAAAAGTTCATCGACTCACCCATCGGTGTCATTCACAAGGTCGAGGTTGGACTTCATGATGGCGGTTGGCACAAGGTTCCGTTTGCCGCCAAAAGACACCGACTTCCAAGTGACCTAAATGGAGAATGATATATTGATTCAAATGAGAGATCTCGAGCTGTATCTCAAGTAAAAATAGTACAAGATCCTTGGTTAGGCAGCCATGAAAAGTTTGGACAAAGAGACAAGATCTAGCGCAAAGTCGGGGCTTACTGGTAACACGTAGTGGAGCTGGGATGCTGGTGCTCCATCAATGGACGAGCAAGCCCGATCCCGAACCAGGCGGCGAGCCAGATCATCCGTGTCTTTCCGGAAGTGAAATCTGGCGAAAAGATCCTTGAGAAACGTTGGTGTCAGGCTAACACACCGGTCATATTATTTCCATTAGAGTTAATAGTTGTCACAGATGGCAGCTTGTACAGATGCACTTATACAAGATTCATGGTTTCTAGTCAAGCTTCGAGAGCTTTGAGAGCCTCGATAGTCGGCTATGTATCTCTTGATAGCATTTCTGTTGTAGATGTCATGACTCACACGACTACTTTTGTTTTCATTCTATAAATCATATCTTTTGTAGGACTTTTTTGCGGCAAGCTCTGGCTTGCCTGTTCACTTTACACATATACTCTTGCTCGTCGGGCTTAATCGAGGATCTTCTCGGTGCACTTGATTCTACTAGCTGTTAGTCATGAATTTTACGACTAGAGCTTTCGCCCACTTACCCGTATTTCTCGTCGAGCTCCTTCATGATGGGCGTGTTGAGCTTGGTGTTCATGGGAGCGAGGATACCGCGCTCGGAAATGGTACCGTTGAGAACCTGTTGGACAGCTGTTTCTTCGTTAGACATTGTACACGAGACGGGAAGTGGATGTGCTACATACCGACGGCGCCGGGAATACCGACAAGCTTGGCCATGGCCGAGGGGCCGCCGGAGCCGATGGGAGCACCGTACTCGCACAGGGTGGAGGAGATGGTGTTTTTGCTGCCATCCTTATTCTCAACCACAAACATGTGTTGAAGGAACTAAAGAGTTAGTATGCAACTGGCATGATGCATCAACTTGCATTTGGACTCACGACCATGTCACGCTCACCCTCCTGGAAGGTCATCTTGTCCTCAAGAGTAGCGCAGAGGGTATCAAGAGGGTTGCCGCGGGGAGTGATCTTGGTGTTGGAAAAGATGCCAACTAAAATGTGTTAGTAGAGTTTGTTAGGAGAATGCCATGATCACATACGCCACTTGAGGTCCTTGATAAGCTGGTTCTTGATCTCGGTGGTCTTGAAGGTGGTGACCTTGGCCGAAATGGCAGCAACCAGGTCCGCCTCGCTGCTGGACTTGGCACCAGAGACCTTGGCAAGGGCCTCATTCCATGGAATGGCCTCCTTGAGGAAGTCCTTGGGCTGGTCGTCGAGGAAGCCAATGTCGACAAGGGTCTTGATGAAGGGGGGGAAGCCGGCGAAGCGAAGGGTGCCGCGAACGCAGGTCTGGGCCTCGGGGATGTGGTAGCTAGGAGGCGTGTCAGCAGAAAAGCCAGATCTCGACGCTGTCAATATATACATACCGCTCAAGGTAGCCGGAGCTATCACGGTTACCATAGGCGACAAAGTTGAAGCCAGTGAAGCCCGTGTGGTAAGGCTTGGCCGTGTCCATGAGGTCAAGGCCCGACACCTCGACAATCTTGCCGTCCTCGACATACTTTGCGTTGTTCTTGAGGGCGAGCAGGACACCGCGGGAGCTCCAGCTAAACTTGTAGCCGAGCGGATTGTCCGAGTTTTCGGGCGCCGTCAGGCCGCCGCAGAAGCTCTTAAAGGAGAGGATCTTGCCGCCGGCCTTGTGGACGCGGTCGATGAGGTCGACGGCGTAGAGGTGGTCGATGCCCGGGTCGAGGCCAATCTCGTTCATGACGGTGATGCCGGCAGCTTTGGCCTCGGCGTCGAGCTCCATCATGGCGGGCGAGACGTACGACGTGGTGACGACGTGCTTCTTGGCCTTGATGGCGGCCTTGATGACGACGGCGTGGAACGTGTAGGGGATCAGCGAGACGGTCAGGTCGTGCGCGGCGACGGCGGCTTCAAGCGCCGCCGTGTCGTTGACGTCGAGGCTTACGGCCTTTGTGTTGGCGTAGCTGCCGGCCAGGGCCTGCGCTGTCGCCAGTGAGCGGCAGGCGACGGTGACTTGGATGCCGGCCTTGGAGAGGACCTCGACGGCGGGGGTGGCGACGAAGCCGGAGCCGAGGATCAGGACAGATTGAGACATGGTGAAATTCGGGTTTCTGCAAGCAATTGATGGATGCAAAGGAAGCAAACAAAAAACAAGTTACAGCACAGAAAGAAGGGCTGTGAATCGGTGAAATCTAGGAGGGGCACTTTCACCTCGTTGGCCGCCTATTACATAGTGCGAGGGGCAGAGTTCCCCACCACAGGCCTTCCGGGTTCGGCCTTGCGTGACGGGAGAGACTCGGAGGGAAGTGCGAGATCTGGCGCACCATCGGCATTTGCTGCATGAGTGGGTAATTATGGCCCAGGATCATGTTTCAAGCAAGCCAGTCACCAGGAATCATTACGATGATTGTTTTCATATTCGTAGTCATGTGCAGTCAGGGTAGCTTCCAGCGACCCTGGTCGATCTAGATGGTGCTAGATGATGCTCCCGCCGCGCGGAGCTTCCCCGCCAACACGATAAAAAAAAAAGTTGACCCCTCGCGCGAGCTTCTTTTCCCGCCAACTCCTACTCTCACAACCGCTCCCAAGCGCGCCACTCTCCTTTGAGCTCTTTGTCATTGACCGAAAAACGAACCGTCATCTCCCACCCGCACCGCGAAGCGCAGCCAGCCATGTCCGGTCCCCTCTTTGGCCTCATCCCCGCCGGCCTCCCCCTCATCACCGACCCTTCCTCCACGCCGTCGCCCACCTCGCTCCTCTACGCCCTGCCCTCGCACCGCGCCTTTTCCCATCTCGTGCTCTTTCTCCTCCCGGGCGTCTCCCTCCCCCCCGGCACCGCCGCCGCCATCTACCTCGCCACGGCCGCGCAGGTTGCCGCTGCTGAGAACTCGGGCGCTCTGCCGCCGTTCAAGTTTCTCGGCGCCATCGGCCCCGGAAAGGAGAGCGCCATGTTCAAAGTCGGCAACACAAACAGCAACACGAGCGGTGGCGACGCGTCAGAAGCGGCGGCGCACCATAGCCTGGTCATTGGTGTATCGATCGAAGCCGAGGCAGATGTGGCGCAAAAGATGCAGGAGCTCGTCGCCAACAAGAACGCGTCATCATCGGGGTCGACGCAGCAGCAGCCGTCGACGGTGGTGCTGGCGCAGCGCATCATACAAAACGCATTCAACTTTCTCACTGGATTCAGCGGCACGGCTGGTCCTGGCGGCGTGGAAGTGGTACCGCTCAAGGCCTTTGAGGAGTGGTGGCGCAAGTTTGAGAATCGCGTGCGCAACGATCCCAGCTTCTTGGAAAAGCAGTCCGATTAGCGCTCGCTCGCACGGCATGCATCTTCTTTTTACAGCATATCATATCTTCATATCTTTGTTTTTGCCAGGCGTCTTGGATTTCACTGCATCTTTAACTTTCTTGTTATTGGCCACCGATTGGTTGACGCGGTTTCAATTGTATAACACGTCCACCTATAGTTGCTGGGGCATTAAAGTCCCTACCTATGCGTCTCATTCGCGCACCCAGATATACAAATCCAAAAATCCAAACCATGTCATTAGGAGCCCACAACAATGTTACAACAAGTCCACCAAGAAGAGAAAGCAGAGCTCGACTGCGCAGAGGATCCAGTCTCCGGAAAACTGCCACATTAAAAAGTTTTATCACGAGCACGGCGGAAGGGCCGGCTGTAGAAGATGAAAAAGAAACAAAACGCCAACGCTCTGAATGTAGAAAATAAAAATAAAAGTATCGTGAAATGTTTCATCAACGTCAAACAACAGCTAGAGGGCTCTTCATTCGCGTGGGGCTAACGTTGCGACTGCGCCGTCCAGCATTGAGCATTTGTAGGCTTGGCACAAGCCGTTCACGACTCTCTGTGCGCACCGCCAGTCCCGCGCGATCCATGGCGGATGGCATGCGAAAGTCATCGACCCGCTCTAGGTTCAGCTTGGGCGTCGCCAGTCCAGAGCTTCTGCCACCTTTTGAGCCCTCTGTGCTGTCAGAGTGGTCATTTTCGTCCGATTCTGCACCGCCCAATTCGAATTCGGGAGCCTCGCCTTCCTCCAATACACGCTCGTATGTAATAGTTGGGCGTCGCAGAAGCTTATTGATGAATCCACGAGAACCCTTGCCATTTTTGCGCGAACGACGGCCAAAGGAAAAGAACCTGTGCCGCCTGTCGGGCTTTCGAAGCCAATATGCCAAGACCATAGCAAGTAATAGGAATACCAGGAACGGCAATATCGAGCCAGACGAACGGTACACATCATCATCATCATCATCGTCATCACCACCTCCCAGCTTCGGACCGGTGGGTATTGGCACAGATCCAGCGTGCTCAAAGTCCGAGGGGATACCAGAGTCAATGTTGCTGCCAAAACCGACGGGGAGTTTTGAATCTTTGGCCGGAATTTGCCCAACAGCATAGAGTACCATCTTTCCCAGCGTCCAGCTCACTTCCATGTCGTGGATGGTGTCAACAGGTTGAAATGGGTCGCGGAAGCCCTTTTGGTCAGGCCCGGGGTGGGTGCCGTTGCCGCCCTCAATGCCGATTCTGGGAATCCCTATACCATCGTGAAGCATGTTGATTAGCCAAGACGCTTTGAAACAGGCCTGCTGAGCGTCGGCCATCTTCTCCTCGGCCGTCTTCTTACGACCGAAAACGTCGTCTTTGATTGATGACCAGTCTCTTTCGCAGTATTCAAGGACCCTTTTCTGGTACGTGGCCAGATCATATGCTACATTCTCCTTCCCGAACACGCCGTGAGTCGTGTGCCAGTATTCCGACACACCAACAAAATGATTAATGTCAAAATCAATGGCGGGAGCATGCTGTCCATTGAGCAAACAAGGCGAGTCCTCACAGGGCTTTTCCTTTCCTAACAAGGGATACGTTTTGCGCACACATTCAGCAAACTGGCCAGTGCCCAACAGCACTTGTTCGCTACCCGCTGCAGAGTCAACAGTGACGCCTTCGAGCGTCATTCGCAGGCCTTTGGGGAGGCATGGGTCGGGGATCTCCCGAACATTTGTCTCGTATTGGTCGACCAGCTGTTTCACGAAACGTTCCCGGGCTTTGTTGGCACCGTAGCCCAGCCATGTGGAGGTAAAGACTTTGTACTCGACCGAGGAGCCATCAAGCTTGCGCATGCGAACTAGCTTCAAGTCGTCGGCATGTTTCTTTGCCTCGGTCGCGTTGGGCGCAAAGGCGATTTGCGCAGAGGCGCCGCCCATGTCGAGAAAACCATATGTATGGTGTCCTTTGCTGTGTCGGTGCTCGTCCGGTCGTTCGAAGCCTCCAAGGAGATAATTGGCGGCAATCCAGCCGTAGAGGCCCTCGGTCTCGCCGGGTATGACCTTGACGTGGGCGTCGCAATCGGGCAGCTGAAATTTCGTATTGGCCTTGAAGTAAGAGCAGACGGCGCCGAGAAGGGCCTTTTGCTTGTGTGGGGGGAGAAATCGCACGCCGGCTGTGGCCATGAGGAAAATGGGTGTCTCGGGTATTTTGTGTGAGGGTACTTTTTTCAGGGCCACGTCGACAAGCTCCTGCAAATGGTCATGGCCGACCGAGTCGACGGCGTCGGCAAAGGTGGAAATACCCGGGTGGATTTTGTGATTCTTTTTGAGATGGATCTTGGGAAGCGAGCGTACTTCATCGTCGTCGTCGTCATATTCGTGTTTGGGCGGCGCAGAGGGGTTTCTCCATTTGTAGACGTAGACGCGCGTCCCCGAGGAACCGGCATCAAGAACGACGCCGTATTGGGCTACGATGGCGGCAACTTGTCAGCACAATGCGCACGGCAAAGAAACACTTCAACAGTATGAAGCATGTGCAGAGATGACGTACAGTTCTTGCCGCTCTTACCCATGGCGCAGTTGGTAAACTATAGTGGCATTCGGAGCTAGTTGAATGGTGGATGGCTCAGTCAAAGTGCACGGGGAAAGCGGCTACTCTGAACTGTTGATTGAATCCGCTTCGCAAGATGTCGGGGTTTTTATTAGCGGCGTGTTTGCTTTGCGAGGTGCCTGTGCGTGTCGAGCCTGTCAATCAGAAGCGTCGAGGGTTGATGGTCGATGGCGTGGCACGATCAGCGCAAAGATACAAGGCGGCGCAACGGGCGCTAAGGTAGCAAGTGCAGGAAAAGGTTTCTTTGAAATAGAACGAGTGTTGACGCGTAGGGCGTAAAGATTGAGAGTCGCAGCCTGGCGGACAAGCAAAAAGAGGAATGGACGAATGAAGTGATTAGGCTTTGGAGGGTGAAAGTTGGGAAATTTGGTTGCGTACGTGTATAGACAGTTTACTGGTCACGCTGGCTGGCTGGCTGGCAAGCTGGCACGTTTAGGGACAGCGGAATCCCACATTTTTTACTGGCGGGCCACTGGGGATCTTGGTTGCTGCACAACCAAGAACGGTACCTACCTAGGTACCTCTCGAGCAAAGTGCAAAGGTACTGGTACCTGCAGGCGCCACACACCCACTCCGAAATGGTATGTTTCGATCACTGACAACTTGTCATCGCGACTTGTGCTCGTAAATAATCTGCAGAGACCCACAAATAACGGCTCTGCCCCACCTACGCAGTGGAGCAACGTGGTATGATTCCGTAGCTGCCACTGGCTGATGGTCGCATCAAAATAGTAATCAAGTCTTTTTTGGGGTTATTAATAGCGACGATGTTGTGATATAAGGGGGTATAGGCGCTTCAAAGTTGTGGCGCGCCAATTTTTTCAACGTATAGCTCAACAGATGAGGTATGCCGTACGTAGGATTGATTTCATCCCAAAACCCCAGACAGATTGTCTATGCGTGCAGCGTGTGTGATGTGCAAAGATACAGTGAGCTAAATAGAACCCAATGCACCTACTGGGTTGGGTGGCAACGGTTGACCAACATTTATTCAGATTACCAAGTAATAGAAAGTCCTCTTTCACTAGCAAACGAATTCTAAGCTTAGCAACTATACTTCAACATTTAAACTCGGCGTATCAGTGCATTTCCTCTGAGACCTTGCTACACCTACATAGCGTAGGTTCTAGCATGAATCAATGCCTGGAACGCAGCAGTGCGCTTACACCAGAGGGAGTGACCCGTGGTTGGGGGGGTTTGGAACAAAGGTCGACCACAGAAAACAGACAAGTAAGTTTGTATAATACCGTCAAAAACGCTGATTTGGGTTCGACGGCTGGTAGGCCTCTTGTCTTGTCATGTCATTGCAATGTTCTTTGCTTGAATGGTGTTGGCTGCGGTAGCCGCTGATTACAATTGCCAGGCACGCATCATAGGCGTGAGTCAATAGGACACCCCGGAATGCTTTTTTGGGACAGGGAGAACTCGCAGCCTGTGAAAGCCTTCACGCATCAAGCTCTGAATACCGCTGCATCAGCCAATCGTCATACACTATTTCGTCAGCGGGTGGCCGTTCTTCTGGCAGCCAGCGCAAAGCGCGGCGGACGAAGCCTAGCAACAGTGCTTTGTCTTGGCCCTCCAACTGGGTTACGCGTTCTTCCAGAGACGTTGTCGGAACTGCGACAGACCCCAGCCATTTACCTGAAATAATTTTTTTTTAGCTATTGATGGCGAGGCGTGACTTTTGTTCTCCTTACCGGATTCACTGAAATAGCGAGCACATCTCTCACTTCTTCGCAGAAACTCCAGAGGCGGTGGGCCGATGAGGGCAACCATCTCTGCCAAGTGCTGCTCATCGTCGTTGACTCCATCTTTCTTGTTTAAGAATAAGCGCTTCCCTTCGAGCAGATCCCACACCTGGAAAAGTAAGGTAAGAACTTTGCAGGTGAGATGGAAGAGCTTACCATGACACCGACTGACCATATGTCTACTTTCGAAGACCATCTCATACCCAAAATAACCTCTGGGGCTCTGTAGACCAACGGCATAATGTCACCTTCGTACTGTTCTTGCCCGAACCTTGCCGAGCCGAGGTCTGCTAGTACTGAATCACCGTCCGTCTTCGGTGTCTGGCGCGAAAGGTAGATGGTGCGATCGCCGAGTACTTTGCGTGTAGACGCTTGAGCTTGTTCCGACATTTCAAGCTGTTGAAAAGGCGCCATGTCATTTGCGCCACAAATAAGGTTATTAGGATTTGATTAGGAGAAATATCCGTATGGACCACGGTATTCTTGTGGAGGTAATCCAAAGATATGAGGAGAATTTGCAGCGCGCCTTGTAGCATCCGTGGTTCAAACTTGCCTTGGGGCATGCGATTGCGCAACTCTGTGAATGTCATTCCCAAAGGCTTGTACACCAAACACGTATGCAAGCCCTTGGGTCCAGGGATATCGAACGAGTCTAGAATTTCGCGAACAAACGCTTTACCTGGGTGTTTTTGAACAGATGAGGATTTGAGGTAGTCTAGCACCGCCATCTCATTCTTCGACTGCTGCATGAGATGGTGATTTCTTTAATGGTGCAGACTTTTAGTGCACGATAATCTCCATCACTAAGTCAAACGTTAGGAAGACCAGAGCATGTTTCTTCTTCAACACCATGTATAACATACCGCAGACTTTTCGAGAGCCATACAGTTGAGCCAGTTCCTTGGCCTAGCTTACATAGGATCTGGTATTGGGTATTAAACACCTGCCCAATCTGCACTGGATAATAATTATCAGCGACGTAGCCGGGAAGCAACTCTTCCTCAATGGGCTGCGAGGCGGGCAACAAGACAGAAGGGCCCAAGGATGTGTTTGTTGACATGACACGGCATCCTGACGCAAGGCACACTGGTCTGTGAAGATTCAAGTGCCTAAAAACATTCCAAAATTGTTGTGGTCGAAATTTGCTCAATGGAGATGGATTCATGGTAGATGTGATAAGAGGTTTCGTGAGCACGCGTCGTGGCCACTACCTAGTGGTGTGTGTCGAGGCTCGCGTTTCTCAACCTCCAAAATTAGGCATCATGCCTCCCAGATGCCAAGGCACATTTGCGGTGAAGCTGCACTTTTCTTGTTGAAAAAAAAAAAAAAAAAATCCATTGACTGTGCTTCCTGGCTCAAGACGTCTTGCTGCAATTTTACTTCGTATGAAAATGTTGTTCCCTCAGACGCAAGAAATTCCAGCCTCAAGCCGCCGCTTCCGCCGTTTGTTCGTAGAATGGTGTGTGCATGTTGTTGACTGTGCTACCTTGTTTCCTCGGTGCGCACCACCAGATGGTTCACAATTCATGTGCCTTCGACGACAATGAGTTTATTTCATCATTTTCCTCTCTGAACACGTGGCAGCATTCTATTCGTTGGCGCAACCTGCCGCTGTCGCAGGATGCTTTTCACTGCTTTGCATGCCAGCGTTAAAACTCAACAGCCGACGGGCCTGCCCACGGAATCCCACGGAACCCCACATGCACCAATTTTTGTTTTTCTGGTTAGCCGTTCTCCCAGTCTACTCCCAGTCCTCTTTCTCTTGGCTGACTTTGCTCTCTTCAACTCGCATCCTTCGCTGCTACCTGAGGATATCATCATGATTAGCCCTGAGGCGCGACTCTGGGCTGGGAGTGGCTGCCTGATCATTGGGGACCTCTTGATGAGCAATTCAGGAAACTACCTCCTGCGGAGCAAGACGCAGAAGCTTTGCTGCGGCTCGATTGGGCGAAGCACCCTGACGTGAGGCTGGATAGTAGTGTCCAGGCTTTCGCAAGATACTGGATACTTGGGTCAGCAAGAGAAAAACGCGCGCTTTCAACGTCGTCAACAGCTGCATACAATGGCCGTGGATGTCAGATAATCCAGAGGGACCGATACTTGTCAAGGCACCTGATGGAATCCAGCAAAGGAAGATGCAGTCTGTACCAGTCTTGAGCCGCCGGGAATTGGCTCAGATGAAGGAGCCTTACTTTCATTGGGAACGGCCAGCAAGTCATCGACTCAAAGACGCGCTAGAAAAGAAAGGCCTGCTGGAGAGAGGGAAGAGGGACGCCGTGGAAGAGAAAGTCGTGATGGGGAGAGAAAGACGCCGCGGGAGAGGAGGACGACGCGATAGAGAAAGACGTGCTAGGACTTGAATACACTGAGCAAAAGAGACACGTGTAGACAGAGTTCGCATACTCGCTGGCCACAAAGCAATTGTAGGAGATACTGGCGCTTTCATCGCCTGACTATGAGCGTCAATGATTAAAGTATACGAATGTAACAATGCAGATAGAACCCATGCTGGTCTTCACACATCCAATTCTTGAGATTAATTCAGTCTCTGGACCCTCTTGCTTACTCGCACATTCTCATATGCCGAGGAATCATATGATGCTGTCGACAGACTTGGTCATCCATCTACTCATCTACTTACTCTTGCGTCCAGCCGCCGGCGATTCGAAACAGTTTTAAAATCAGAGGATTTGCTGTCGCCTCAAACGACATCAATGTAATGCACGTCTGTCACTGTTCCAACGTAACTGGCCTGCCCACTTCCGCCGCCGCAACACATGCTTCGATCTTCTAAACCAGCCGAGAAATGATAAGACTTGGCAAAGGGAACCAGTGTCCTTCCCAGGGACCGTGATGAATTGTCAAGTCCCCGCTGTGCTGTCACCGTGCCGTCGTTTGCCTCAGCCACTGATCTAAGTGTCTGGACCGCCACCTCGTAGCAAGTCCACAATCCTCTTCACACGCAGAGATGTGCTGGACCTGTGCTCGCATATGTTTGTAGAAGACTCATCATACACAACTCACTGTGGATTTGCCAAGTCTGCTCATGCATAGTGTCTCGCCGCCTGGTTTTCGGCTTCGATCTGTGGAGTTGGCACGGGCTAAACTCCGACCATGGGATTCTTCTGCCAACTATCGAGCCACGGCAATCAATGGTAGCACATTAGATGCAAACGGTGAAAGTACGAGAAAGATTAAAACACGCTGATGCAATGGTCTAAATGTTTCGTATCCCCATGAATCCCTCCGTCGCGTGTTGATGCCCAGTGTTACTCATCGGTTGACTGACCTTGATCCCTGAACTAAGTCCTCCTATATGCTTTCCTGCACTGCCAAGCTCAGTATTCCTTCTCCGTTCTGCACTGTTTGGTACATGTCCCATCCCCAGTCCGCGCTCGCCATCCAGAACTCCTCTAGCCCCAAACCGTGAAAAGTTTGGCGGTCCGTTTGAAACATGACCTGGACAGAATATTAGCTTCATTCAAGCGGATGTGCGAAAATATGTGCATACCGGTTACTGAAGGCTCTCGCCTCCAGGGCCCAGCACCTGTGTCTATTAAACCGCCGCGAATTCCACCGTCCGGTGCGCGTTCCTGATCGACCGCCAGCCCATACCCACGGAAGCCCGCGCCACTCCCGGGCCGCGTATGTGCACTATTATAAGGCGCCGAGTGCTGCGGCGCAAAATGTCTCGACGTCTGATGCTGCTGTTGCTGAAATCTTGAATCAATTGCGTCCGTCGCCGCGCGCTGAATGTGGCCCATCTCCACCGTATGCCGCAACTTGTCGTGCAGCTCCTGCGTTTGCAGCAGCTGCCGGCTCTTTTCTTTGTACGCTTTGGACAACTCCTCATTCTTCTTCCTCGAATTATCATTCTCCGTCGTCAGGGTGCTCATCTTCCGCTGCAGCGTCTCAATCTGCGCGTTGGCCTCGTTGACCGTCTGCTCGAGGCGGCCGCTGAGTGTCGCGTACTTTTCCGGCAGTGTCTTGTAGAGGTACTGCTGGTAGTAGATATTTTGCGTCGTCTGATACGCCCAGAAGCTGAGCGCGCGACCGGCGCACTCCATAATGATGCTGGGCGAGAGGCCGCTGAGGATGCTTGTCTTGTAGGCCTCGGACGGCTTTAGGTTCGAGATGACGGCGTCGTCGGGGCTGCTGAGCTGTGTGTCGCAGGCCGGGCATGGCACTCGATTTTGCCGGTCCTGCCCAGAGAGGCAGAAGCGGTTTGTGCACTCCAAGCAGAAGATGTGGCTGCATTGGCCTGGATCAGCATCATTCTGTAATGAAAGGGACGCGCGTTGCATACCTACATGTCGTGACCAGCGCACGATCGTTTAGCTCAGCCCTGCATTTCAAATTGTTGCAAGCTAGTGGTAAATCCATAATATCAGCCTCAATGCGTATGCCCTTGAATGTTGTGCTCTTAAGTGTGGGCGCGTGTTTGATGCCCTCGCGCATCCATGGACCTTCTGGCAGCTGGTCGCAATCGCACCTACTACGTCTGCCTCGGGCCGGCCACACACTACCTCGCCACTATGCAACGGAATTCTTCAGTTGCATAATTATTATCAACAAGGCAACAGAGTTTCACCCATCATTACTGTATTAGAGTGATGCTCCTATTTGTGGCTGGACTTGGGCCGTATCTATCCTCGTCTATGTACGAAGTACCTGACAGCGGCTCTCAATACCGTCGAAAATGCAAGTATTGTCTACCGGAATGTATTGCTTTGTGACGACCTTGATCACTTCTTGGGCTACCATGCCTCCGAGAACTGCGGAAATGTTGTGCATTTCGCCTCCGGCGGCGCGTGCAACCTCTTCCGTGACTTGCCTTGTTCTCTTGTGACCTTGTAGCAAGGGGGCGTGCGCGTAAATTGCCTCTCGCATTGCCTCTGCAGATGGCGCAAGGGAGTTTGGTGAGAGGCTGAGGGCTAGATAGAGGGATATCAAAGACGACTGCATTTCGAGGCCAGCAGTGGCAGCCATCTTTTCTTGGTTTAGCTCGTTCGCTGCGTGATCCGGGTCAGCTCAAGGGTACTATGTAGCAATAGCCTAATAAACGAACCAACTATATCTTCAATCTTCGGCGCAGTCCGAGAAAAGTTGATGAGCTTGATGAATCGCGCATTTTTGCAGAATTGCTCAACCTCAGCCGGGTCGGTTACAACGTCTGCTGCGATGCCTCGAGCAATATCGAAGACTTCGCTAGCATCTTGGCGAGCTTTACTCTTGTAAATATTCTGGAGCTGGATATATACGCTTGATTGAGCCTTCATATCGGGCAGTCCACCACTCACAGGCAGTTGCCCGTGCTTCTGATAGAACTGCGAAACTGCTTGTGCGATTATCCAAAAGGAAGAGTTGGCCTACGAATGTCAGTAGATATGGCGTCAAACATTCATATGACGTACCTTTTCTGTGTTGTCATATTCAAAAACTTGGCGCAGAGATTCAGGGAGAGATTGCGCGATTATGTGCTTCATGACAGCGCCGGCCGCCTCTTCGAAATTTTCCTCCCCACCTTCTGCGTTATTCGTTCGCATACTTTCCGAGACTTGTTTTCGAAAAGCAATTTTGTCAGAGTATTCCGTCGGAGCAGCGCCATCGTGATTTTGCTTCCAAATCTCCAGGTTATGCAGCAAGATAGCCACCAAAGGCAAATGCCCGTGCAGGTTGTCATCTAAGTCGTCAATGTTCTTTGTCAAATCTTGTGCAAATTGCAAAAGCTCTGGCCAGGGGTTGAGGAGTCGGAGGTCGGCAGTCGACGTCTTGTCGGGGTGCGTGTCTACAACAGGGAAGACATCGGGGAAGGTGATGCGAAAGTAACCGTAGAAGCCCACAGAGCGGATAGCTACCAAGGGAGTGCTGCGAAGGCGACTGTACTCTTCGATAATGTGTATTGACTCAGCCGGTAATGGCAAGACGTATAGTATAATCGTATATGGAGTCACACTCGAGAGCACCGCTTGAAGGTCAAGTGAGCCCTTGGCCCGACTGTTAGTTGTGTAACAGACTACATTCGATGTAGTAGCTTACCGATGTTTTAGGATACCATTGACCAGAGACTTCGGGATTGAGCTCTAAAAGATGTTCTGTCGCACACTGAGCGCGTGACTTGCCACGGCTTGATTCGTCTAGAAAGAAGTTGACGCCAAGATCGGCATCTTCTACGACGGCATCGTCTACGATCGTGAATTGGCCGATACCTGTCGCAAGAGAACATTAGATCACGCGAGTTCGAATTTTCCAAAATATGAAGATTGCACCTGGTAAGACGAGATTTTTCAGCGTTTCGACGCCTACCGTGCCAGAGCCCGAGTTGACAAGGAGAACGTTGGAGGACTCGAGGGCGGCTTGGCCCGAAGCGGCCCACAGACGAAGCTGCCGATCATATTTCCTCTCTTTGTCCGTCGGGCCACCCTGCAAAGGCGACGTTTGTGACATGTTGACGTGAGATTTGCCGATATGGTGGTGACTGCTTTCTCCGATGGAAGCTCGGGCTGTTGTGGTGAAGGCGACAAGCTAAGGTAGGTACCCACCCCCACCAACCCAATCTGGCTGTACAGTGCCAGCCTCGGCTCCGGATCGCGGAAATGACCTGCTCGCACAGTGCTGCGTCACTATTTGTTTGCATGCTGTCACAACTTGCGTGAATACAATTTGCTGTATTTAGATTAAGTTAAGCCCAGTATTACGATTGTGCGGCGTTTTGCCTATCCTTGGCCGTTTGCACAGAGCGATGAAGAGAGCAAGCCAACACTTGCGGTGGGGCGTCACAGTGAAGAATGAGATATTAATAAGATGAATTTGATTTCGAGTCGGCCAGCGGCCCGAGAACTTTGATCTCAACTAAGTACCTTACGGAGCAACCTTTCACAGGTAGCGTGGGTCTAGGCTTTGCTCTGTCTCGCGGCGTACACATCTCCGCGGGCCGTGTCCAATCAGCTTTGATTACCGGCGATATAACATACATAACGTTACTATTGTCTAGGACGAGAACCGCGCAGACTCTCTATATCAGGAATGGCTTATGCTGTTTGCTTTGGTCGCCGGGGCATGACATTGACTTGCATATAACAAGCCACTCACACCTCTCCGTTTAGCGAGATTATGCAGCCATCCATGCCTTTGACCATAGGCTCCAGCCTCAGCCCGACTCCATCTGTCCGCCAACGGTGGAAGATCAGGTTCCTTCTGACAATCGCACATTTGCCCGAAAGAGGGAGCCCGCTGGATAGGTACTTTCAGCGCGTACACATGTGTAACACTGCAAGCTACCTACATATGGGGTGTGCCGAACAAGAACTGCAGCAAGTGTCGTTTGCGCCCGTACACCTCGCATGTGCCCGATGGTGGGCATGTCAGGCTCTGGACACCATATCGGAGCGACAGTTGCCATTCCACACGTACTGTGACAGTACCATTGATCCCAGCATGCGACTTTAATATCTTGGTATGACGGGCAAAGTGGGTGCCGTGACCTACGTCTCGCCTACCAGTACTGGGCCCAGATGCAACGGCACGCCGACGCCACCATATGCATTCCGACCCGCGACGCCGCATCGTAGACCTTTTCGGTATGAGAGACTGCGGCCTTTTTCCGCGCGCGAACCTGCTTCCAACCTTTCCAAAAATCGTATTACCCTATTGACCCCGAGTCTTTGTTGTCTCGGGTCGAGTCGGTTCCTTTGAACGTGGTGTAAATCTTGAGTCACGGCGCCATGCCGATACGACTGTTAACCACATCTTCATCCATCTGAGACGTCGCGTCAAGGACGACTAGACTTGCATCTTCACACTTGTTTTTTTTATATTTTGTTTTTGTGACCGTCGACCCCCGGTATTTCTGACGACTGGCCAAGTTAATTATTCGAAGCTGCCTTCCTTCGGCTTGGGCTTCGTTTGCTTCGTTGACGGGCGTTCGCTTGCCCTGGTCAGCTGCAGGCTGCTGATTGCCAACTGCGGGTGGCAGGCAGAAAGTCAACCGCCGACTTTTGGCAAACGAACTGGGAAAGAGGTACTTTCCTTCTCTTTCATTTTTGGCTTATACCTACCTACCCTTCTATCCTGCCTTCGCTCTGTAGCCGGGGAGGAGTCGGCTGTACTGGTTGCTCGCCAACGAAGCTACTCGCGACGCGCCCACCGAGTATTGCTTGCTCTTTCTTTTCGACTGTTGCTATTATATGAACCCGTTTGGGCCCCAAGCCTTGTCTGGTTCTACCGACCTTCTCGCCTCGCGCTAAACGACGCCTTCGTCTCGTCTTTATTTTCACATCTATCGACCACAGACAGCCCTGATCAAGATGGGCCTTCCGTTCATTAAGACGCCAAAAGCGGCATCACCAATCGAAGAAGCCAAACAAGTCCCCATCGAATGCCCCTTCGATGAGGAACCAAACCCTCCCCCCGAAAAATCTGCCATTCGTTTTTGGATTCTCAGCTTTGGGTAAGTAGAGCACTCCCGAGCTGTAGTTCCTCTCTAACAGGCCTCTTTAGCATCTGTCTCGGTTTATTTCTCTCCATTATCGATTCTTCAATAGTGGCGACGGCCTTGTTCACTATTGGCAACGACTTCAAGGACCTTGAAGCTATCAACTGGATAGCTCTCGCCTACACATTAGCCTACCTCGGGTGCGCGGTGGCTTTTGCCCATGTTTCAGACGTCATTGGCAGACGCGATGCATTTCTTCTAGCAAGTGTGCTATTTTTTGCGTTTTCCATGGCTAGCGGATTTGCACAAAATATTCGCCAGCTCATTGCCCTCCGAACAATCCAGGGCATCGGAGGTTCCGGTTCGTTCCAACGTCTTGCATTTGCCGCATATTTTCTAATATTCTTCAGGCTTATACTCTTTGACCATGGTAATTCTTCCAGAAATATGCCCTCCCAGTCATCTCAAGTTTATAGGTTCTTTAATTGGCATGGTCATTGTTTTCTCAGGCGTTCTTGGGCCACTCTTGGGAGGTGCACTTACACAATTCACACAGTGGCGCTGGATCTTCTGGATCAAGTGAGTATCAATGCTCGCAACCTGGCAATCTGTACTGACTTCGGCAGCGGCCCGATTGCCGTGGTATCAATGACCATTTTCCTGCTGGCATGGCCAAGTAAATCTCAGCAGAATCCTCCAAGCCGCCTGCAGTGGAAGAACTTCGATTTCTTCGGCACCCTTCTCATCATCGCCGCGTCAGTCCTCATTGTCTTTGCTTTCCAAAGAGCCGGAGAGACTTCAAGGAATATCTTTAGCAGCTCTACCTTCATCGCACCATTGACTACTGGCTTGCTATGTTGGGGCGGCGTGTTCGTCTGGGCATTCCTGGTGGAAAGTGGTAGATTTGGAGCCGGACTCGTGCCTGCTCTTCCTTTCAAACTGTTTCGAAACCGCCACTACACTTCTGCAGCACTCACCACCCTGCTAATCGGATATCCGTATCTGCAAATCATATTCACATTTCCGTCTCGCGCACAAATTGTAAGTGGTAAATCGGTTATGATGAGCGCGCTCGAACTTCTTCCTTTGGTCGGAGGCTCGGCTCTCGGTAGCGTGATTGGGGGTATGGTGAACGGAAAAAAGAACTTTCTTTTCGAAACAATTGCTACTGGCTGCTGCTTCACTTTACTAGGATGTGGGCTGCTGTCTACAGTGCAAGGCAGAGCAGATGATGCGAAAGCATTAGGCTTTCTGGTGTTTGCTGGACTGGGATTCGGGCTTTCGACTGCCGCAGCTACCATGTTGGTTACATTCGAAGCAGCCATCGCTGATGCGGGTAAGCATAAACGTTTCGATATCCAAGTAAACCTACTGATGTCTCTCTTCAGCCTCGGCGCACGGTATTCTGGCTCAAATGAGAATATTGGGTGGGAGCATCGGCATTGCTACAGCTACCATTCTTCTTCGAAATAAATTGTCGGATGTTTCAAAAGGGCCAATCTCGGCAATTGTCGAACAAGACGGCGCGGTTGCCATGTCATTAGCGTATTCATCAGCTTTCCGAGCTGGCATGAAAGTCTGCAGCATACTGTCTGGCATCGCAGTACTGGTCTCTATACTAGGCTTCCGGCGAACACGAATGGACATGAATGAGCAGCGCGCCAAGCTGTTCCGCGAGGAAGAGATCCGGCGTGCAAATGAGCGTCCTCAATAAAGAGAGGAGTCAATCCAAGTGGAGGCAGGGCCAGGTAGGAATGGACAGCACGAAAATGTGCGCGGTAAAACACTTGGCATATATAATACGGCGTGCAGACATGAATGTTGGCATGGGCAGCGTGGGTTGGATACAGTATGGAGTTATGCAGACAGCAGAGAGCTTTTCATCTCACTGGTCCCATGGTTGTTCAAGCATTTGTATGCGTTAGCGTTTAATGTATTTTCTCATGCAAAGAAATGGGCAAGTTTAGATCAGCTGGACTGGTCTAAAGTTGTTCTCATTGCCCTCTGCTGCTTCGCCGTCCATAATGCCGTGAATGTAAGCTTCTCCAACAAAGATAAACTGGCCTGACCTGTCCGTGGGGCGAAGAATATACGGGGTCCGCCCGCCAGAGAACAGCCAGACTTGATCGCCTTGTTGCGCTGCTCTTGGCACGAGGCCGAGATAACCATTGACCGTGGACACGACGCGGCGCAGCGGCCAAACGCACCACATAAAGTACTCAAA